TTTTTTTAAAAATGAATTTGCATACAAAATAATAAGACCTTTTCTCTTTGTTTATATTTAAGAAAACCAAAACAATACGTTCATTATTAAAGGATATCTATTTTCCAATTTATAAATGCCAATCACCTTTTTTAAATTAAATAACATTCAAACAATTATTATTATATCATTAGCTTTTTACACAGCATATATTTATATAATAAAATATTTTTCATTTGACAAATTTTCTTAGGTATACATTTAATAAAAATGTAATCATTTATTGATTTCTTGAAATATAAAGTAATTTGACAATAAATATGAAAGTATATATATATGTAAAATTTTATAAAAGTTTTAAATTAAAATTACAAAAAATATTTTACTAATAATAACAAATTTGATATAGGTATAAGAACATTTTAACATTAATTACAAACATTAAAAAAAAAAAAACAGATATTATAATAGTTATTTACGTAAAAATTAAAACGTATGAACATTTTAATTAAAAAATAAATGACACATTACAATTTTTAAGTTTTTGAATAAAATTTTAAATTAAAACATAAATTAATTATTTAAAATACATTATTTAAAATGCTTTTTGACTTATTCAAATTATACAAATATACTAACATTAGTAACCTTATACTTTTTTATTTAGTGTACAGTATGAATTGACAGCTAACCTTTGTGGATGCTCTTACGTATCGTGTGGAATGCAGTTGGTAATCACATCGTTCCCATGTATTATTAGTTTCCTTCCAATTGTATGATACATAATGCCCAATTGCATTAATGTTTTTGGATTTTGGTGTTATGAAATTAATAATACCTCTTGTTACATATAGCTATAGCCTATAACTGATTATTTGTTATCTACAATAGCGGCTATATGTTCATGATAAAATAAAACCAGTCAGCTTTTAGCACTCATGCGTAGCACTTTATTTTGACCTGACACACTCCTCGCACGATGCAACATGGCGCAGTCTAGAAGGATCTGAAAATTGTGTATTGTATATTTGAATTTTGAATTGTTGTTGAACCATGGAGTACAATAAACCAGATGCATTGGTTTTAACGGGTAATTTGTCAGAAAATTGGCGCGTTTTTCGTGAAGCGTTCGAGATTACATTGAGGCGGCTGGTCTAACGACAGCGTCTAACAAACGTCAGGTGGCCATTTTTCTTAACCTTGTTGGTAAAGAGGGCCTAGAGAGGTATAACACTCTCAAGTTTGAAAACGTCGAAGACAATAAGAAAATTGATCAAGTGCTAACCGCGTTTCAAAATTATTGCAAACCTAAAAAAAATATTCTACACTCCAGGTATATATTTTATAAACGGTCTCAAAAAGAAAATGAGTCTATTGAGGAGTTTCTGTCAGCGTGTCGTGGTTTGATAAAAGATTGTGAATTTAAATCCCATGAAGAAATTTTACGTGACAAAATTGTTCTTGACACGAGAGATAGCGAGACTCGCGACAAGTTAATTAAGCAAGCTGATGTTACTCTTGAAGCTGCAATAGAAACCCTTCGTATTGCTGAAATTCAACGAAAAGAATTCAATCAAATGAAGGAGATTGGTGAAAAACAAAATGAAGTAAATGCAGTTCATTCAAAATTACTTGGTGGTAAGCGTACATATCAAGCTCAACAGAACAACGGTAACAACGGACATCGTGGTCAATGTCAAACGAATCAACGACAGGCAAAATGAAAAGGATATAGTCAACAGGAGGAGTCACCACAGGTTTTCAAAAATACGGGTAATTTTTCTGTAAGTAATAAAAAAACGAATAATAATTGTAATCGGTCTGTTAAATTATGTAAATATTGTAATTTTATGCACGACAAAGGCAAATGTCCTGCGTATGGTAAAAAATGTTTAAAATGTAACAAATTTAATCATTTTCAAAGTGTTTGTAAATCTGAGATTGCATTTGTTGAAAACGTTGATGGGCTGAGTAATGATAATTATTTTTGTTCTACGGTATATACAATGAATACTTTGGCTATTTCCTGGTCTGAGACTATTCTCGTTGAAAATAAAGGTATTAATTTTAAACTGGATACTGGCTCTGATGTTAATCTACTGACCTTAAATGATTTTAACTTAATTAAAAAAGATTGTCCTTTTAAAAACTTAGTAGTTAATAGGCAAGCAATAAATTTACATGCATATGGTGGTAGTAATATTAATACATATTTTACACTTGATTTAAAAGTAAAAGAATATATTCTAAATTTTGTAATTGTTGATAATCATTGCAAGGCAATTTTAGGTCTGCATAGCTGTATACATTTAGGGCTTATAAATAAAGTAGAAAATGTTGATAAGATTTTAAGTCGTAATGATGTACTGGAGAATTATTGCACGGTTTTTACAGGTCTTGGTAACTTTCCCGATGAATATAGCATACAATTAAAGCCCAATGCAATACCTGTTACGAATGTTCCACATAGAGTTCCTATTAATATCCAAAATAAGTTGAAATGTGAATAACATCGATTAGTGTCAGAAAAAATAATTAGAGAAATAAATGAGCCGACTGAGTGGGTAAATAGATTAGTGATTGTTGAAAAGAAAAATGGGAGTATGAGATTATGTCTTGATCCACGCGATCTAAATGAAAATATAATTGGTGAATATTGTGTAATCCCTACATTATCAGACTTATCGTCAAAACTGAAAAATGCAAAGGTCTTTTCTGTTTTTGATTTGAAAGATGGTTTTTGGCAAATAAAATTAGATTTAGAGAGTTCTAAATTATGTACGTTTGATCTATGTTTGGTACTTTTTGTTTTAATAGACTTCCTTTTGGAATAAATAATGCAGCTGAAATATGTCAAAAATGAAATATGAAAGTGTTTGGGGGTATTGAAAATGTATTTATATATCTTGATGATATTTTAATTTTTGGTGACACTGAGGCTCAACATGATTGTGCATTAAAACAGGTTTTAGATTTGGCTATGAAAAATAATATTAAATTTAATAAAAACAAAATTCAATATAAGGTAGATAAAGTTAATTATCTTGGACATATATTTTCATATGGAGGCATGAAATTAGATGGTGATCATATTAAATCTATTTTCGAGTATGAGATACCAAAAAGTATAAAAGATTTACAAAGATTCTTAGGTATGGTTAATTATGTCGGAAATTTTATTCCTAATCTGGCAATGTTGACTAAACCACTAAGAGATCTTATTAAAAAGAATAATGAGTTTGTATGGACATCAATACATAATGAGTGTGTAAATAAACTTAAAACAATAATTGCTAGTCCCTCTGTACTTAGAAACTATGATAACACAAAAGAAGTGATTATACAGACAGATAGTAGTAAATTTGCCATTGGATGTGTTTTTTTACAAGAAGGCAGACCAGTCTGTTTTAAATCGAAAAGCTTATCTGAAACCGAAATTAACTACGGACAGGTTGATAAGGAATTTCTGTCAGTCTTATTTGCGTGTAAGGTATTTCATCATTATATTTATGGTAGGCGTGTGGACAGTTCAAACAGATCACCTTCCTTTAATTTCGCTAATGAAAAAGAACATAAACGACATTCCGTCTAAAAGACTTCAATGCATTAAGGTCAAATTATCACGATATGATATTAATCTTATACATGTACCGGGGAAAAAAATGTTTATCGCAGATGCACTAAGTCGAGCGTGTATATCGTCTCATGATAACGATGTTGATATCGATGTCTCGGATGTAGTCCATTCAATTAATATGTTTACAAATATTCGAAATGAGTTTGTACACGAAACAATTAAAGATGATTTATTAAAACAATTAGTATATGTGTGCAAGAATGGCTGGCCTAACCAAAACAATAAGGTCTCGCGTGAGCTTAAACCATACTTTAATATGCGTTACCAAATATCATTTGAGGACGATTTACTTTTTCTTAATAATCGTGTGTTTGTCCCTATGAGGTTACAGAATAGAATTTTATTTAAACTACACGAAGCTCATCTTGGAATTTGTAAAACTAAAACGAAAGCACGTTCTTTATTTTATTGGAAAGGTTTAGATAAAGATATCGAGGAATATATTGGTAACTGTGCAGTATGTAATAAATTTAGGAGCGAGAATACTAAAGACCCTATGATATGTCAAGAAGTTCCTAATCTACCTTTTGAGAAAGTTGCATGTGATATTTTGGATTATGGGAAAGATACTTACCTAGTACTAGTTGATTACTATTCCGGTTGGCTTGAATTAAATTATTTATCTTCTAAAATCTCAAGTCAAATAATTAAAATACTAAAAGTTATTTTTTCGATACACGGGATTCCAAAGCAACTTGTGGCAGACAATATGCCTTTTAATTTTAACGAATTTCAGAATTTTGCGACTGATTGGGAATTTGTTTTAACTACGTCAAGCCCTAGATACCCAAAATCTAACGGACTTGCGGAAAAAGGTGTAAGTATTGCGAAATCAATACTAAAAAGATCGGATGAAGGTAAAGTTGATAAGCAACTAATGTTGTTAGAATATCGTAACAGTGCTATTATTGGCTCTAAGTTTTCCCCAGCACAACTTTTAATGAGTCGCATTTTAAGATCGAAAATTCCAATCTTAAACAACTCTCTAAAGCCTACTTTAGTAAATAATTTTAATTTAATACGTGAAAATAAGAATATAAAAACAAAACTATATTACGATAGAAATGCCAAAGTTAAAAATAATAATGATTTTCAACCGGGCCAAAAAATTATATTTAGAGATCTATTAACTAAAACGTGGAAGCCAGGTAAAATCATCAATAAATATAATACGCCTAGATCATATGTTTTCAGTGATGACACGGGTAATAAGAAACGACGAAATATTGTACATTTAAGACCTGCCGGTAAACAGCTCAGGTATAATTGGTATAAAGATAATAACGTTGTTTTGAAGCCTAGTTGGATACGTAAGCGACGTATTGTACCTCCAACTAAGCTTGATTTATAATTATTATTATGTTTTTTTTACATTTGTAAGTTTAATTTGTAATTTGTATTTTGATTATATATATATATATATATATATATAAAGGGAGATGTTACATATAGCTATAGCCTATAACTGATTATTTGTTATCTACAATAGCGGCTATATGTTCATGATAAAATAAAACCAGTCAACTTTTAGCACTCATGCGTAGCACTTTATTTTGACCTGACACACTCCTCGCACGATGCAACACCTCTAAGTGTGAATTTGTTATGTAGCAAATTTATTGTTGTTGGAATGTCACTCAAAACGACAGTTAATTCAAAGTCTAATTTTTTTTTTCCCAACTCAAGACTTTGGAAAACAGGTTCAATGAAAAAATGTTTTCCAAATGTAAAATTTGTTTTAAAATTTGTACATGGTCCGCAACGTACCAAAAACCATTTTTGACCACGGGACGGTGAAGATAATATAGTAAAGGAACTATTGCTATTACAGATTCATTCATCCTCACGACATTAACAGATTTTGTTATAGAATTAATAAACTTGTATTAACGTTTTGTTGATATTTTGTATCTACTAAAAGCTAACCGAAAGGTGGTTTGCGTACTTATGCAATTTGATCAACCATGTGTTATTTACTATTATAAATTATAACTTTTTAACTATTTGCTAAATAGACACCAGTCTTGTAAAGGATTCGAATACTTTTTTAAGTATTTATATGCTATTACGAATACAATTTATTTTATTTGTTTTTAAGTATTTTGATTATTTCTTAATTGTATTTTTACTAAAATTTAAATACTTGTATTAAAATACCATAAAGTATTTTATTAATTTTAATTTATTATTTTTAAAAAAAAGATTTAATCTTCTTTTATTAAAATTAATATCATATTTTCATATGATATCATGAAATAAAATTAAAAGCAGTCAATGGTTAATCGGAGCTTAAGTCAGTTTTGACTGAAATTATTTATGTTGGTATTAAAAATAAATAAATATTTTAAACGTTCGTATGACATTGAAGAAATTTCGGGAGGGGGGGTCCAGACACTCTGGACCCCCCCCCAGATACGGCCTTGGGTACCTATACTGGTGTACAATACATATATATATATAATATAGCATAAAATTAAAAAAAATACTTGGATTTGTATTCAAATACTTTGTAAGTATTCATAAAATACATTTTTATAATAGTATTTTAAGACTTTTTTATTCGAATACTATTATTAGTATCTTAATACTTTTTCAAAAGTATTGTTTACAAACTGTGTTTACGGTTAGACACGTAGGTATGCATAAGTTTCAGTGCGAATTAGCAGTAGCCTGCCAGATCTAAAATTCCGTGGCCGGATAAAATGGTCGCTTAAACGTCAATCCAAATTTAAAAATGACAAAACAAAAAAGGTTTCATATAATTTTAAAAACGTGTTATGATATTATCATAGAAGTTTTTTTCAAAATGAAAATTCATCAATAATTATTATATCGCTTCGGGGTCTTGGTGAGAAGAGCTTTTATTGTTTTAAAATACACGTAAAAATATCAAATATTTAAATTTTTGTACACAAATTAATTTAAAAAATAAAAAATAAAGTGGGTCATTATAAAAAAAAATCCCAAGTAAATCAGAATTTTCTGCTGAAGTTTGATCACAAATCTGCACAAACGTGGAATAAACGAACAGATCAATAAGAAATAAAAAAATTGGTTAATGGGGAGGCTAAGTCCTTAGTCCCCTCCCTCCTTCAATGTTTAACATCTCGGAAATGGGTTGAGCACAAACGACGGGAATAAAACAAAAACAAGCATAAACGACTGTAAAAATTTGAACTCGAAAGTCCGAGGTAGTGGGGGGACTGAGCATGTCCCCAGCCACCCCCACCTTGAAAGTTCAATAACTCGGAAACGAGTTGAGCACAAACGACGGGAATAAAAGCACAAACGACTGTAAAAATTTGAAGTCGAAAGTCCGATGTGGGGGGGCTGGGGACATGCAGCTGTTTTAGTCAGTATAAATTTATTCTACGTTCAAATCGCCGGTCGTTCGTATTTGAAAATTTGAAACAACATATCATAGAAGCGTGTAATAATATAAACTAATATTTAATGTAATAATAATAAATTATGAATTATGATAAAAATATATATCTAGAAATAATAAAAATTTGTTTTTGCATATTTTTGCATATTTTGGTAAATCAAATGCATATTTTACAATTTATTGCATATAAATCCTAGCCCTAATAATAAGTAATACTGGTGAGTTATTTTTTCATATGGAAACAATTTCAAGTCTAGTAATATTTACTTGTGCTACTAATTTTGAAATATTAAATCAATACTCTCATATATTTGCCGATGGGACGTTTTCACATTCCCCTAAATATTATGAACAACTTTATACTATTCATATATTGCAAAATGGTTTTTATATACCTATACTGTTTTGTTTTTGACTAAAATCAACTCAAACGTATATTGATATGTGGCTTACAACTGTAATATTTGGTTTCAAATTGACCGGTAAAAATATACAACTATAATTAGTTCAATCAACTTTTCATTTTGATTTTGAAAAAAGTGCACATAACGCTATTAAAAAAATTTTTCCGAACTGCAAAACTATGGCATGTAAATTTCATTTAAATCAAAGTTGGTTTAGACATATTCAAAAAGATAGTCAGCTATTATATGAGTATAAATCAAGTTCTACAGTGGGTGTTTGCAAGGCCGGATTAAGAACAAGTGCCGCCCTAGGCCCTTTTAAATATGCCGCTCCTACCCCAAGAAAAAAATCTTGTAATTATTTCTAATAAATTTATTAAATTTTAAAAGAATTAGGTCAACAGTCATTATAAACAAAACAAAAAATTATCAATTCTAATTCGTCGTGTGTGATGTGGATAGACAATGTCTCTAGCCAACTTCTATATATATTATATTATTATCATAATTACTTTTAGGAACAACTTACATTATATACCTAGGTAGGTATCTTATCTTTATAGCTCACATTACGAGAAAATTGATTTCGTGTTATTGACATTTTATAATATTGACGCGTCCGTATATTATACACACAGATATCTATACTATAATATTAATTTATGCAGTTACATAAATGCATAAAATATTTATATGATTTTTTTTTATTTCTTACAAAAGTTGCGGCCCTAGGCTCGGGCTTCACGGGTCTAAGCATAAATACAGTCCTGGATGTTTGGCTAAAAAAAATTTTTGCCTTAAGATTTATACCACTACATTTAGTAGAAAATGCTTTTTTACATTTAATTGAAAATGCTCCTACATCTAATTTTGGATTTTCCGATTATTTACTTGAAAACTATGTAAAAACTTATGTACAATTTCCACCAACTTTATGGGCAGGTAAACCATCAGAAGATTCCAGAACAACTAATGGTCCAGAATCTTTTCATATGCACTATAATTCACAGTTTTATACCTTGCATCCATATACTTTCCAAGTGATAAACATATTACTAGGTATTCAGTCTGAAACATATTTAAAAATAAATAGTAATGAAAAAAAATTACGTAAAGAGCAAGAAAACAATATTAAATTTATAATGGATACTTGGGAACAATTTAAAAATAATAAAATATCAATGAATGATTATTTGGAAGTAATGGACCACGTTTTTGTGCTAGTCACCAAATGTAATTTTTAAAAACAGTTAAATATTAGAAAATATATATTACGATTACTTAATTATTATTATTTTTTATAAGAACAAAAGGATTATTTAATTATTATTATTTTTATATGAACAAAAAAAAATATATATATATATCAACTGACTATCAGAATAGAAAAAAAAAACAATTTTTAATAAAAAAAATTTCGACTATTGACCATGTCAGTATATACATTTAGCATACATGTAATTTAGAAAAAAAAAACAATTTTTAGTCAAGCCAACGAGAGTTTGCCCATTGAATGTGTGTAAATTTGCCCATTTTATTTAGCCAGGGCTACAGACCTAATGAATGAACGGATTGGTCTGTTTGTGGTATCAATAGATCGGGCATGATTTGTAGTTTATACCTTTGTCATTTTCGAAAAAATTAGTTGAATAATAACGAATATATTAGCAAAAAATTCAAGTATTTTTGAAGCAAAAAGATATTGTGCTTGACCATTTTTAGTTATTACGTTTCACGCAGCAGCGCACGAGACCGTATTACCCCCTCTATTCCGTATACGTTTTCGTTGCGGTCGTACACTGGGCAGCGGTTGCCGTCGTTGCCCGCGTCTTCGCTTATCGTATTCGTTATTTCTGTTATCGACATTCATGTTTCTGGTGAAGTTCGGTGTAGATGTGTTTATTCGCCGCCGCCCAGTGGCGTATTTAGGAATTTTGCTAGGAGGGGGATGAAATATATAATAATACATCCTAACACCCATAAATTCGTACATAATATACATTTTTAAAATCCCCTCACTTGTTACCTATTGAGGTTAGTGTGGATCAAGGCAAAATAAGAATTAATCTTTATAATTACCTCATCATTTTCCAAACAAACTTTTTTATTTGTACTAAAATAAGAAAATAAAGTTTTTTTTTGTTTTTGAGTATTACTCATATTGTCTTAAAACTTCACAGTTACAACTTACAAGACAAAAAAAATAAAGTCGAACAATAGTCAATTCGGCAGTAAGTCAGTACTCAAAATGGCGCGGCGTCGCTATCCGTCAACGACCAACGACCGTACATATCTACTTTTAACAAATCAAGATATCATACGATAAAATATATATATATATATAGCTATACATTAGCCATAAATCTACTAGTAACAAATTTTCTAAAAATAAACCCGCCCGGCCACCCTATGGTTAATCCACGGTCTTCATGGTCATTTTGTTTTGTTTATCGATTGCTTATCGGGTTTATTATAAACACTCTTGCATGAAAAATAATTCGCAGAAACGTACAAAATACAGTACACCATAATATAGGTATAGTTTTTGTTGCCTGATAGTCGTACATGCCGCCAACAATAAACGATTAGTGGCGATTAGTATACCAGACTATCAGAGCGGTACAATTACCGCGACTAGAACATTTAGAAAACAGAAAACATACATGCTTGAAAGTAATATCATATTAAGAATATTAGAGAAAATGAGACAACTTATAGCTACCTAGGAAAAAAAAAAAAGGTCAAGGGGGGGGATCTATCCCCCATATCCCCCCCGTAAATACGCCACTGGTTGTAATTGTAGCAGGCCGTGCTATTTATAACATAATTATAATTATATTATAATTTGTTATTTGCTATTTCTAAAATAGTTTCTAAAACATAAACCGAAATTAAGAAAAAGGAGAAATTATTTAGAAAAAAAACCACAAATACAATGTGTATGCTGAATTTATTAGTGCTCTTATAAACATTTACGATCCACTAAAAAATTCGTTATCTCATAAATTACAGATAAAATTAGATTGTTCTGCGTGCCATAATAAGATAATACAAATAACTCAAAACTATATTGTTCAACTTAACGTACCTAATGAAAATGAAACGGTAACTTTTAATACAACGTTAGATTATTTATTCAAAGAAGTGTTAATAGAAGGCGTTAATTGCAGAGCCAGTAATACTATTACATATCATACGCAGATAACAAATATAGTAAATACTAACGAATATTTGTACTTTCAAATACAACTTTGGAATAATGTCAGTACAAAAATATCAAACCTAACCATTAATGCATTACCCATTATAATAATTAAAGTTGATGGTAAATCGTATGGTTTAAAATCTGTCATCTGTCATCATGATCTATCTATGAATGAAGCCCATTATACAAGCATAAGTTCACATCAAAATAAATGGCTACGATGTAATGACAATGCAATACATTTTGAACGATGGCCTCGAGGGGGTAAAAATGTATATATTATAATAATGAAAAAAAAAATTGAATATGATTTAAAAAAAAACATATATAGTATATATAAAATATATATTAAATAAACAAACATCATAATAAAATAAATTAATAAAAACATAAAAAATTTCATATTACATGTCAGTACATAAAAATATGTTAAAAAAAAACTACTGATATCCCAACAAAAACACTTCGTCGAACTCCGTGTAAAAAATTGCTAAGTAAAAAAAACTAGTCATCTATAAGACTTCAGCATTATAAAGATGTGATATCATGAATAAATGTTAAGTAAATTAAATTTTCAGTAAATTTATTCTATCTCAATCATTTATTTATGTGGCAAGAATTTATTTATTTCGACAAATAAACATGTCTGTTTATAACTGGACTATTTAACAAATTTCCATGACAAATGTTACTAAATTTGTTTTATAAAAAGTCTTAATTATTAATTTATAAAGAAAATAAATTCTCGTAAAGTAAATAAATGATTGAAATAGAATAAATTTATTGAAAATTTAATTTACTTACCATTTATTCATGATATCACATCTTTATAATGCTTAAGTCTTATAGATGACTAGTTTTTTTACTTAGCAATTTTTTACACGGAGTTCGACGAAGTGTTTTTGTTGGGATAATATAATATATGATATGATATGACATAATGTTGCTTTTACTGGTTTTCAATTTAAAACTACAGATTGACACTAGGTACTATATTTGCACTATCGCGTCAGTATACGTTTGTGAACTATCTTAATGAAGCCGTGGTATATTTTTCGTTATAATTTAATAATTTAAAATAATAATACTGGTTTAATTAAATAATTTATTTTGGTCAAAATGTCTATAATTTTAAGTGAAAAGGGAAAAACTGTTATAATGGTCGATGGTATTATTGTATAAATAGATAGTTTTATATCGATTGTATTAATTTTATTAATGGAACATTTTCACATGGGAGGCAATTCGAGTTTCCCCTGCTATCATTCCCATTAAAATAATTATCAATCTTCGTTCATATTATATCATACTGAGTGAATATTACTTTACGCCGTTTTATAAATGGTTGATATAAGCATTTTACAATTTCGAACTACTACACACACACACATATAAATACATTTTAAAAAAAATGGTCATGAGATGATTAAAATAAATTAACATGGTCTTATACCAGATGATTATTGGTCGTTATCACATAAATTTAGAACATAATCACTTGTTTTGTAATGTGGTACATCAGATGAAACCCCGTCTTAAACAAAAACCTATCTATTTTTATAAAGAACAGTCTTGTTTATTAAATCTGTCTTACACAAACAACACAATAATATACACGTAAAAAAACTTTTCTTTTTTTATTTTATTCAAAATGATACGGACATTTGAAATTCTTAATTTTAAAATTATTAAAGATAATCAATGTTTGGAAAATTATAAACATATCAAATTTAAACAAAAGGCACGGCACATAAATACTTTCCACGAGTATTGTTTTACACGGAGTTAATGAATTAAACTTTGTTACTAACAATCAATATTTATAAATAACTAAGCTTAATAAAGTACTAAAATTGAATATTGAAAAAAATATTATTGAAGCACACTATTTTTTTTTTTTTTGTTTTTGGTAGATGATAGTTCTATCTCGATAATAAACAATCTTGGAAGTCAAACAATGGAAATAAAAAATGGGTACAAGGCTGAATCAAAACTAATTTTTAACAATTTTTTATCAAGGAAAAAATTATCAGTGGCTAAAAATTCTTTTACACATTTTTCCGTGAAATAAGGACTATGCATATCGAGGCTCGCAATGGATCTTTGTCCTTTAAGTCTAATCTGTAAGACATCTATCCACCTATCACTCATAATCGTACAATGGCCCAACCTTACCGATTCCAAAGTACGATGGGTTTTTAATAATTCATCTAAAAACTTATCACACACACGGAAATGATCTACACGTAACCGTTTTAATTTTTTGAAACCAATGTGCAAACATTTCAAATCCAAAACACAGGATATACGGCATTTAATATATATAACTTCATTTACATTAGCATACACACTGCCTAATTCTAATAATGTATGCTTATTAATTTCATTGAGTGATATTTCGTAGAATACCAAAGTCGTTAAATTTTTTATGTAAGTAAAACCTTCAGTGGGGTAAACGGATAAATTTCGAGAAATCATTAGCGTTTTAATGTGCTTGTAAATCTCTGTGAATTGAGTGCATAGGTAAAAAGCATCACAATAATTGATTAAAGGATGCAGGGGATCTTGGGTATAGGCACGCAAGTAAACTTCAAATTTCTCGGATGGCCAGTCTATAAAAGCTTCGCCTTTGATTGAAAAAAAAAATACTCCATATGAGTTTAAATGATGCATAACAACTGATTTCAATGTGTACACGTCAGATGCAACCAATTTTGCCCAGCGATTACATACCAAAGGTAGTAGTGTGATAAAATCAAAAGCTGGCAGTTTTCTAAATATGGTCAGTAATATTTCACCAGGTAGTTCATTCATAATCGTTCGCTGTATTTTATTGTTTTCTGAAAAAAATTTAATACACAAATCGGCATTATTATACTTGGTTTTACTGAAACGATACATTATAACAAAAATAATACATGTTTGCCTCAAAGAAACAAAAATGCAGTCTTTATAAGATATTTAATTCATTAATATGTTTATTTCACAGTTTAAATAAAAAAAAAAAAACATTTATACCTATTATTCAAAAATTGAAATTAGTACATGAATATATTACATTATGATAAAGTGTTTTATAAACCATAGGCTAATTAGTATTTGAAATCAATATTAAAATTAAACAATTATGAAAAATGACTAGAACTATTGATTTAGTTTGACTTGGTTATAAAAAAAAAAAAAAATAGAACTATGAATTTGATTATGTATAACCAATAGTTTCCAATTAATAGGAGAATATGTTCAACCTATTAATATTAGAAGGGGAAATTTGGAAAATTGAAACCGGTAGATTAAATACATGTATTTATGTATCTTAATTCTATGTATAGATATATATATATATATATATATATATATCTGTGATTCCATCATCTACATTAATAAATTATAATAATTAATTTGATAATTTAAAAATCTACTTATCTCATAATACCAGTATTAGGAATTGTTTAATTTCTTATTAGATATAAGATAAAATTAATAATATATTAAATATTTGTAATACCTATTAGTTATACAATATTAGTGTACTACTGTATTAACTCCACAGAGCATGAACTAAATTAACAAGGAAAAAATAATTTCATTTATGTCTACGTACAGGGCTAGAGGTTGCAAGCTAACTAAAGGGCTAAAGCTCTTTGTTTTTGGGCTTATTGTTTAAGTTTTTGTACAAAATTATTTTATAATCTCATTCGCCGTACCATAGGATGCAAATTTAAATATTTTTATTGTACTGAAGTACCTATGTACAAGTAGTACGAATATCTTAGCCAAACAAGCGTAAGTAAAGGGGCCCTGGAAACGAATAGCTCCGAGACCCTCAAAAGTTTTCGCCAGCCCTGTCTATGTAATATTTATAAGTTAATCTTTTTTGTGATACTACGATGTAATCGTAATTTTTAAACAAACAGCATAGATACATTTGTAAACAAATAACAATAAATTATACTCACGGTTTCTGAATAAGTGACAAGTTCAGGCAAAGTATACACAACTATCGAATTATTATTACACACATGTATTTATATGTGTATATAATAAACAACTTTCTATAATATTCAAACATATAAATAAATCTGAAAGATATGTGTTGAATTCACAGAAAATATTAAAATCTGTGGTTGGATTAGTCGTAATCACCACAACGTGATAAAATGATAAGAATTTCAAGAGCTCACCTCAACCATTGATTTTATAATATACAGATAAGCCATACGGCTGTTTATTTAGAAACAAGAATAATAGTAAAACAAAAATCCGATAGATTGCATAGCAGTATTTATAATCGAAAAAATAATATTCACGACAGCCGATGGTATTGGCTTTTCTTAAATAAGATTATTATAAAACCGGTTTCGGATAGGCTTTTTCGATTGACGAAATGAAATAATAAATAATGTTATTTAATCACCTATTAAAATAATAATCATTAAATTATTACTTTGAAATGTATTAAAACAAATCAATACATCAAGTATAAAAATAAGCATATAGCATTTATTTTATTAATAATATTATACATGAGATAAAATTATTAACTTCGTTAATTTTGACTGTTTTGTTGTTATTGAATGATATTTGCATTTCTTAAATATTTTACAAGTCAATAATTTGTCTAGAATGAAGAGTTTATGATCTACACATTCTTCATTGTCACGGAGCCAATGTTTTATTAGGTTACGACGTTTAAACCATGTCATAAATATTAATTTAATATTTTTTTTATGTTAAACTTTGCCAAATTTATCTTCAAATATATCAATCGCACAAATAACAAGTTACACAAGTTTTTTTATGGAGATTTAAGACCATTTGTTTAAATATTTTCGAAATTTTCATAACTTTTATGATTTATAAATAATTGATCTTTATTATTTATATCTGTGTCGGTTATTAACTGTGATTCAGAACTATTACAATTGAATTTTTCTAAGCAAATATGTGCTAAATACCTAACAAAATAAACAATAGTGCAGTCCTCCAGAGTTACTTCTACCTTTTCTGTATCTTTATTTAAATTATTATATGAATCATTTGATGATGACGATAATAAAGATTCTGTGTCACTTAAATCTATGTAGTTATCTGAACATGTAATGTTAGATTGTTGGTTATTTATGTATATTGTATGATCTGCTTCTGTGTATAAATTTTGTTCACAATTTGTACCTTTTGAAGTACAAACTAACGAATAAATGGCTGTGCTTCTAAACGATGTTCTCATAACTCTTGATGTAGGATTTCTATTGTAACCTTCCTTCTGTCGAAAAATTGAAAACAAATTTTCAAGTACATCTTGATTCAAGCGATTTGTCAATAAGAAGCTGATGTTATATTTTTTTTCATCTGCAAAAAACTGTAGTACACCATTTATGGTTTGAGTAAACCCATTAAAACACGGAGGCCGAGTGATTTTTTTTTTAGACAACTTGAACATGTCAATAAAATACGAGGACGCATAAATTAAAAATTTTTTTTACACGATTTATATCGGACAAACCACAGTTATAAATATTTTTACTGTACAAAGATCTGCTATTCAAACAATCAAAAAGCCTGTTCATAAAATTTACAAAGTTTGCTGTATCTAAAGCTGTTTCACTAATTAATTCGTTTGTAGATACACAAGTGCGAATTATTGAAGCCATAGTGTTATTAAGAACTTGAACAGCAAATGTTACCTTCATTTTTTGAAACAAATTTGGATTTATGTGTGTATCCGTAATTTTTAATAAACAGGACTCGGAAGTTCTAGCAAATGCATATTTTTATTGGTTCGTCCTAGAACATCCAAAGTAAGATACAAATATGTTCCACACTTCTCTGGTGTCATACACGAAATTTTATTTTGCTATTTTTTGCATATATACAGTTTTTACTGCTATTTTGCTAATTTTAGGTTTTAAGTGCTATTTTTGGGTATATTTTCACATAAATACATATTATAGGAGGTATTTTGCTAATTTTGAGTTATAAATGCTGTTAATGGGCATATTTAAAGAAATAAACACATATTGTTGAAAAACTAAATTACCTACCAAACAGCCGCCTACGAATATGTGAACGAAAACAAATCGTTTTATTTTAAGATGGTACGCATCCGGAATAAACGGCCTTAGACCGTTGTTATCGTCGATTAATCGGACAATTCCATTAATTTCCAATAATTTAGTTATTTTTAAAATTGTATCAAAATATGAACTGCAGTTATCGAATTCGTCGTATTTACGTAAGATACGGCGTTATCGCCGTATGTAAAGACTTATGATTTTATTTTAGTTTTCTGCATTCTACCGTCATTTGCATATTGTGTGTGCGTTTGATCGTGAACTATCGTATTATCGTGTTTAAAAATGCCTAAAGTTAAAAAAAATTTGTCAAATCGGCTCCAAACCTATGTTAATTTATATGGTCCTAATATTTTTTCAATAGATAAAAGTGTAATATTTTGTAAAATTTGTGAAGTCAAAGTTAATTCTGACAAAAAGTTTAAGGTATCACAACATATAAAAAGTGACAAACATATCAAAGGCCTTGCCCGATATGAAAATCAAATAAATCGGAAACAACAGCAGTTATTGATAGCGACAAGTAATATTAGTAAAAAATCGTAAAAAAGATAACTGTTTTTCCTCTTGTGGCCATGGTCAGTGGTTTTTCATTATTTGCATTGTTACCAGTGGTTTTGAGTTAACCAAAGGAAAAGGAAACGTATTAATAACCTTACTAACGTCATTATGAATTTTAAACATTTGTAAACTTCTTTTTAATTTACTTATACGAGATCTTTTATTTTTCAATTTGGTCGATTGATTTTGCAACTGTACTTTTAATTTTTTTTTTCTAAGTGTATCGTCATCACAACAATTTATTTTTAAATTAGGACAGGGCATATCTATTATATTTTCTATTCGTCTTTTGGGTGTGGTCATAATAAGACTTGAAAATATTAATTATTTTACATCAGACGTCGAATGGTGCTCATAACATTTTGTAGAAGTTAATACATTAGAATTAACACTTAGTGGCAACAATTTTTCATTTTCAAAAATTCCTAAAATTAATAAAATTGAAAATAAATAATTGTAATAGCTGTAATAAAGTTCAAGGGTTTTGTAACATGTTTTATAAATAAATTTCAAATTTCATAAATTTAGTTGATAAATTTGTGGTTCTGAGTGGAGTGGTAAATGTATTGATTTTACAATGATGTGTTTTATTTTTTATATTTGTGTCTGAAGATAAAATTTGGAGGAGTACCAAATAGTGCTGCAATCTTAAAAGTCAAAGTTGGTTTCGGGTAGCAAAGTGATATAAGTATATAAGAGTGATATACTTTGGGGGATCAAAAATAAAAATTTTCAGCAGTTTTCAAATGCTAAATACTAAATATTTATATTGGCATCGCCTGTACATGGTATAACTTTTGAAAGATTTTGAAGTTTTTTAAGCAATTTATGGACAGTTAAATTTTCGATTTTTTTTTTATAAATTTAAAAATGTTTTGACTGAAGAAAAGTTTGAAAAATTAATAGAAGATTTTACATAAGTTAATCTATGAGTGATTCAAAAATCATCAAAATACATTGGGACATTTTTTTTATAAACGTTTAAAGTTCAAATACTGACGAAATTCGTCAAAATCACGAAAATTTACAAATTATTTTATAGTTCAGATTGTATACATTTTATTCTATTCATAACTAAGAATTGAAAATTGTCCATAAATTTTGCTTACAACAATTATAAATAAATTTGAGTGTGAGTCAATTAAAAAATCAGTTTAATGTAAATTTGGTAAATATTTAAATGCAATTTTTTGCCAACAATTAATTCAACCTACTTTATTACTAATTTGAGTAATTAATTTAAATAGCAATAATATCATAATATATACCTAATAATATGCTGACGGTCTGAAAAACCGCCTTTACTCAGAATCGTAAATCCATAATTAACGAGGTATACAAACAGGTCTCGAAACATGGTGCTAACTCGATGTACTTAAAAAGCACTAAAATATATACATGTCTTATTAAAAAATATTTTAATATTTTATAATTGTTACTAAATATTTATGAATAAAAACGGAACAATGTGTGTCAACTAAAAAGGATTTGAAAAATACATTACAAGAGAAAAATCCCAATAAGTCTTCTAGCCCAAAAAAAAACCATGCGAATGTAATAACTGCCGAGACCTGTTTATAAGCAATTATGATAAATTTAAAGTAACATTACCACTGGATGTTGATGGTTGATCTTTATCCCTAAATTTATAAGGAATATATCAGTTGGCTTTAACTTCGTCATTTCTTGTCATAAAACAGTCAGATGAAAAATGTTCTTGGCATAAATATTTAGTGTACAGTTTTGATTTATCAAGAGATAATATTTTCAAATTTCCTAAAACAATAAATTAATCTGTCTTTTACGTCGATTATAATAACTTGTATAATTATATATGAAAAGTCATAAAAATCCATGTCCTAATGCTTTAATCATCATAAATGTCAACATAAAATTAAACTAATTTAGGTACTTAATCATCTATACGACTATACCTAATATTAATAAATTAAAAATATTCTAACCTGCATTGATGGTTCATGTGTCTAATCTAGTTTCATCTCTCGGAAATCGAAACATTTTCAATGTTGGAAAATTTTTTTTTGATTTGTTGCAATTCACATATTGACAGATATTACCAGACATCATAAGTTTAAAATTTTAAAATTGATTAAATATTTTAAAATAAATATACTGAAAATGTGTTTGTAAATGTGGAAACAGCTTTATAAGCACAATAAAATGAATATTTTATATTATATAAAATCAATGATATTTCCAAGTTTGTTACATTTTCACTCAACATGAGTAGCCACTCAATTATTCGAAACGCTGTTGTTTTTGTCGACAGAGTAAAATATATCAACAGTTAAAACAAATCCTAAAAATAGAATATAATCAGCTATCGTAGTGCATATAGCAAAACAGCACCCATCCAATGTTTATCCCTCTTGAATGCAATCGAACACATCGACGTCTAACGGCTGAATGCAATTAGCCGCTGCCACTATTAACAATAGAATGGCTTATCTGTATATTATAAAATCAATGCCTCAACCTACAAAAATTAAAAATAAAAGTAGTTACAAACAATTCGAGCATCCTGATATACATAAATAAATAATTTAGGTACATGCAGTTAAACATTTTGAAAATAAATACATTTTTTTTAATTACAATGTTAGAAAGACTTTTTATTACTATTTGCAAACAATATTATTACACTGACCATGATATAATAAATTATATTATATCATGACACTGATTTCATTCTAGTCGAGCCGCAGTAAAGATTGCCTGAGCAGTGTTGCTCCATGACAGTAGTAGTTCAAGGGCGTTCGACGCACGGGCGGGTTTAAGTGGATGGCTAAGGGGGCATTACCCATCCCTTAGGACTAACCTATCTACTTTACAAAGTAAAGTATTATTATATATTAATAATTATAATAAAATATCGTCAATAGTCATTGATGAATATGGTACCTATTTTATATATTTTTTTTATAAATAAATAGCTCACTTTTGTTGTTAATTATATGTATTTACCTACATTTTAAAATGGTTTCAGATTAAAATTGATACAAATAATGTAACTATTTAAACTTTGTCATTATTGAGAAAAAAATTACTTACTTATGAGGGACTCAAAAACATATTCTGTAATTTAAAATTTTATATAGATTTAAAAAACTTACTAACTAAATTCTTAAACCTACATTAGCCTCTCCCTTGGTTAGTGATAAAACCCACCCCTGGTTCGACGTACAGTCGTCTTGCACGAAGGCTTATGTTTATTGTTATTATTTATGGTTATTGTTATATGCTAGTGAAATGCCAAACGCTTATGTCTACAACTTAAATACAGCTGTAATTAATTATATCCTAACATTTAACAATTTATTTATTTTTTTTGATAATATTATCGAAAATGATTAAATTGTAATTACTTATCTTCATATTGAATCCTTTCAATTGTCTTCTCCCTCCTATTCAAAAACTGACACCTTCATCCACCTAAACATCCACTCGTTTTGATTTTCTACATCCCCTGTACACACACCAATAATCCATAGAGGGCAAAGCCTATATCTATCTGGTACAAAATGTTTGAGTTTTAACATTCAATTATAAATTTAGCAACTTTCTGTACTACAACTAAATTTTTTTTATAAACTTCATTATTTTTTTTCAATAAGCGATTAAACCGGTAGATGATAACATAAACAAAATCCTTAATATTATTCATATAGGATTGTGTATCAATGATTTGACAGGTTCCACTTAGTTATTGTTTGTAGAGTTGTTTAACATATTTTAACTAAACTATTGCAAAGAATGGCTAATGAAAAAAACAAAAAATTATCAAAAAACAACAAATAAATGTGTATGATTGGTATAAGTTTATACTATTCACGTTGGCAATTAATAGTAAATACTTATATATTATGTATTATAAATATTATAATAAAGTTATACTTTTATAATACAATTTATTATTTAATATCAATTATAACGCTAAACTATAGTGGATACAATTAAAAAAATGAACACTAAAATGGGTATAAGACAAGATAAAAATGAAGAAACAAGAATCTAAAGTAAAAAAAATGTTTTCTAAGGAGAAAAAAAGAAAAAGGATATTATTGAAACCTTATTTACTTTAGGGAAATAGTGTTAAAAGATTACAGAAGTTAGAATAGCAGAAATAGAGGAGCATCATTTAAGAAAAAATGAGACATGAAAACTTATATAAATATATATAAGCAGAATTGGTATGTATGTAATAATATGAGCTGTAATCCATGTAATCCATGTAATCCATGATCATAATATAACTACCATGAGATCATTTAATTCAAGTATGACATCATTTTATTTTATATTAAACAATAATTTGAACATCGAAAATATATTACAATTACGTTAAGATTGTAACAATTTGGCAAATCACTTAAATAAAAATTTGAAATTCTCATGAAAAAACAAACAATATTACAATAAATTATTGTAAAAAGAAACAACTTCATACAATCAGATTTCAAAAATTAAAAAATATTTATATCATTAAAAACATAGTCACATAAATGATTTAAAATAATTTCAGAAATATTGAGAAAAATACTACTACACCTTAATTAATATCACAGAAATGTTTAGACTTGTCAACATACAAATCATGACATTCAGATAACTCATGCACCTGGTTTCAACAATGGTGTACGTTCCTGTACATTGGAGTTAGCTTTATGGACAGATAGGCTAACTGAAGTGCTTACTTTATTGCCTCGTTCTTCAAGTTGTCTAAAATAAGAAAAAAAAATTTAGTAATGTATTATAAGTTATCAAAATATTTATAGTTTATTACTTTCTGTGTATACTATGTAAAAGCAATGCACTTTGATTTACTTCCATTGAAGTTAAATAACTAGATTTATTAAATATTGATGAATTCATTATAGAACTGCCATTAATTCGGTTCGGGCGACCAGTCAATCTAAATCACGGAATTTTATAGTTAAAAATAAAATAATTAATTTATGATAAATTTACATACCCTTCTTTATGCAGTAAACGTGTGCTCTGATCAAGCCCAATTAAACAAGAAGGTATTTCAGCAATATATAATGAACTACCAATTACATCATGATTCAGATTCTAAAATTATTAAATAATTTTAAAATTAATATTGAATGAATAAATGTTTTAATTTTTTTAAATACCGGGTTTATCGAAAATTCACTGGTAGATGCATATGTTTGTCGAGTCTTAGCAATTATCTCTTTTACAAATTCTTTAGCTTCAATATCAACAGGATCCCAAGTAGGATTACGTACAGAAAAACTGAGTAAAGACATTTCTAGTTTTCCATCTTCAGCTTGATCAACTTGAGGTAATTTAGCAGTAGGTTGATCGAATGATCGAGATACAGGGGAACGCCAAGCTGGATTACCATTTTTACGTAAATTCATCATAGAAAAAGCACAAACATCACCCACTCCTGCTACTTCAGCAGTGTAATTTCGATAAAAATCAACAATTTCTAAGGCTCTAGGACGAAGCCAAAAGAACAAAATAAATGGAGTGACTAGTGGTGAGATTAATTCATTTATTAAATAATTCTGAAATTTGAAATTTTTTTTAAATTCAAAATTTTATTTAAACCAAAATTATATAAAAACTTACAGCTTTAAAAAGAAATATTTGAGAAAACTGATTTCTAACATGTTGAGTATGTGCTTTTCCAACCCATGAATCTGGAAGATAATGCACTTGAGCTAATACATCTGTCATTAATGATTCTTGACAAACTATTTCTTTTTCGTCATCAACAAAACTCCTAAAATAGGATAAATTATCAACAACAAATTCAATTAAAAATAATATCTATCATAAAATACAAATAATTTGACTAACCGACAAATTAAAAACAATAGTGATAATCCACTCAATATAGTAATCATATGTTCAATAGATAAAATACTATCATCATAAACAGTCAAAGCAAGAATTGGTACCATTATAGCACTAGTAAAAAACATTGTGTTCCTGAATATTCAAAAAGATGAATAAATGATACATAAGTTAAAAATTCTGTATTAATCATACTTTGCAATTATAAGACTAACAGGTGCTGCAAAACTTTGCAAATATTTAGCAGCAGGCTCATAAGCATGACTAAGTCGAGCACTAAGTTCATGGTCAAGTTCATTGAAATGACGCAAATATATTTTTGAATACAAGGACCACATACGAATACTAAGAACACTTGGTTCATTTTTAACCATCTACAAAATAAAAATAAATCAAATGGTAATTAATATTTTTAATTGCATGTGCAGTAAATTATATAAAGAATGTGAATAAATATCTTACTTGGGCATTATCACACAACTTATAAATTAATTGCCAAGTAAAAATGACTGGAGAAAGCAATAAATTAATCAAAGCAACCCAGCTAATAGTTTTACTAATTGATTGTGCCAACTCTAAACGTTTTCCAGGTTGTTTATATTCTGGTTTAAGATGCCAATTATTTTCGAATGGTGACCATGGTCCCCCTGAAATTAAATTCAAAAAATCTATATTTATATAATATAAAGAACAAAGTAATCATAAATCTACTAAAAAAATAATTACATTAAAGTACAAAATTTTAATTAAAATATTTAAGCAATAATAATAATTAAAAATATATAAAATGTAACATATCATAAATAATAAATACTTACAAAAAAGCAACAGATTTAAATTGTACTTCATTCCATGAGAAAAATATATTACATCACCAAAAAATGGTATGTTAAAATGAGTAGGAAGTACAGATTTATTCACAAGGGCTATTAAGTAGTTTTTTGTTCTAAAAAAAATTAACAATTAGTTTAATAAAATATTCAAATATTTTTGATTATACTAAAATATACTTTAACTTACCTTAAAATACGTTGATAAATGTCAAGTTCAGTAAGATCTAATTTATGAATACACATGTTCTGTTCTTTTTGAGCTTCTATTACTTTTTGTATTATTTCTCGCCAAGTATAATTTTCTAACTCTTTCTATAATTAGGTAAATATATAAATTAATTAACTATCAACTCCATTTGAAGAATTTAGGAGATAAAACATTGTTATTATAATACTTATAGTTATCATAAAATCTTACATCAGGTATATGCAGAGCAATATTATAAAATGCTTTGATATCAGCATAATGGTAAGCAACATTGAATACTTTCATAAGTCGAAAAATAGCGAACATTAATAATGGTAGCATATATAAATAAGTTAAAATTGTAAATTTGCTTGTACATTTTGAGGCTGGCAGGAAAACATCAGATAAACGTACCTTATCAGTACCATTGACAATTTTGCCTGTATCTACTGGTTTATTTCTAAATAAAAAACATAACAAATTAACTAAATTAAATTTTTTTGCAATAATTCACAACTAATTACTTATGGATAAAATTTTAAAAATATAAACAATTATATAAATATTATACTATATTTATTATATTTAATTGTTATTTTAAAATATATATGTATATATATATATATTAATTTATAAAATACCATTTAAAAAATATAATATGCATGATTATATTTAATAATTTAAAAGAATTATTATTATATTTATACATTATAGTAAACGTTATAATAAATTAAATAATTTAAAACTTGGAGGGATAGAACAGTGTTACCCAAACTATGGGTTGTAACTAACTACAAGTTCCATTAAGCAGCTCAGTACTATGTCATTAGAAATACTATATTATTATATATTTTTTTTTAGAGTTGATGGGGATGAGTCGTGCAATAATCAAGCAATACATTTGAGGATTGACATTACATAAAGAATGGGAAACACTGGAATAGAGACTATTTTTTTTTTTATAATATTCTTGTTTTAAAAAATGTTAACAAATTTTTCATATATCAAATATTCTTGTAAGTATAAATTAATACCATTTAAATATTTTTAATCATGATATACATACAGTGATAATAAAACACTCATTACAACTTAATATTTTTAATAAGAATAATTTTGTTGACTTGATAAAAAAACATAATATCAAAAATATAGGGGAAGGAGGATACTAAATTAATTTGGTATATAAATATATACTATCAGTGATGTAACTACCCTCTATAGGTAACCGTGGTGAATTATTTTTCAGCACTTAATTTACACAAAAAAAACCAATTTAATTTAATTCAAATACGCCTCCTCACTTTCCAACTTTATCCCCTTGGCAATTATCCATTTTGCCAACCTCTAATTATGGCACTGAGTACTAAATATAATAAGTTAAGAATTAATAATTTAACAAAAACTTTAAATACCTGAAAAGTACTGGATAGTCAATGCAGTAAAACAAAAATAACGAAAACACCAATAAGAATATCACTTGCAAAAGATCTAGTGCTGATTGAAGAATCAGACAAATAAATCCATGTCTTTGGTGATAAAGGTAGATCCTTGTAAAAAAAGTATCTAAATCTTCTATATGATTCCAACGATCTAAAACAAATATATATATATATATATATATATATTTGATAATTAATGTTATCATTTATAATTAATTTAAAACTGTAATCTTCATATTTTCAATATATTTCTCCTAAATTGAACATATCTCAACATTAGATATATCATTAAATACATATAGTATAAACAATTAATCTACAAAACCTATTTATTTTCACTGTTCTATACATAATTATAGATATATATATAAAATTAAAAAATATTTAAAATAATATTAATATTAAATTTAATAATAAAAATATTAAAGACTGAAGTATTTATTACACTGATTATTATTAATGTAAATAAGATATTATTCGTTATATTTCTGAGCAGATCATATAACCAAATCCCTACATTCAATAAAACTGAAAATTGTATAATGTATTCAAATAAAATCATATTATGTTACTTACTTCTAACATTAGGAGTGAACTGGAAATGAACTTCTTCTTCTCTTTCGGAACTAAGAACTTGATATCCCGATTCAGGCATCTTAATATCTAAAATTAATAATCATCAAATAAATTTAGGAGCTAACAAAATAATATATATACTGTAATTAAGGCATATCAAGATATGTAACACAATGCAAAATGCAATTCAATGCAAATATGGTCTGAGATATTGACAAAATAACACTAATTACAAAATGTTGCAGCGAGAAAAAATGAGGAAGGAAAAACAAAGGATACACATGGTAGGAGGTCAAAGTGTAATAGATCTTTATTAACTAAAAAACCTTTGTTCTCCAAAAAGCGCAGTGTAAAGGTGTTCTTGATAGTTGTGAGATCAGCGTCTTATATATTTACATTCAATCATGGGTTAATAAGTCCATTCATTTTTTCACGAGATCAAAAAGTTCAACTAGGTACATGATTAGAATTAGAAATGTGATAGATATGTAATAGCGAAATAGTTGATAAACATAAGATAGAGAAAAAATTAATTATAAATAATCAAAACTGCGCATTTGTTCATTGATAATATTATCATCATGCTGATACTGGTATGAACCAGGGACAAGGTTCTGACCACTAAATTTCAATCTCATTACATATGAATACGATTGAATCATAGACATAATATAATAATAATATATTATGTCTATGGATTGAATACATTGGATACGATGTAAATAAGTCATAAAAATACAACAGAAAAAAAGTGGATATTCAAAAGCTATGGTTTTAAGCCTTTATCTAACTGATAGTTCACAATTGGTAATAACAACTTCTGACGCATAAAGTTGCACCATAGAGTAATATAACTTTATGAGTTGCACCAATACAACTTATTTTTTCGATAATTCGACATTATAGTTGGTAAAAACTACCGAAACGATAATATGACACCAAAGTAAACTACATCTTACTAACCATAATAATTATTTTGTTGATACAGTATTAAAATAACATCGAAATTGATAAAATGAAAATATAACCTTTCCATAATAATTCATCTAATAATAATTATTTCATAATCATGTAATTATTACATCTGGCCAATTGACACAATGATAATTAAAACGTGTTTGTGAAACTAAATTTTACAAATAATGAAATATTTATATAAAATAAATAACATTAAAATACCTCTAGAATCTAATGGTATGATCAGTGGCGTAGTTATAGGGAGGGTGTAAGGGGTTTCCACCCCCCCCAAAGATTTTTTTTTTTAATGATATTCGATTATTATTTATTAATATTTACATATTTTAGTAAAATATTTCGATTTTACTATAATTAGGTAAATATCAAATATTGAGTAACAAAATAATTTTCATTAAATACGAAACATAATAATAATACCATTTTGAATGTAATATTATTACATATGACCTCGTTTTAAGATATACTTAGAACACTTTAAAACTTACTCTTAAACACCCACCCCCAAAAAAAAATTTTATCTACGCCACTAGCATGGCTTATCAAAGGTGGGCATTAACTAGTTCAAAAGTTGAAGTTAAATTAAAAAATTAATTTTTTAAAAAGTTTTAACTTTAAACGTAAATACGTAAATATGAATATAAAAATTAAAATAATTCTATGCTATAATAACACAAACATTCCGGACCCGGACATTTCGCCGCTAACTTTCTCGCCACCAGACTATTCGTCGCGATTGTTTCGCCGCCGGATTACTCGTTGTCGGGCTATTCGCTGCGAAGCAGGAGCGGATAGGGCCGCCGGGACACCAGGATTTTCCCGGTGGGCAGCTACTTATATTGATGAAAATGGACCGATGAAATATATTACTACTAACACTATTACACTGCCGTACTAAGCAAGAATGTTGTAATTTCCCTCCATGCTATCTTGAGAAAAATGACATTTTATGTTTAGTAAATATGGTAATTCTAAATAAATATAATATTTTTCAAAGTAAAATCTATAGTTTATTAAGGAAATATATCTGATAAATGCAATGGAACTATTCAATTTTATTTTCAATTTTAATTTCACTAAGATATCATTGTTTTGATATTTATACTAAGCGCGCTATTAATTATTTAGAATTGTTTACTAAAAAAAAAATTCAGCAATTCTGATTACGGCAATTTTACGTAGCATACCAAAATATACTGATCACTAACGGTTGAAGAAATAACGCCGTATATTATCTATTTATTTTTTGTAGTTATAATTATTAATATATTTAGTTATAACACGTCAATAAGAAAATGATTAAAATTATTAAAATATCTTTACTTTAAAATCATAGTTAATATCTATATATATATTCAAATTTTATTAATTACACATCGTTATATTTTCCTAGAATTGTTTTCTATTACTTAGTATAATTTGCTTCAAATTCAAAAGTATATCGTCACGTTACGGTTTTTAACGTCCACGCATTGATACATACTCTATATGAAAACTCTACGTCAGCGGTTCCCAAATTTTTTTTTTCGCGGTGCCATTTTTGGACTCAATTTAGACACGGTGCCCTGCTGTGAATAACATGAAAGACAAAACAAAAAAAATACTCATTGATAACTTATTTTATTAATTTTATTAAAATTTAACTTCATTATAAATTAATGCATTTTTAAACCTAAAAATTAAATAAATAAAATTATTGTTATCATTATTATAATTAATACATAAAAATATTATAAGGTTAAAATGAGAATGTCCAAATATACAATAGAAAATATTTCATTATTTGATATAAAGTTTTTACGAAAACAATAAGGAAAAAAAATGTTAAACATTTTAAACTATTTTTTATGAACCATAGACCACAGTGCCCTTAGAAAATGCTCGCGGTGCACAATTTGGAAACCGTTGCTCTACATTATTTCCAAGTCATATTCTAATATTGAAGTTCACATCAGATCTTCTGTCTTCTGTAATTTTTTCAAAGCACTGTTTTGTACAATTGTCTTTATCACAGCCTGGTAACACCTTATTTTGGTTTTTTTGTAAGTCAAATTTTATTTTTTTTTCGCATTTATACACTTTTTAAATATTTTTTTCTTTTTCTAAATTCTCCGGATTTTGTGAAAAGCTCGACATCATTATTAATCTCAATCATCATCAATATGAATAGGTAACTCAGATACATCTATTATAGATTTATTATAAACCTATAATAGATGTATCTGAGTTAACTATTCATATTGATGATGATTGAGGTAATTTTCAGATAATAATAATTATTATCTGAAAATTAGAGGAACCCAATTCTTTATTTTTCGAATGAAAAACTTAACATAATATTATATATTATATAGTTATAATTTTAATATTTTACATCGATTAATTTCTTCAACTCCAACTAATAAATCTGTTTCTGCAATTATAGCTGTAGTTATTAATTCTGGTGAACCATAAATAACACTTATGTTTGGGTCATAATCATACACAATATTTTCTGTATCCATTGCAAAAATAAAAACTGTGCATAAAGATATTTACGACTCGGTATCATCAACAACTGAACGAAATATAATTTGCGTGCGATGTATGACAGTGAAATTCCAAATATTTTTAAAATCTTTAAAATTATTTAAAATTAAATATATAAGATACAGCAATCGGTTTCCTAAACAACAACGCCGTAAATATAGATTATGTGGAAGTGCTAAGCAAAAACACCGCATTTGAAATAAAAAATACGCGTCCACACGGTGTGGCATTTATTTCCCGATTTGTATTAATTTCCGATAGAAATTTTTCTTTATTAATGGTCGCTATGAGTTTTAAAGCTATATTAATTATAATAATAATAATAATACATTATAAATAAATACTATAGAGTTGTGTTATTTTTAATGAGTAACGAAGTGCACGAGATCAGCAAGTAATCTATATTTTTGAATCTTAAAAAACATGAAATTAAAGATTTTTGAAAAATCATTATTGATCTTTGTATTTTTAAAAACAGAGAATCTTTAGTATCGATATTTTGATAGAGTAAAAATTGTGTTTTCTGGAAATTACTACAAAAATCAGTTTTACTTCAGTGAATAAAGTTTTTTATGTTATTAATTACTTAAAAAACAATTTAAACACCTACTTAAAAAATAAGTACTGATGCCATGCAGCTTTATCGAAAATGCGTCCACACACACGCGGCATACTGTTGAACCATTGATTATAACATAATTAATTAGGTATTAAATTGATTAATACATTGAAGTAAGACTCCTCGTAATACCAGCATACAACCAGGCCCGTCGTGAAAGGGAGAGGAGCTGAGGCCATAGCCCAGGGGCCCGAGCTTCAAAAAAGGCACGAGGCCTGACCAAGTTCACTACGTCTCGGCCATGGTATCGAGCCATTTATGGATTACCAACATGAATCGTGCTAATAATTCACCCAAATAATTATAGCGTATGCTGTATAGTTATAGCGAGTCTACAATAAAGTGAACACTACAATATTGATCTAAAACGTAAACAAATAACATTTTTATGATAGACCCATAGGCTGTAAATAATTATTTTCATTTAGTCTGCGTAATAACCATTACTGCGATTACATTATCTCTTTAATGTACAAATTCTAAAAGAAGACACTGGATGTCAGTGGCAAGTATAATACCTCATGTGAGAAAGACCTGGATTTGTTTGTCCCTGTGTCCCTTTATTTCTCTCCACGGCCCTGCGTAAAACATAGGTAAGTCGTAGGTAAGTACCTATGATTTATTTAGTGACGAGGTAACCCATTGACCGTGATATTATATACGTCATTATAATATACTTATAATATATCACTGTATAATGATTTTTAACTGTTTCAACAATGAAATAAATAAAGAACTAAAAATACACAAAAGTTAATGTCGTAAGTTTAAATAATTGCATCGTACTAATATAATACAACAGGTTAATCCTCCACCTAAATAATAGAGAAGCGAGCAAAAAATTAAACCTGATAGTGAATGGTATCAAACAAAAATGCACCAAAGTATCTAGGTATTGAGCTTGACAGAACATTAACTTTTAAACAACATCTAGAAACAGTGATCGAAATGGCTCAAGATAAGTGGAGAGATGCCTTATGATTCAGATTTCCTGATATCGTCATATTATTCTTCACACCTTGTGTACCTATAATATATATTTTTTTTTTATAGTTCACATAAAGTATATTATCTTAGTCCGTGGCTCTAAATACAGGTATAATACGAGTTGCGATACGGTTTATACTAAATAACACGATAAGCCGGGCGCCCGGGCCTGAATGTTAAAAACAATTATTTTCACTGAAAAAAAAAATGTCTTATATATAAATATAAAAATGGTAAGTATATTATTTTAAAATACAAGTCTTAGGAGGAATACGTTATTCTTGACAAAACAAGTAGAGGGGTGAAAACTGTAAATACAAAAAAGTAGAGAGATGCCATCCCTCCAAATCCGGGAGGGGGGCATTTCGAGCACTGTCTAGAAGGGGTAAAAGACTAGTTAAAACCTCGAATTAATATCATCAGAAAACTGGCTGGAACAAATTTGGGATGTAGGGCGAATATCCTACGAATTTCATCCTTGGCATTAGTTTACAGCTTTGCAGAATACTATGCCTCAGTATGGGCAAGGAGTGTTCACACTAAAAATATCGACGTACAACTAAATCGATCAATGAGAATTATATCAGGATGTATTAAATCAACTAAGTTGCAGTGGCTACCAGTGCTATCGCATATAGCCTCACCAGAACTCCGTAGACACAGTGCAACGCTAAAGATGATCGAGAAAATACTAAACTCTCCAAGCCTCCCAATCTATAATGACGTGTATAACGCACCAAACAAGAGACTGAAATTAATAAATCTTATATGGACGTTAAAAAATTGTACGAATACAGAAGGAGATTTATGGAATACGCATTGGGAGGATGGAGCAGTTCTGAATAATCACCTCATAAGTGATCCAGCCCAATTAATTCCAAGTTTCGAATTCCCCCGTGTAGCATGGACTGCCCTAAATCGCGTAAGAATTGAGTAAGGAAGGTGCAATTATTTGATGCGCAAATGGAGATTGGTGGACTCTCCGCTTTGCAACTGTGGCTAGATCCAAACTATAGGCACATTGTTGAGGAATGCCCGGAAAAAATGTTCAGTGGAGGAACACAGAAATACACAAACGCGACCAGGAAGCGCTAGATTGGCTGTGTAATCTTGCTATACGCTTATAGCATTTTATAATTGTTACATTGTAACTTGTTTATTTATTTATTTATATTAATTCGTTATTACTTTTATTTTATTTTATGTTTATTATGTAATTACTTTTTACATTTTATTTTTGCACATCAATACTATGCTATATGCACTAAAAAAAATTAATTCACTGATGATCTATTCGAAAGGTTATAAAAAAGTAGGTAGTTGATACTACTTGAACTAAGTATTACCTAATTGTTATTACATATATTATTCGTATACACTACACACTGTACCAATGATTATAATGATATTAATATATATATACTCATGAAATTACTTCAATGTAGTCAATTGTATACAGGTATTCAAATGAAAAAAAAAAACTATTTAATTATTTTATCATTTGAGTGAAAACCCATTAGTTAGGTTATTATTTTAATATTATGGATCAACGTGCTATTATCATTACAATATTTGTAAATATTGCCAGCTTTGCAAATGGTGGCCATGATTCATGTATAGATAATGAGTGATTGGCACTTGATAAAAATAATTATCTCATCTATATCTGTGATTATCTATGGACTCATGTCAGCTATCTGGTTGTTTAAAACACGATTATAGATTGTATCCAAGGTTTATACATCCACCTTGATTGTATCCTATCTATAATCGTGGTTATAAATTTCTGTGGATGAAATTTGTCTGGAGCATAGAGTAATATTATAGTAGTATTATATTAGTCTATGGTCTGGAGAAGTCACAGACCTTATCTCTTGAAGCAATGATAAGAATTATTTCAAATCTACCATGCAGTATACGAATATTGAGTATACAGTGCGTATTGCAATGTGGTGATCATCCGCAGTATGTCTGTTCGATATAATTTTGTTTTTTCGCAAGTTGAGTTTATGACTGGAGGCGTAGTATAAGTGTAATTATTGTGTTGTTGAGATTACCTTACTGATTTATCTTAAGTATGACGAAATAACTACATAATTTTCAATTTATGATTTTAACCATTACGAAATATACTTAAATTTATTTTCAAACATATCAATATTTATTAAGTTTTTGAACAGATTGTTCATTAATTAGTAAAATATGGAAAAAGTAAATTATAATATACGTAAACGTATCGAGATTGGTCAATTACCTAGATTTTCTAGACCCATCCATATGTATTCAAACAATGATGATGCAAAATATATGGAACCAATTAATATCTGGAGTCATAATTTAAGTGTTATTAAACATCAAAAAGAAGAGGAAGAAAAACTATTAACAAAGTAATTATTGTGTACAAAAAATTATTGTTTCTATTAAAAAAAGAGGATATGCATAGATCTAAATAGTATCAAACATGTAATTTAAATTGTATAGGTTTCTAAATATTTTTATATAGGAATATTATTTTATTCTTATTTATCAGGATGGGCTTAATCTAAAGAAACAATTAAATAAACAATGAAAATCATACTTTTTTAGAAAATCTATTTTATCATTTAAAATTTAATTATAACAATTTAATATAAATAAAATTCTGTATAAATTGTAAAAGAATGAATGATTAAAATGATTAATAGATATTTTTAATACCTGAAATATTAAAATACAATTTATTATTTATTATAATTTTATATTTAGTTGTCATATTTTTTAGTTACTTATGTTAACTTTTTATTCTTATAAAAATACTTTTATTGACATATACAATCTATAAATTGAGTACAGTGAGTAAATTAAAAAATGCTATTATTATATAGTGACCTTAGGTTAGAAGATGATTGTATGGTTGACTAAGATGATGAGAAATTGATTTGGTTCTAAGAAGATATTCTCCAGAGCGACAGAAGTTAAAAATTTCAGTATATATACATAGTAGCTGTTCTTACTATGATTTTTGATGAGTTATTTTAATATTTTGGACAGCAAGTTGATACTACATTCATAATTTAGGTAGTGCATTTGATGCCATCTCTTATGGATCATATTTTTTTAGTGATTAATTTCTAGAGCTCAAAAGTAAGGGAAATTTATTAGTACCTATGCGTAGAGTAATTTAGCAGATAAAAGTTTTTCTAATTCTGTGTATAAGGATATATCTATAAAATGAATATAAAGATTTGAATAAGACAAGAATTATTTAGAAATACACTAATTTACTAAATTATTGGTTGAAGTGGCAAGAAGACAAGTCTTATATACATTTTAAGTAGAAAATAAATGTGTTCAGATGCTGAGTTGGCATAATAGTTTTGTTTAGAATCTATTTGGTAAATTGGTTAGGAAAATTTTCATTATATCTGAATTATTTGAGTAGGTCTGTTCATTTTATGAGTTAAATGCAATTTTTTTAATTTTAATTGCTGCAATGTACAACCTCTTATGTTGATTAATTAACTTCCCCAAACAAAATGCTTGACATTAAATTCAGTCTTAATAATTAATATTTGGCTAAATGATAAAATTATTATAGAGTTCGTAGGTAGGAAATTGTAGAAAGTAATGGATTAGGAAGTAAGTATAATGTTTGTAGATGATGCTGCAGTTTGAATATTAACTGTTCAGGTAGATATAGATTATATTCAATTTTGTTGGAAACTAATAGTACGGTTTCTGTGGGACCATTCCATTAAGGTAGTGTGAATAATTTTATAACACATAATTTTAAAATTTTAAAAATTCTTGCTTAAGTTTATGTTTCATAAATATGAACAATATCTATTTTTTTTTCCTTCAATGATGATATACAGATAATTGTTGTATTGGAGTATGCCATTTCTATTCCACAGAATTGTGATTAAAAGTTATTCAAGTCACTAGGAATTTAAGATGAGTCTGTCGTAACCTTTTGTTAGTGATGAGATGAATAGGTTGATTAATACTGCTAAGTTAGAAATGAAAGATGAGTATGGAAGTCTGAATTTTGGTTTAATTGGTTTTATAGATAGAATTAGGTAGAACCATAGTTTTGAGTTTCTGCTTCATAACTGATGGCTATTGTAGTATGTTATAGTAGTTATTAAACCAATAATTTTCAGTTTAAACATTTTTTTTTTTTTTTTAGGATAGCAACTTTTTTTATTTGCAATGGTAGTAATAAGTATTAAAAATTGTTGTTTAATGTAAGGATTAGTTAATGTTTTTGTAGGATATTGGAGATATTCATTACTGAGAATTCTTTATCATAAAATTTGTGTTCAGCGGATTTGATTTCTATAGTCTATAGATCGACGGACATTATGTATAATAATAATCTTGGTAATAAAGTTTTTGTGATACGTATAGTAAGAAACTGCTCTTGGAGATGCTTAACTTCTTTTTTTTTAAATCGGCATTATTAGTAGATAGTTTAATATCTTTCATGGTGCTTTTACTCTTGAAACTAGCATTACTGGTTAATCCTTACATTGTTTACCAAATAAAAAGTAGTTAATATAGGTTTGCATAAGTATGAGCTGTGTTATAAATGTTTAAAATGTTATATGTAAAAAATATTTTTGATTATATATATATATATATATATACATGTGAAAATTCCATAAATACACTGGTTAAGTAAAAAAAAAAAAAAAGATTCTAAAATAAATATGTGTACACATTGAGTGTGATATGGGGATATTAGGAAAATATAGCTTACCCTATATTAATGAAATGGAGGTCTGCATTGCATTCTTAAAGATTTTTTAGAAACTCTAATTCTTGTTGACTTATATTTGTTTAAATTAAATCCTGTCTTTCATGTAACTACCAAAAACCCATATTAAGTGTATATCTTGATGCATCTATACATGAGCTGCTAAATATGGATCAATAAAATTAGGTTTATAATTCACAATTTCATTACTACTATAAAATATACTTAAACATACATTAAATAAATGTATTTCAGAAAATGTAGTAAAAAAAACCATTAAAATTTCATACAGATAAGTAAACAAGTTTCAGATTTGTTTTTCTGTGAAATTGATCTAATATAAAAAATTATTGTTTATTATGTTTTTTTGATTTTGTTATAAATTATAATATAAAATTATAATTTTATTTTCAGATGCCTTTCATTCTCTGAACTATGTCACGTTATCAATGAACCTAAAAATGAAATTATTTTGAAAAATTTGAACACTTTATATGGAATAGCACAAGAACTTTGTAAGTAATTTTTATTTATGGTACTAATTCCTAAGCATTATTAATACAATTTTAACATGTATTTAAAATAAAGTAAATACCTACTAAATGTATTTCTAAATGTATTTTAAATTAATAGCTTTTTAAATGCTGACAATTTGCTATAACTATTTAACTCTTTATTTTTCTATAACTTAAAATATTTTGAAAAAAATGTATTAATATGTGTTACATAAATTAATATCTGAATATCTCTAATTAGGTAATTATATTGAATATTTTATAATTATTCACATTTTTAATGATGTACAATATAATAAGTATGCATTTCATCTATATTTTTGTCTCAATTATATGGAATAATATATAATGTATAAATGGCAAATTAAAATACTAATGTAATATTTTTTGTAGAAAATAACACTAAAATTATGAAGTTCTTTTTTGAAATCAAAACAAAAAATGAAAGGTACAAATACTTAATAAAAATCATCTAGCTAATGGATGGTAAAAGTATTTAACAGTGACAAATACCATTGCCTACACTCTCCAATTTTTTTCTTTTCTTTATACATTACTCCTTTATACCACTTATAGGAAGTAGAGTGTAATGATTTTCATATTCAGTATATTTTTATAATCCTACTCCTTCCCCATATAAACGACTTTTTTGTAAATAATAGCTATCATCAAAATTTAATAATCATAAAATAACAGATGTATTTTATAAAATTAATGAAATAAAATATCTACATAATATTAGAAAACAAATAACATGAACAATTTAAAACTAATAATTCATACAACAGTGATTATATGATCTTCTACAATTACATACACTTATGTTCTCCCTTGCACCATTCTCTTCATAGTTTTTAAATACTGTGTTAGAAAATGGTATATATTTTTGTTGGAGACTTCAAAAAGGCCCACTGTTAAAGTGTATGAATAAAAGATTCATTGTGCGTATGTAATACACAAATATAACATTAACTAGGCAATAAGTTTTAATTTATATTTTATTAGTGAAATATAAATTACACCTTATACAAAAAAGAAAATTTTAAATGCAATATTATTACTTATATAAGTTATATTTTTTATTTCATACCTCAAAATTTTTTTTCATTAAAAAAATAACATAGTATATTGTTGAATTAATAATTTTCAGCTAAAGATGAACAACCTGAAATATTAAGTTCAGCCGTATTATTTTTTTTTAAATTGTTGATTGGTGTTTCTGGACTATTAATGAAACATATTTTAGAACTTAGGAGTATGTTTGGAAAAGTATCTAACAATAATGCTGATAAAATTTTTAAGGTAATCCTTAATTATTAAATATTTTAAGTTATCTAATTATAAGATTTCTATCTTATTGAAATTCAATTTAAATATGTATTATGATTATAATTTTTTTGAAGCTGGTTAAAGAAGTTGAAAAATTGATGAGTGATAAAAGTTTGAACAATTTAAAAACACTATGGGAAAAATTAGATGATCAAAAAACTGATATTGAAGAAAATCAAAATAAAGATCCAAATTCTTTAGACATCAGTATATTAAGTTATAGCTCTAAATGGGTCCCTCCAGATTTTGCTAAATTATCTACTCCTGACTATAGTTCAAAGAATTCATCAAATCTTTTTTCAATGGCTTATAACGCAGAAAAAAGAAACCTTAGTTCTCCAAATGTAAGTTAATAAGTTTTCAAGATTTTATCCCACAACTATTTACTGCTTTTTTGTAGTAATATAAATCCCATCATATATTTTTTTATTAGTGGGAAATATCTTGGCTGAATGGTTTAATGCAACTGTGCTCGAATGCATAGTCACTAAGTCAAACTAGTTTAATGTAAATATTTGTGGGACATGATTTATATGTAATTATTTAGTTAAACAATTTTATGTTATTTCAATTTTTAGTTCAATAAAATTTGGTTACTAAATCAAATTACTAAAACTACGTCAATAGATTTAGGCGTTTCAAATGAAGATTATTATAATAGTACAATAGATATACTTTCATCTCAAAAATCAGATACAGAATTGCAAGATGAAGTATGTAAATTAATATACTATTATTTATTTTTGTTCGTCTGTATGTGTATATGTAAGAAATTGAAAAAAAATATTGTTGTAAAATAATAATAATAAGACAGATTTTATGGAGGTAAAATCTAAATAGCTATTAAAATTATATTTTTGTGTACAATTACTTATTTGTATATAAGTCATAATTATTTATTTTTATAAATCTGGAACAGCTTCAACAAAAGTTTATATATATATGATTAATCACTTCATGATAAAATTACTTAAAAATTATAAAAAAAATTATTAAAAAAAAATATACAAATTTTTATTGTATCGATTGGATTATATAAGGTTTCATAAACAGTATATTTAAATTAATTAAAAATACTAAACTTTCATTTTCTTAGTTATAACTATTTCATTATCTTCCAAATCTAAACTTTTTCTTTTAGTACTCTGTTCTGTTTCTTCTAGTTCAGTTTCTTTTGATTCTGTTGATACCTTTTCTTGATCTGATTCATCACTACTATCTGTATCCAAATCAGAATCAAAATATCTTTTGGCTTTGGTTTTTTTCTTTATGGGAATTTCTGATGTACCTGCCTTTAATCCACACTCTACTGCATCAGAAACTGATTCTGTCATTTCAGATGTATGTTTTTCATAGTGCTCATCCTTAAATTCAGTTTTTGGTGCTTGACGTAGACGTTGTAATTTACGTTTTTTACGTTCTTCAGGATCCTCTGTACTAGGACCTCCTTTTGCTAAAAAATCTTTTACTCGTTTTTCTTCATTTATATCACGTAATCGGCGACCACTAAGATCTCTACAAGCTTCACGGTTTGTAGTTTTCTCAATTTGGGCACCAATTGCTCGTAGCATTGAACCAAATCCTCCTTTCCCTCCCAGAACTCGAGGTATAATATGTACAATACTATTTTGAACCATATTTTCTCTTAAAATTTTTCCATTTAACAACAAATAAAAGTCTGTTAGCAACATACCTGTTTCAATGCTTACATACTGTTTTAAACTTGTTAAAGACATTTTAGATGTAACATTAATTGATAACTTCTCCATATTAATGTACATTTTTTTAAAAAACTCGCTCAAGTATTAATTGACTCGTAAAGATAATTACTAAATTATATATTTTAAAAATTGTACAAGACATGAATTAAAAGAACTTTATTTTTATCCTTGGTGTAAGGTTGCATATTTGATAATAACGTTGATTATAAAACAACGACAATTGATAAAAATCAGTGCAAACAACTGTCCGCATGAGGGATAAAATATATTGTAAATTTTAACTTTAATTTAAGTGACCTTTTTTTAACTTTCAATAATAATTTGTTTTTGGACAATTGTATTACAAACAGTAAAATTATAATTATATCTTCATCAGAAGCCTCCTCGAGGGGGGAGGGAAATGTATATTATTTATTATTTATATCACATTAGGAAAATACATAAAAGTACGCTGTAAAATGTATAACTATGCTTATGTCTAATGCTTTTTATTGCAATACACACCCCGACTCCCTATAAAAGGGTCTAGGGGCACCATTGATCTACATACAATGTTAGTGATAAACAATGAAAATATCTGTAATTTTTAAATCTTAATCAGTGTTGAGCAAGTATAAATAATTAATAAAACAAAAAAAAAATGCTAGCCATATTTACTGATGAAGGCTAAATAGTACCCTCTCCTCCCTACTGCCAAAATCCTAGTTAGTAAAAAATCGGTAATAATAAAAATAATAACTTAAATATCATCTTTCTCCTCTATAAATAAACTTTACCTAATCCCTTGCAGGCTTATCTTGATCATTAAAAGGATTTGTACATAATGACTCTTTTAATGAAAAATTAATTTTAACCATAAACAGAATAATTTATAAATTAATTTCATTAATTTCTTACCATAAAATGCCTTTTTAAGCTTGGTGCTTGAATAACGATGTAATTTATTGTTTTCACAAATTATTATTCAATTATTTTGTATTATGTTTAAGAATATAATTAACACTAGAGTTTATATTAGATTAAGATAAAATATTCAACTCATTTTAGTTTTTTCCTCCTACCACTGCTTAAGATTGTTTTATAGATTTGATGATTAAATATTGCTTTTGATTGTATAGAAACAAGACTATACTTAGTGTATATATCATGTACCTACTATATAGATACTAAAGGTGTCTACAGATAATATAATATATATAAATAATATAATTATATACTGATTTTTTTAACCCTATATCTAGGATCAGCCGTATCTTGTTTGTAATTAATAATATCTTAGTTTCTGTATTTTTTTATTTTTACTGAATTAACTAAATCAACTAAAAATGCTTATTGTTTATTTAGTTTTATTAAAAGTTGATTATTAGGGTTGCCATACATTTATAAGGCAAAACTGGGACAAACAAATACAATATTGAGTAATATACTTTTTATAAAACTTTTAATATATTGAGTGGGCCAGTGGCGTATATAGGGGGGTGTCTATCGATCTACAGCCATCCTCCCAAAATGTTTTAAAAAACTTAAAAATTATTTTAAACGTATGTTGTATTTTAATGGTGCTTTACGCTTATTTAGAATTTGCGTTTTATGTCAAATCGTTTTGGAACATTCTGTAAATTAAATGTAGATAAGTACCTGCTGTGTCTTGTTAGTAATTCTTAAATAGCAGTGGTAATTTAACTCTGTCCATAGTAGCCCGTCTCAAAAATATTTTCTGTATACGCCATTGGAGTGGGCGTATACAAGGAGGGAATATGGAGGTCATATCCTCCCTAGGCCTTTTTTTTTTAAATATTATAAAATAATGTCCTTAGTGTGAGGGCAGTAGAAACGTAGAAAAAAAAAATAATGATTTGTTTGCAAATAATCTCCCCACCCCCATACAAAAGATATGTATATGCCACAGAAGAGGACCATTAATGGCCGGCAATATAATATTAAAAAATATTCTTGTAAAATAAAATATATTGTTTATTTATATGTGTAAATTTAAATTATGTTTTATTATATCGTTAATCGATTACGATTAAAAATGTACTTTGAGATAAAATGGTCAAAATTAAAACTTAAACAATACTAAATTTCTTCTAAATGTCTAAGCTGGGACATATGGACGTCCCGAAAACATTTTTCGGGACACCGGGATGCGAAGTCTAATACTGGTGACAATCCCAGTTTTTCAGAACGTATGGCATCCCTATTGATTATTTATAACAAAATTGTTTAAAATAAATTTAAACCTATAAATTCAGACAAAGTTGTTGGTCGTTCGTTTTTATAACCTATATTGTGTTCTTACATTGTATTAATGTATTATAGTTATTCAATTTACTTGGTTTTACAAGACTTACACTCATTGAAACACTTTTAAAGCACAGAAAAGAAATATTAAAACAATGTTTAACAGTAAATGAAAAAAAATATATACATCCTACTGATTTAAGTATGAAAGTTTACTCTATATTTAGATTAAAATGTTTAAAAATGTATTATAACTGTTTCTTTTAGAAATGGAAAAAAAACCTAGACACATGGAGATGATTACTATTGAAACTGAAGAAGATAAATTACTACGAAAAGAATTAAGAAAAGAAGAAAAAGCATATCAACGATTAAATCGTCGTTATGAATCTGATTCAGATGATGAGTCAGTTAAAATTATTTCAAAAACGTAAGTTTAAAAAAAAAAATTTAACTAATTTTAGTTATGAATTAAACATGTAAAATCACGTTTAATATATTGAAGGACGAGTGCAGCTAATGTTCCTACATTTATTGACCCTAAGAGCAGAAAAGCTCCTCCAGTTGAGAAATATCCCCATGTATACGATATGAATAATGAATCAAAATTATCAAGTTGTAAGTATATTTTATAAAATTAATTTTGCCTACTTTTAGTTTATCATTTTTATTTAGGTTTTATCTCTGGAGAATCTTGTGTAATTCCTGCTGGAGCCAAAAGAACAGACCATCGAACACATGAAGAAGTTTACATTCCGGTTACAAAAATGACCCAAGAATTGACTGTTGGTAAAGAATTAATAGCTATCAACACATTAGATGAGGTTATTGACTTATTCTATAAACTATACAGCATAACTTATATTCTTTTTAATGCTAAGGTTGGACAAAAAGCATTCCATGGAATCACTAATCTTAATAGAATACAAACGGTTGTTTTTGATGCAGCGTACAATACAAATGAAAATTTACTAGTATGTGCACCGACTGGAGCGGGAAAAACAAATGTAGCTTTGTTGACTATAATTCATCAAATTAAACAACATATAAGAAATAATGAAATTAATAAAAACGAATTTAAAGTAATTTAATTTTTATTATATATATTTCCATATATATAATTCCAATATATAATATATTTCCAGATAGTATATGTTGCTCCAATGAAAGCTCTTGCTGCTGAAATGACTGCAAATTTTCGTAAACGTCTTTCTAGTTTAGGAATTGAAGTTCGTGAATTTACTGGTGATATGTCACTTACTAAAACAGAAATGATCAACACTCAAATATTAGTAACAACACCAGAAAAATGGGATGTAGCTACTCGTAAAGGCACTGGTTAGATGTTTTTAACTTTATTTAAAACATGAATACTAATGAATTTATATTATAGGGGATATTGGACTCACAAGTTTAGTCAAGTTATTGATTATAGACGAGGTGCATTTATTACATGGTGATCGTGGTCCAGTCCTTGAAGCTCTTGTTGCACGGACTTTAAGACAAGTTGAGTCTTCTCAGAGCATGATTAGAATAGTTGGTTTATCAGCTACATTACCAAATTATAAAGATATAGCACGTTTCTTAAGGGTCAATCTTCATAAAGGATTATTTTATTTTGATGGACGTTTTCGACCAGTACCATTAGTTCAAACATTTATAGGTGTTCGTGGTGGGAAAACTATAAAAATGCAGCAAGAAATGGATGCAGTTTGTTATGATAAAGTGTATGATATGGTACAAAAAGGCCATCAAGTAAGGTTTTTACCAAATAATATAAATAAACTCTAGTATTTTATATTTAATGTGTTATTAGGTTATGGTATTTGTTCATGCTCGTAATGCTACTGTAAAAACAGCTAATGTATTCAGAGAACTTTCAACTCAAAAAAATCATCAATCTGCATTCTTACCCCAAGATTCTAATAGAATAGGAATTGCTAAAAAGGCATTTGAACGTTGTCATTCAAAAGAATTAAGTGAATTATTGAACAGTGGATTTTCCATTCATCATGCTGGTCTTTTGAGATCTGATAGGTAATTTTTTTTTTTTTTTTGGCATATTATATAAGTTATTATTTTAAATTTTATTATGTTACAGAAATTTAGTGGAAAAGTACTTTTCTGAAGGTGCTATTAAAGTTTTAATTTGTACTGCAACTTTAGCTTGGGGTGTAAATCTTCCTGCTCATGCAGTTATTATTAAAGTAAATTATATTTGTTTTTCTTTAAAAATAAATATAACCCAACAATAAATTTTCATTTATTTAAGTTGATTAAGAAAATATATATTTATATGTACTGATTTGATGTTTACATTTCATATTTAGGGTACAGAATTATATGATTCAAAACATGGTACATTTGTAGATCTTGGCATGCTTGATGTGTTACAAATATTTGGTCGTGCTGGAAGACCTCAATTTGATACATCTGGACATGGAATGATCATTACTCCACATTCAAAACTTCACAAATATTTATCGTTACTTACTAATCAAATACCAATTGAAAGTTGTTTTGTACAACATCTTGTTAATAATTTGAATGCTGAAGTATGTATAATAAAAAATTGTATTTTAATTATGTTTGATGTTACAAATTTACTTTTAAAATAAAAGTATCTATTAATTTTATACTTTTTTTCTTTATTATTATTTAGGTTGTATTAGGTACAATATCAAATGTTGAAGAAGCCGTAATGTGGCTTAGTTATACTTATTTATTTGTTAGAATGCGTATAAATCCTCTTGTCTATGGAATATCACTGGAGGAAGTTGAAGTAAATAAATCAAATTTTGAATAAAAAATATTGTGTTTAAATATCTTATCGTTTGCTTACAGTTAGATCCAATGTTAGTAAATAAAAGAAAAGAGTTCATCATTAATGCTGCAATGGCTTTAGATAGAGCGAAAATGTTACGGTATAATGAAAGAACTGGAGATCTCTCATCTACAAGTTAGAAGCATTAATTTAATTTTGATATTAAAATTAAAATTCAATTCAATTTATAGACATGGGTCGAACAGCAAGTCATTTTTATATTAGTCATGATAGTGTTGAAATATTTAATCAAAATTTAAGGCCCTTTATGAATATGGCTGAGATATTATCAATGATTTCTAGTGCCAAAGAATTTGATCAGTTAAAAGTATACATAAATATCAAAAATTTATCTAAGGTTAAAAATAATATATATATATATTTTTTTTTAAGGTTCGAGATGATGAAGTTGTCGAATTAGAAACATTAGCTCGTAAATATTGTCATGTTGAATGTCATGGTTCAGCTGTAAATGTAAATGGTAAAGTTAATATACTTTTGCAAACATACCTTGCACGTGGTAGAGCTAAAGGGTTTTCTTTGATATCCGATTTGGTATACATATCACAAGTAAATATTTAAGTTGACATTAATAATGATAAATAAATGTAAAATTTTTCAGTAAAAATTAAATATCTCATAGAATAAATTATTTTATTTTATTTTGAATAGAATGCAACAAGAATTGCCAGAGCACTTTTTGACATGGTATTACGCCGTAATAATGCCATGATGTCTGCTAAATTATTAGAAGTTTGTCAAATGTTTGAAATGATTCAGTGGGATTTTGAATCCGAATTAAGACAATTTTCAGATATTCTTCCTTGGGAAATCATAGATAAAATAGAGTCAAGAAAATTATCATTTCACCGTATTCGTGAAATGGATTCTAAAGAATTAGGTATTCTACTTAGAAATCAAAATATGGGTGCAATTGTTAAAAAATGTGCCATGCAAGTTCCATACATCGAAGCTACTGAAAGTATCCAACCAATTACCAGAACTATTTTAAGAATAAATTTAGATATATTCCCAGATTTTGAGTATGTGTAATAAATAATAAATATTAATGTAAAAAACTTAATTATTAGATTAATTTAATTTTAATTTTTATAATTTAGATGGAATGATAGATTTCATGGTAAAACATCTGTTGCTTTTTGGATCTGGATTGAAGATCCAGAATCAGATATGATATATCATTGGGAACAGTTCCTAATCACTAAAAAACAAGTATTGGATTTAATTTATTTAAATTTCCTGTAAAATGATTTAAAATCATTTTTGATTACATTTTTAAAGGTAATGAGACAAGAAACTCAAAAGTTAATATTTACAATACCATTAGTTGAGCCATTACCATCACAATATATTCTACATTGTACTTCTGATAGATGGTTAGGTACAACTTTCACTACACCATTAACATTTCAACACCTTATAATACCCCATAGTCATGCATCAGTTACAGGTGTATTTGATGATTATATATAATTTATATTTTTCATTAATGAATATTATTTTAATATTTTTTTTATTTTTTGTGTAAGACTTATTAGAACTTTTTCCTTTACCAATAACTGCTCTTAAGAATCAAGGATATCAATCTTTATACAATTTTACTCACTTCAATCCAATTCAGACTCAAATATTTCATTGCCTTTATCATACTGATAATAACGTGCTCCTAGGAGCACCTACTGGATCTGGAAAAACAATTGCTGCCGAAATTGCCATGTTTAGAGTATTCAATGAACAACCTGAAGCTAAAGTAATAAAATATAAAATGAAATATATAATATTTATGTATACTTTAATTTAATTGATCATTATTTGTATTTTTAGGTAGTTTATATTGCTCCATTAAAAGCACTTGTGCGAGAACGTATGATTGATTGGAAAACCAGATTAGAAGGAAAATTAAAAAAATCAGTTGTTGAATTAACAGGTATTTTCTTACATTAGTTATTATACTTATAGTATAACACAAGAACCCATTAAAATTAGTGTCTGAAAATACAATTTTTGTTAACTACATACTTAAAGAACTATTAATAATTCATTATTATTTTACTAAAGGTGATGTCACGCCGGACGTTAGAGCTATTTCAAATTCATCTATAATTGTAACGACTCCAGAAAAATGGGACGGGGTTTCTCGTAGTTGGCAAACTCGTAATTATGTTCGTCAGGTGGCTTTAGTAATGCTTGATGAAGTTCATCTTTTGGGTGAAGATCGTGGTCCAGTGTTGGAAATAATAATATCTAGAATCAATTTCATTTCAACGCATACCGGACAACATACTCGCATTGTAGCTTTAACTACAGCTCTATCAACAGCTGCTGATCTTGCAGCTTGGTTACATATTGGTGAAATGGGACTTTACAATTTTCGTCCATCTGTAAGACCTGTTCCACTCGAAGTACATATCAGTGGCTATGCTGGACGAAATTATTGTCCAAGAATGGCTACCATGAACAAACCCATTTATCAAGCCATCAAGCAACATTCTCCAACGCAACCAGTTATGATTTTTGTTTCCTCTAGACGACAAACCAGACTGACTGCATTGGATTTAATTGCTTATTTAGGTGGTGAAGATAATCCCAAGCAGTGGGTTCGCAAAAGTGATTATGTAAGGTTATCATATTGCATTTTTTTAAACCTTAGGTTTTTTCTTCATAAACAAAATTTTTAATGATCACACTCAAATAATTTGGTTTTAGGAGATGGATCAAATAATTGAAAGTATTAGGGATCCGAATTTGAAGCTTTGTCTTGCTTTTGGTTTAGGCTTGCATCATGCTGGATTACAAGATAGAGACCGTAAAATTGTTGAAGAATTATTTGTCAGCCAACAAATTCAGGTAATTCATTGCCATATTTTATAAATATGATAATAAAAAAAAATGTTCATTTTTAGGTTTTAATTGCTACATCAACTTTAGCATGGGGAGTTAATTTTCCAGCGCACTTTGTTATAGTGAAGGGTACTGAATTTTATGACGGAAAACTCAAAAGATATGTTGATATGCCAATTACAGATGTACTACAAATGATGGGACGTGCAGGACGACCTCAATTTGACAATATGGGAATAGCATTAATTATGGTTAAAATTTAAAAACAAGAATAATACCTTAATTAACTTATCACTAAATATAAACTTTTACTTTCAGGTTCACGATATAAAAAAAACTTTTTATAAAAAATTTTTATACGAACCATTTCCAGTTGAATCATCATTGTTAGATGTATTGCCTGACCATTTCAATGCTGAAATAGTTGCTGGAACTATTAAGACAAAACAAGATGCCATTGAATACTTGACTTGGACTTATCTTATACAAAGACTAATGAAAAATCCAGAGTATTATGGGTTACATAGTTTGGAAGAAAGTTCTGTTTGCCAATTTCTTTCAAAATTAGTAGAACAATGCATTGGAACTCTATATACAAGTTACTGTGTAGAAATTGATGAAGTAAATTTTCCATCCTTTTTGTAAATAATTTAATTTAATTTAATTAAACTTTAGGATCAACGCAATGTGACATCTACTCCGTTAGGTCAAATAGCTTCATATTATTATTTACAACATAAGACTGTCAAAACATTTCAAGAGAGATTAAAAGGTGAATTAGGTATAGATGATTTAATTAAAGTTTTAGCTGATGCTGAGGAGTTTAGTTTACTACCGGTTAGGCATAATGAAGATCTAATGAACACGTAAGTAAAAATAAAAAATAATGTAGGTTTTTTTATTTATAATACCTATGACATTATTTGATACGCAGTGAATTAGACAAACAGTGCCCATTAGACATTGGTGGCCGTCAGTATGAATGTTCTCATACAAAAACAATAATATTACTTCAAGCTCATTTTTCCCATTTAAAAATGCCTTGTTCTGATTATATTACTGATCTAAAGTCAGTATTAGATCAATCAATACGTATTTTGCAAGCAATGATTGACATCAGTGCTGAAGGTGGCTATCTAGTATTATGTTTGAGATTAGTGCAGCTTATGCAAATGATTATACAAGCTCGCTGGGTGACTGATCCACCTGTTACTACTTTACCTGAAGTAGAAAAACATTTGATACCATCAAAAGAGTTGACAGAACTTTGCCTACCTCATTTATGCAATGTGGCCCTTAAAAGTTATAAGCATTTTGAAGAAATCATGTTGAAAACTCAACTTGAACACAAAGAAATCGAAAAAGTATAACCTTAACTTGTTACCTTAATATAAATGTTAAACATTGTTTGAATTATTTAGGCATATGCAACTATCATAGAAATGCCAGTAGTAAATGTACATTTGTTTATTCAAGGCTTTTGGCCTGATAGTGAAGAATTACAAAAGGTATTTATTAGCAATTGTTTTCAATTAATTTGTAGGGTTACATACATTTCTATATTGTAATAATTATTTATTGTTAATCTATTATAGAAACAAGTAGAAATTGGTAAGCGAATGGAAATTTCAGCCGGTTCAGAGTATACATTGTTAGTCGAAATGAAAATTTTAAATCGGGTTGTACCATCGAAAGCTCATGCACCAAAATTTTCTAAATCCAAGGATATTGGTTGGTTTATAATGCTTGGTTCTATCGAGCAATGGGAGCTGATAGCATTGAAGCGTAATACTAATACCCGTTATAGGACAACTTCAAGCAAATTATTATTTAATACACCCTCAAAACCAAGTAACTAAGATGATAATTTAATATTTATTATTATGACTGAACCTTAAAATTATTTCATTGTTTTGTTAACTCTCTAATCTTTGAATTATTTATAATGAATTACTTAAAAATATTATTTTCAGGTCATGTAAATTGGACTTTTTACATGATGTCTGACTGTTACCTCGGCTTGGATCAACAATATGAAATTGAATTCAATGTTATATAAAAAATAAATATCAAAAAATTATAAAATTCAAAATTATTTTAATAATGAGTCAAAAAAATGTGTTTTTAAATTAATATATTTGGATTCTTTAAATACAATGAATATATATGTATATATATATATATATATATATATATTTATATTTTAAATACATATTATGTTTTATAATTTAATCCTTATATAACTTTTTCATGTTATACTTGAAATCTTCAAAATTATATAAGTCTTATTTAGAGGGTACTCCTAATTAGTTCTCATTTTTTACTACTAATATTATTTTATGAATAACAATACCCAGTGGTGTAGTTATGATGGTAGGGATGTAAGGGGTTTCCACCTGCCACCACAGATCCACAGATATCCTATATCATGATATTTAATTATTAGGTATATTTCTACTTTAAGGGGCAACCAAAATTTCGGATTTTTTTTTATGTCAACTTATGTATTTTTTGACGCTGAAATTGATGATGCTAATGAAAATTGACCCAGACTATTAGTTTGCAAGTTACAGCCTATTGAAAGTTGATAGTTTTGGTTAAATAGTCTTTTTTTTTTTTCTATTTAGTCTTGTCGTGGTACATTGGTAACGCGGGACCTCCATATATGGAGAAGTAGGTTGCGGTTTGAAACCGTAGCGGTGAAAATGTTTTGCACTTTTTTTGTAAATGGAATTCTGGTACACCTGAAATATGATTCTGGGTTTTACTCGCGTAGCGAAGTTTTAGGTTCATATGCAGAGCATAATGCTATTCAACAGTATCAAGGTTTGTACAAAAACTAGTTAGGTTTAGACTATAATTCCTCTTAGACTGAAGCCCCATTCCCTCGAAAAGTGCCACGCAGTGGCACTCGAGTTTATGAGTGGAGCCGGCAAGCGTAACGAGCGAAGTCCTAAAATTTTTAAAATTAAAGTTCCGATTTTTCGAAAAAAAATTCAAACAAATTCATTACGATAAGAGATCTAAACCAGATACAAAATTATCGTTAAAAAAAAAAGTACAAAAATTGAATCTACCTATGGGGGGGGGGATCAAACTGGGTTCCTTGGATAAATACTCAATGCTGCTACCATTGCTCAATGTTTTCTAACATTTCGTAGATGTATAAGGAGTATTTAAGAGATTTAGTATAAAGTTATAAACTTTAATTAATTATAAGTTCAAAACTAAGTTCTTGCGCCAAATTTTAGGGTGCTTTGTAAACTAGAATTGTTCCAATTATTATCTATTAATATTTACATATTATAGTAAAATTATCATACCATTTTAAATTTAATATTATTTATATAGGACCTTGTATTAAGATATACTAAGAATATTATGAATTGACTTAAACACCCTCTCCAGAAAAAAATTGTATCTACACCACTGACATTACCAGACTTCTTTCTATCATATATGAAGTATTATATTGTAAAATGTTTATTAATATTTTTGTCCAGTTTTTATTTTTTAACTATAAATATTGTTAATATAGCATTATCAATGGATATTTTACAAATACTGTCACAGTAAATATTGGAATTAAAAGTAGAATACAATTGTTCTGTACTAACATTTTATTTCACATTAAACAAACAACATTAGAAAAATATACAACTAAATTTATAAATATATATATGTATGTATAAAGTAACTTAATTAATTCAATTATACATAGTTTGAAGCAATTGCTAATAGTTTAGTATAATCAGCTCCTTTGGAGAAAGTTTTTTCTTTCAATATAGTTCTAAGCATAATTGGAATAGGAACATTTATACGCGTTCCAAGTGGGGTGCCATTATCATCAATCAACACAATATTGTTACTATCAAACCTTGGTATATTGGCTTTCTGTTCTTTAACACAACCAACAATTATAGCTTTAACCTTTTCACCTTTAATGGCAACCAATATCTTGTCACCAATTGTGCCGATACCTTTCTTATTATAAATATGTATGCAACGAGGAGGTTTACCTTCAGCCATTGCTTGCTTGCCAATTTTACTATTGTCAACCACACGTAAACGAGTCAGTTTCATTATATGATTTGTGACAGCCGATGTAGAAAATTTTCGAGCGGCACAAATTGTCGACAGCTAATCATCCACAAAAATTAAATGTTCAAATTAACAATAATTATTTGTTGATAATTTCTAAATACAAAAAAGTACAAAAATATTATGATTCTGTATATAATCGGGACTTACCATGTTTCTTTTTCCTATATAAATTATTTAGATGGTAAAACGAATGGCTCCGAAAATTAAAATAAGCTATCGAACAATCGAATAAGAATAAGAATGTTATTTAAAATGAAAATGTAATAATTCGCACGATTATGAGATAAGAGTTGCGGTGGTTTGATAACGGACGCTGAATGCTATGTGTGATACAATGTATCAGATGTTACCAGCGGTGAATGCATGGGGGGTTAAGGATTTGTAACACCCCCCCTCCAAAATTTTCTCCGATGTCTAGGTAAAAATTTACAAATTTTACAAGTTTGAAATATGAAGAGCTAGTATTGAATACTTAGTATCATTGATTATAGAATAGTCTATTCTACTATCAATGCTATTATTTACGTCGAAATATATTAAGGATTTACATAATTCTGTTAATTATAAAATGTGTTATATTTTTACATTGACCCCCCCCCCAAAAAAAAAAAATCCTATGTGCACCACTGGATGTTACAGTAACATCATGTGATGAAAAATTAATTGTTATGAATATGTTATCGTTGAATATTTATATAATAAATTATGTTTATGGATGTAGTGAACATGGGTCAAAAAAGGACGATTGCCAATATCAAGTGTTGAAGGGATTATGAGTACTCCCTATAACTAGGGCCGGCGAGAACATTTTCGAGCCCCGGGATTTATTAATTGAATGCCCCACTTACATATACTTGTTGGCTAAGATACATAAAATATAGATATATTATAATTAACCTAACCTATATAATAATACACGCACCATTATTTATTAAAATACTAACATTTAAGTTGATAATTTGTGAATAAATAAATTTAATACTTATTTACTTAAAATATTTTATTAATCGAAGGAGAAATAAAATTAAGAACTAATTTATTATCGTAAACGGAGAACAAGGTTAAACTATAGTGTTCCTTTTCTTGCCTTTTTCGTGGCAGTCTTTGATAACACAGTGTCTTGTGAGCACGTTTTAACAATTACTAACACGTACAAATGTAATCGAAAATATAATATTGTGGAGTACATTGTGATTTTATCGTTTGACAAGCATTCAGTCGATATCGAATTTTATAGAAAAACGTAATTACCTATAACACTAAGGTTGCCATAAATTTATAAGACGAAACCAGGATAACACTAACACAATATTGAGTAATATACTTTTTATATAACTTATATTGAGAGGACCAGTGGTGTATACAAGGGAGGGATGTGGAGGTCAGATCCCCCCTAAGCCTTTTTTTAAATGTTATAAAATAATGTTCTTAGTGTGAGAGTGTTAGAAACGTAGAAAAAAATAACGATAAAATAAAAATAACGATTTTTTTACAAATGATACCCCTCATACAAAAGTTATGTATACGCCACTGAAGAGGACCATTAATGGTCGGCAATATGATATTTACAAAAAAATTTTGTAAAATAAAATATATTTTATAGATATCATATGTGTAAATTATTATATATTGTTAATCGATTACGATTAAAAATGTATTTTGAGATAAAATGGTTGAAATTATAAATTAAACAATATTAAATTTCCTTTAAACGTCTAAACCGGGACATATGGACGTCCCGAAAACATTTATCGGGACACTGGGACGCGAAGTCCAATACCAGTGACAATCCCGGTTTTCCGGGACGTATGGAAACCCTATATAACACTCATAATCGAATTATTTAATTATTATTAAATATACCGACTGGTAAAAGGCAAAAGGGGTTAAGCGACAATATTACTACCTTTCAGGAGAATAAAAACAAAATGTTTATATTTTCTTTACTCAGGCGTTGGCGCTTCGATATTTATTAAAGCCTTAGGAATAAGGTTATTATATATTTACATTATATTACATGTTATCTTGCTGTTCTGACACTAATTACATTGAAATACTAAGTACATTTTTTATCATAACAAATTTAATTAAATTTACCTTTTTTGGCGCTTAGCTTTATTTTTATGGTAAATGTCGCTTATAAATTATTCATTAGACTTTTAAAAATTGTGCAGTGTAAGTATGTATACCTAGGACGTATGGTATAAAGAACTTTACTCATATAATCACTTATAACAATCTAAAAAATGGTTTGATAGGTACTCATAAGTCATATTATTATTATGAAAGTTGATAAGTAACAATCGTAAGGGCTAAACGCCATGAATTTGTCCTCTGAAATGGATGGAAATGAATGAATTAAAAATTATTTCAATTAATTGTAGAAGAAAAAAATTAATTTAATCTATTAAAATATGTTTATAACTTATTTTATACTTAAGTTCGAAACGACGGGCACTCTCTAAAGACCTGGGCCCGGGGCTCTGGCCCCTCCTGCTCCACCTTCTCGCTGGCCTTGCCTATAATATTGAATTAATCCGCCTTGTATTTTCAATTTTCTAACGATAAGTAATACATGTATTACTAACCAATATCCAATATAAATATAAGAAATCGCGTGTCAAAATGGTTGAATTGGGGCAGTAAAATCCCTAGTGAAGCTTTTGGGTGTTAAATAGGAAGTTGGTTTGGAGATAACTGTCATCGGCCTTTAGGGTCTCAGGTCCGGTCAGCAAGTGGCAACCCTTCGAGTACCGAGGACTATCAAAAAAGGGATATCCCACGTATAGATCGGCTAGAATATTTACAGGGTCAGGCCCAAAAGGCCGGAACCGACCAGGTGTTTCAGATGTCACAGTTTCGGTTACACCACGATCAACTGCAAAGGGCCTGATATGCCCGTGAGCTGCCGCAAGTGTGGTGTTACCGAGCACAAAGAAAAATATTTCATCGAAGATAAATGTGTGGCTTGCAAACGTCTGGCTCAGGAGTATGCGCTACACGACGGGCAGCTGAATGTTTTTTTCGAAAACAACGCAATGTTTTCGAAATCAATCTGCATCGGAGCGTCATTGCTCAGAATCTGATGCTGCAAACCACTACTGACAGGAGATCCCAGATATTATATTATGTTATTTATCTCTGAGTCAAACTGGACTCCAATGGCCGATGACAATTGGACATCTAGTGACGATAGAAGCTGCGCTGTTCTCCTTACAGCCAGAGCAAGCTTCGTCGCAGAATCTAAGGGCTCAGGTCGAGGTTTCGCTTGGATTCAATGCGGAGGCGTGCGTATAAACAACTGTTATAATTCCCGCAACGACACGACAGACAAATACATGTCCTTTCTCGGCGACCTCGAACATTCGGTTAAATCCACGCCTCATGGACTGAACGTTGTGATAGGTGGTGTTTTCAACGCCTGGTCGACCCAATGGGGATCAGCGAGTAACGACCTTCGCGGGGAGCGACTAGCGGACCTCGCTGCCAGCCTTGATCTCAATCCGAGCAACCTAGGGAATAAACATACCTATCGCTGAAGGAACGCAGCAACGGTAATAGACGTCACCTTCGTTCTGCTATCCCCACCAGTTGAGATAAAATACTGGCGAGTTCTAGACAATGTGGAGTCCGTCAGCGATCATTTCTATAGAATTTCGCGAAGACTTAGTCCCAGTCACACCCCATGACATGGAAGGCTCACTCCCACAAGGTTGGGCATTTCGGAAACTCGACAGAGCAGCGCTAGACCTCCACCTTGAGTTCTCAGAATGGTTTCCACTACCAGCGGAATCTTCTGCCGCTCAGGCTGCGAACGTGCTAACTGACTACCTTGAATCGGCATGCAACTCTTGCATGCCATCAAGACTAGCAAGCAACACAGGAGATCGCTGAGCTACGGCAAGATTTCCATTAACTAAGCAGGACGTATTAGAGGTTCATGCGCAGGCATTATACTTGGCAGCATACGGATGAGTTACGAGAAGCCTTCAGCGACAAAAGGAAAGAACTCAGGAGGGCTATACGTTAGGTTCAGAGTAAAAGTTGGGAAGAGCTATGTCGTACAGTAGACAATGATTCCTGGGGTCTCCCTTATCGAATCGTGACTAAGCGAATTGATAGGAGAAAACCTGGTATCGAAGCTCGCGGAAGAGAAGAAGCAGTTGCTGATCACCTGTTTCCTACACTTCCCATCACCGACTGGACTCTCGAGCTCTTGGCACTGGCCAACCATTTTTAACTCACAATAGTGTCACATACAAAAAAAAGACACAATGCAGTAAATCCAACTTGGCTCCGAATCTATATAAGATTAGGAGTAATCTACAGGTTATTTTAAGTTTTAGCAGGAGGGCTGTAGCTCCTCCAGATTTTTTACTCTAGATTATGTCTATAATTATACAATCATTTTTTCTTCACTGGAATCATCTATGCAGTGGTTATGTTTTTTGTATATAGTCCAAGTGTTAACATTTTATTCCAACTATTCAAAAATGTGATACATTTTCTACTTTTCAAGTTGGTTAAACAAGAGTACTCAAGTGAAGAAAAATTCATTATTTTTTAATAGAAATTTCAAAAATGTCAACATATAAAATATTGTATTGTTTGAATGTCATTAAAATTAATTGTTTAACACACAATTTCTAATTGCTTTTTTTTTTGTTGATGTTAATTTTCAACAAGATATAATTATTAAGTCTTCGAAGGTATTATATTTAGTATTACCAACACTAATTTTTAGCTAACGCATAATGAGAAAAACAATTAAAATAATTAAATTAATCAATTTCCACTATGGAAACAATAGGATTTGTTATACACTTTAAATGCATATTAAAATGAAATTATTATTCAGATGGAAATATTACCAACAATTAATAATAACAGGCAGGTATTCACAAGTTCTTAATATGAATTTAAAAAAAAAATAAATGTTATAAGGTAGTATTTATACATTTTTTTATTACTTATTTTTTTAAATATTTTAGAAATAACATTAACCGCAGCTTTACACATTATTAATTTATAAATAACTGTACATAATAGTCCGACAATGGTATCAACGTATATAGAAAAATATAGTAATTTTCTCCAAATAATCTTCATAACAATTATTATTTTGTAAATTCGAATTTTTCATAATAAATTGTTTTATAAAGACACTTGACAATTTCATAATCGAAATTGAATTTTGAAAAAGCATAATCTCCTTATTTCCTAAAACGTGTTTTAAAAACAAATGTAGTTATAGTACATAGTACACAAAATTATCAATTATATAGTTTATATAATATAATTACACTAACAAATTTTTGTTTGTCATTATCCCATTGTCAAAAAGAGTAGGGGAAAAAATCAACGATTTAGGTCAATATTTTAGGAGACTAGCTTGAATATAAAGTAAAACCAGATAATGTACAAAATATAAATAAATAAAATAAAACCCTTAACAAAAAACACTGTATACAAATATTTGCAAATTAATAAATAATTGAATTTTTAAGGGCATAAATGAAAAAATGGCTAATTATTTAGAATTTTTTTCTTATTTATAATTTTTATAACATGGTATCTACAATAAAATAAAAAAAAATAGAAGAATTTTATATCGATTGATGAATTGACAACCACAAATAGTGTGTATGTCACTATTGGTCAGCTGTTTCCTCTTCATCAGAATCATTTGTTTGAAGCGAAAGGAAGAATGAGTTCAAAACTACAACTGCCATAGTTTTAGTTTCCAAGTCTTCATCGAATCCAACTTTGAATTCTTCTTCTTTTTTCCATAGATCAAATGATTCTTTACTAATAACACTGTCCTGATAAAGCTTATGGAAGAGTTTTAATACCATACCTAATGTAAATGAAATTTTTCAATCATTATACACAAAAATTTAGGTAATGTATAAATCCTTAGTAACAAACCTCCAGGGTGTTCAAGTGCAGCAGACATAATTTGAATTCCATACAGACATTGCACTTCTCGTGCCTGAATTTCAGGTTCTGGAAGTGGTTCTGATCTTATATAACAGGTCAACAACTTCACATGAACATGATCAAAGAAATCTTCGTACGAATGATTAGGTTCTATAAATTATAAATTTAAATCATCATCGAGTTCATAAAATACATGATTGTATTAAAAATTACTTACTTAAGCATACAATTACAATAGCAATAGTTAATGCTCGTACAAACTGAGGACATTTAATTATTTCTGCATTGATATTGGTCTAAAATAAATTTAAAACATCATTAAGGTATGTAGAATCGATATTAATAAATATGAATCAATTATCTTTATCGACACTTACTCTTATCCAATTATGCATTATATCATATAATTGTTTGTTATCAGTCAGCCTCATTTTATCATACATAGCTACAGATAAGAGAAATACTCCAATTCGCTAAATTAAAATAAAATGTATAAGTCAGAAAAACAACAAATATTCTACACAAAACAGTATGTTAACTTACATCATTTTTAAAATATTTATTTATTTGGTTATTAGGCATAAAAACGTCAAGAGGAACATATTCTGACATCCTCCATTTATTATATATCCATAAAATTCCTCCATCCTAAATATGAGTGAACATATTAAATATAAATCTCAATTTATATTAATATATATAAAAATTTATAATTTATAATTTTAATATACTAACTTCCTTAATGTTTTGAGTTTCCTTGGAGCTCAAAATTTTTTGTAATACTTCAGTAAATAATATACTAGAGTTATCGGGTCGTATAGAAGTACAAGCATCTTTTAAATTAATAAATTCAAATGATGCAGACTTTGATACTAATAGTGGAGCTATAAATAATTGATCGTATTTAAATATAATAATAATAATAATAATAATAAGAATAATAATAAAAAAAAAAACTCACTAATAATGGCAGCAATATAGGAAAAGAATTGAGGATAATCCATCAAATAGTCATTCCAATCCTTAAGGACAGCATCAATTCTATAATAAGTGCTTAAATTAGCTATCATTCAAAATGTAATGAAATTATTCAGTTTAATATACCCTTGAGTAATAACTGCCATAGATAAAATTTTTTTAGATAACAATTCAGCAAATATTTTCCCAGCTATTGTAGTACGGCTATTTGGATTACTCTCTAGGGTTATTAATACCATTGATTTGACAAATTCATCATGCCTAGTGAGAATTACTGATTTTTGGTCTTCAGTCAGTGAATAAATTATATCCTACATAAAAAAAATTCATTAAAAATATAGCATATATCTATAAAATTAATACATACATCTAAATTATGTAATTGCTCATATTCTTGTATAATGTTATTGCATTTCAAGTTTATTTGTTTGGCCACTTCATTTAATTCTTCTTCAAGTTCTTCAGTTGCTTCTTTAGAAGTATTTGTTGAAGTAATAGAATTTAGTGATGGGCTAGTTTGAGCAAATTGAGGCATCATACTTGCTATACCTATTATAAAAATATTCAAATGTTAAATTAATCTAATTTATAAAAATAAATAAAATAAATAATATTGAAATAAGTTATACCAGACATCATCCGTTCTCTTTCTTCAGATTCAGATATAACTGGTTTTCTAGAATTACTTTTACTTGACCTAACATGAATACATAATATGTTAAGACTAGTTAACAATAAAGAATAACTACAGTTATTAATATAACTGTAAATAAATACTTACATAATTTGTGATGTAGTTGACGACTTTCTGTCATCATTGAGAACAGCAAATGTATTGCTACTCGTAAATGAATTACTACCTTTTCCTCCGATAGAATTGGAAGAAAATGACCATTTATTCGAAGGGCCCAAAGTAGTAACAGATGATGATTCCTAAAATATCATATATTTATTTATATAATATAAAATAAAGGTAATAATAATAGAAATATCAATGGTCTTAAAAAAAATAATATGTATACTACCTTAAAACCTTGTAGTTTAGATTGATCTATGATATAATTTGGTTGCTTAAATTTAGCAGTATTCTGAACAATGTTCCATTCACTATCATTCCCACCTTAAAATCACAAATATTTCTAATTTAATATTTTTATTTTTATTATAATTCAATAAAATTTCAATTTGTTTAAAAAATAATGATTATAAATGTGTTTTCATCATTGAAAATAATTTATCAACAATATAAAATATTATTCAGAGAGAAGATTAGATAAAATTAATCATTTAAAAACACATTTAATATACACTTCATTACAAATAAATAATTTAAATATTGATATAAAAAGTATAATGTATAATTTTTAAACGTAGTTACTTACGGCGACTTTTATTATCACCACCTCTAAATTTATTATCATCACCACGGTGATGCTCTCGTTTATCTTGTCTATTGTATGACGATAATGCCACTGATTGTTCCATTGCTTCATTTTTGGCATCATTTGCAATTTCATTAATTAATTTAGGTTTACTATCATTACGTCTTGGAACCCACTTATCTCTTCTTAAATCTATAACATCTTGAATCATAAACTTTATTCTGGATGGAATCTTATTTTTCATATCTTTAGACGTTAAAGCTTTAAGCTTAGCAAAAGTATCATTTAAGTCATATGTCTGAAAAATTAACATAATTCAAAATGAATCAACTTAATACAATTATGTCATCATAATATGATTAGAATTGAGGTAAGTAAAAAGAATAATGAAGTACAATGATATACGTAATGTCAAAAACTATAAATTTGATTACAAGAATTAAGACCAGTAGTAAAGTCAGTTAACCAAATCATTGATAATAGGTTAACGGACCATTAAGTTAAACAACACCACCTGAAGTCGGTTTAATTAACAGCGATTATTTTATCATAACTCATATTTCTTGTAAATTTGGTATTTAATAGTATTATAACTAGAGCTTGGATGTTTATTGAAATTCATATTTTTTCCTATTGTGTCAATTTAATGCAGACATTGATACAAATTTGATTCCTATTCTACAGTATCAAATATAATTATTTTTACTTTATATAATTTAAGGTATAATATTTTTAGTGCATATTTTTGGGATTTTAAGAATTATATGCATATTTCAATAAATTACATTTTTTTTTTTTTAAAAATATTTTAAATTAATGTTTAGATAAATGATCAATCTATATAATTGTGTTGTCCCAAATATTTTTAAGTTCAAATTAAAAATACTATTGTATCACAGAATAATTATCATATAATTAATTAAAATATAATATTAAAAAAATATAAAATACAAAAAAAAACATCCAATAAAAATAAAAAACTTATAAATTAATTTTTTTTTAATGCTTAAATAACTTTAGGTAAAATCAACTTTATATTGCAATTATCAACGCACACATGTAACAGAAATGATTATATAAGATTTGTCAGCTTAAGGGATTACTCCATAATGATCAAAGTAAATTAAAAAATTTCAAGTTGCAAAACAAAAAACCAAATGCAATATTAGATGCAATTTTTATTTTAAATAATATTAAGTAAGATTAGTGATAAAACAAGTATCACAAAAAATGAAAATTAAAAATCAATTGTCATGAAAATATTGTATAAATCGTTGACCAAACCACTAACTGAACAACTCACCTGGTTATAATCTAGTTCTGACATAATAATTATATAATTTATAATAATAATAATTTATATTATGATCAATATTTTTATAAAATTCATGTCAAATTCATTTAAGATATTGTTTTATTACACATTTATATCTTAAAAAAATGGTTTTTATCATGAATCTTATAATATTGAAATTTAAATATATTATAATATATATAATTATATACTTGTTCTAATTCTTTTCCAACAGTCCTTAACAAATTGCACAAACATTCCAGAGGTTCTTCTACATGTTTGGTGACTAAGTTCACAACACAATACAACATAATATGTGGAGTAAGAATTTTTTGTTTAAATAATTCACCAATAAATCTAATAAAAATAAAATTTTTTTAAAATAATGATTTGACCATAAATTTCCACTAATTTAAAAATTTATCTCATACCGGCAATTTCCTACAGAACGTTTACGTAATCTTCTTTCATTTTCCTCATATTCCAATTGTAATTCTTTTTTCTTTTCCTAGAATATATTAATATAACTAAAAATGTCTCAATAAATAAATATATTTAAAATATTTACTGGATCTTTGCAAGAATTAATTTCAGAGAGTTTCTTAGCAGAATCCATTTCTTGAGCCTTGTCCAATTCGAATAGGCTTTGACATTTACTGATAATAAGCTTCTTAAATGATATTGGTTTATCACCTTCAGAAATTACTTGTACAGTCTGCATAGCAGAACATAATGATGCATAAAGAGGAGCAAAACTTTGTTCTTCTATTGCCTAGAATCGAGAAAAATCCATAAATATGTAACACTTAATTTATAAATCACAACTATTTAAGACTAGGTGAAATGAGAAATGCACAGGGGAATAATAAATTGGGCGGAATGTAAGTTTCAAGCCAGAAATGTTTTGATAATATTCTTTATTTACAAGTATTATATTTTAAAACTAAAATTAACCATTAAATTCTTGAATTTATTGCAGACAATTTTTTCTTGACAGATCTCATCTCCTCCTTAGGTTAGTTCATTCAAAAACAATTCTATGGACTTGGTTAGATCAATTGAACTATAGGTATTTTTGAAAGATGTATTAAATAATTTACCTACACATTTTGTAACAATTTGAAGGCCTATTAAGGGATGAAAATACATGTATTGCAGGGATAATACCTTTTAACTTACATATATTTCACATTTCCCCAAGATATTTTATCCAGGAAACATTCATATAACCATTAGCGTATTTAATACGAACAGTAATAATAAGTAAAATGTGATTGGAATTATGTCTTAAAACCACTTTCAAATTATAAAAAATTAAATAAAAGACTTGCCTTAGAGTCTAAATTATAAAAGATTTTGTTCAAATTCAATTTCCTGATTAATTTTGTAATATATATTCGGTAATCAGATTATTTAAATTACCTTTTCAAAAACTAAGTCAATAGTTTTTTCTAACCGATCATATGTATCAATAGGCAATGCCTTGAAACGTTCAGTTAATGGAATCATGTTATCTGGAGTAATTTTGTTTAATATTGATCGAACATTTTTATTTACGTCCTGTAAGAAATTGATTTCATATTATAATATTTCAACAAATAATCAGTTAAATTATTTAAAATGTATTATTCTTACCTCAGTTTTTAACTCATCTTCATTTTTATTTTTACCCACATCAGCTTTTGTGGCTTTTATAACAGCTGTGGGAACCCAAGCATTCTCAGTCTGATTCAATTTTACTTCTTCTCTTAAGGAAAGAGACATATGTATAGTGTTTGGTTTAGCAGATTTACTAGCAGTTTTTCCTTGGCTACTATTACGTTTAGCTCCTGGTTGCTATAAAAGAAATATTTATGTAAAAAAAAAAAAAAAAATCATTACATAAAAACCAAATATTAACATTTACCATTATAGGCATACCACCACGTTGACTATTTCCAAGTTTAAAATATGATGGCAAAAATCCTGATGCACTTGCACTTTGAGACCTTGGTAAATGAGGCACTGTACCCTAATAAAAATGTATTTGTTTAATATACCATAAGTTAATACATATATATTATAATATATATTTAATATATATATTAGATAGTACTTACTCCTGATGAACCATATGAAGGTGAATTAAGTGATTTAGTAATATGAACCCAACTACTCAATACATCAGGTTTCTTTTGGCAAACAGTTTCACTTCCCAGTTGTGTTAAAAATGCTTTTGAATAAACTTTCTTTCCAGTTTGATTTGTGTAACTCCATTGTCCTATACGAAATAAAAACATTTTTACTTTGATTTTACACATAATATAATTAACTATCATTCATTCAGAAATAATCAAACCTTCAGCATATGGTAATTTTTCTAAATAACTAGGTAACTTGGGAGTTGCAACAACTGGTTCAACTGGTTCTTGTAATATACCACTATCTTGAGTTTCTTGAGATTGTTGTAATAATTCTTCGGGTTTTGGAATAATACTTTCTTCTTCTTCGGTTTTAGAATTATGATTATCAATTTCATTTTCTTTATTTTCTAGCTGGATTGTTTAAAATTTCAAAGGTTCAATAATTTGTTAATATTTAGTCATCAAAAATTGTTGATTAAAAAATGATCTGTATCATCTCAAAATAAAGAAAATATAATAAATTCTTTAATTAAGAATTAAATAAACAGACTTGTACACAAATAGTTTTTTAATCATATAATAACGTTCAGAAGCAAAGTATGTAGAGGTATTGTAAATTCCAGAATGAAATAATAAATTAATAAAATCTTTGATCAAAGGGTTATTTATTGCAGTTTTAAAGAATAAGTAATTGAACATTATATTTAAGGTTTTAATTAGTAGAAGGTACATTGAATATAGATTAAAAATGGGAAGTGGTATCAAACTTTACTATTTTCAAACATTACTTAAGCAAAATTATCATCCATTTTCAATATACATATTATATTAAATGTTTCATAGTATTTCAACTTTAATTTTATTTAAAGTACAAGATAAAATAATTCATAGAATGATGGTATATATTTTTACTCACAATATTTGTTTCATTAACAGGCTCAATAGCTTCAATTGTATTATCAGTTTTAATTATATCATTGGTATCTGATTTTAGCAAATTCTTCTGTTGATCTTTCTTCTTCTTGGTCTTATTCTTTTTAGTTTTAACTAAAATTGAATACCAAGTATTTAGAATACTTTATATAAAAAATATAAATTTTATTTTGTTAAGAGATTATATTTTTTTTAGTATTTGTTGATAACGTTTCAAATAACAGCAAAACAATTTTTTTTTTTACAATCCCATACTGCTGCCAGAATAGTCTGAAATAGCTCAATGATGCAAATACTAAAAATAGGAGATTATATATACATATATACTTCTGGATCATGTGTCAGTCACTATTTTAATTAAATACAATAAATAAAATTAAAAAAAAAAAAAAAGATATGAAAATTATAAAAAATAAAATCATTTAGTATCCCCTTCTCCTTTATGTAATTGAAATTCAATTAAAAAAAATTAATTTATTCAAATGAATCCTTAATAAGTCAATACTAAAATCATTAAAGAATAGCTATTCAAATGTAGATACATAAATTAAAATAATAGCTTATTCAAATGAAAATTATATATATATAAAACAATTAGAAGATAAAAAGTATTTTATTAAACAGTAGGTTATAGTAATAAATTGTACAAATAAAATAGAATTTGAATTCTAGTCAAGTAACCAAAACTTTTAGTAATTTTAAGAATATTTTAATGAATAAATGTAGTTAAAATAATGTATTTAAAATAAAATAATATAAAAAAAATGTATATTATTGATAAATATGGATAAAACTTCTCTACATATTTAATTACTAATACGAAATTCTATTTAAATAAATAATAAAAAAAACTGTTTTATCTTGTAATATCAACAAATTTGAATTACTTTACGTTATTTAAAGTTTAAAAGCATATTTATTACAATCTAGGAAAATGTGTAACGTTTATTAAAGTTTCTTATTTCATAATTTTTTAATAAAATCCATAAGTACTCACTAATAGGCCCTTTCATAGTAATCCAAAATATCTAATATGACATTCTTTTAACACAAAATAATATTTAAAAGAAGTAAAACGTTCAAAAAATAAATTAAAAATGTACTAATATGAAAACTTAATTGAAACACGTGCGCATCCCAATGTTGGAAAAATAATAAAACATTTTGAAAGGCAATACAAACGACCTCTGCATCTACAAACAGTTGATACAAATCAGTAGTACCAACTTGCTTATACTTGATAAAATGCAGTATGAATATTTCACAGATATAAAAATACTGGTCAGAAAATGGCAAAATGTACAACAAATATATATATTATTTTAATTAAATGAGAATTCTAAATATTCTAAAGATTTATATCATTATTTTTGTTAAATATATCGTGATATGACATTATTGACAGAAAATATGAAGTATAAGATAAAAATGCGTATGCGCACTACTCTTGTTCCCTGAACTATATTGGACATAGATAACCAACGTCATCCATTGTATATGATCTAAAATAGCTCAATATGAAAGAAAAAAATCTAAGTTATGAATACTAAATATGTAGTAGATGCCCAACTTTTCTTATCATAATTAAAAGTTCATATCGTTAGCCATTTACATTTTGTGCAAGAACGATAGTAAAGGGGAGTAAAATACACGAATACATTGATGATATATTTCACCATCGATACAAATATTAACCATTCCAATACCGTTCATGCCTAAACTAGCAGGATATAGATATACTTAATTTACTAAATAAGTTAATTCAAATTTATTTAAACTGAATGTATTAAGTAACTAGTTAATTTAACATCTACGTTTTAAGAACTCAAATAATGATAAAATATTTAATGCACCATAGTTATCGTATCACTAAGGCATTACCTATAAGTATTTAGTATATGTTTATTAAATTAGTGTAATTATAAATATTGCAAAAAAATGCAGTTTAGGGTTTTCGGTTTTACAATATGTAAATACTTATTTCTAATCCTAAATATGGAACATGATTACGTCCCGAAATACCGTTTGTTAATATTTTTGTTAAGCAGGGGTCGTAAGTTCAAGCGTTTACAATGTCAATCTTGAAAAGTTGTATTTAATTCTAGATGACATAGAAATCCATTTCAAGGTACCACCGGTTAAATATGTGAAATCTTATTTTGCAAGTATTTGCATATTTGGCACGTTTTTGTATATTTGGCATTTTTATGCATATTTCTATTTTATCGGGCATATTATACAACATTCTATTAGAACCTATCAAAAATCTAAATGGAAAATATATATAAAATTAAAAATAGAAATTGTATTATCTTTTATTTTCTTATTTTCTTGATACTCGTATATTTAACGCAGTGTTTCTCAACCGGTGTGTCGCCAGTGTCCAAGTCCAAATGTGTCTAATATAGTACTAATATTGAATGACACAAAATGTATGAACATTGTTGACACTATTTAAAAAAATTAATGGTTATTTGATATGATTTTTGATATAAAAATAGATTATCAGCTATTGACATTAAATAAATGTTATTATCATAATTTTAATTGATAAACGTTGATTTATCTATATTTATATTTAAACAGTGCATACTATACAGTATATTTATATTTTACATTATCAATTAACTATAAATATATATTACTCATTATTCTTATTTTTATTATTGTGTGTCACAATGTATGGAACATTTTAATAGTCTATTGCCATAATACAAAGGTTGAGAAACACTGATTTAACGAATAAATTTGTTCCAAATGTTTCAGATTTAAAATGAATTACTGACCAAGACGTACATGAGGAGACCGCAGTTCATGAAGGTTCAAGAATAGTATTAAATATAGCTATAAAAAAAAAAATGAATGGATAGTTTATGTTATTTTTATAAGGCATATTTCAAAGCATATTTTGCCAATTTGAAATGCATAAATGCATGCTTATTTAGGTATTTTTTAGGGAATGATCTTACGAACCATGGTGATAAGTGTGTTACGACGAAATCAAGGTGTTATAATTATTTCAATCAACGGAATACAACAATTACCTAACCTAACCGGGAATGTCGGGTTAACAAGGTCGGTGAATTATGAACTATAATATATTTTGCGAATGAAAGAACTATTCACAAAATAGAACATAAAATCCCATCACTGTATATGTACACACTTCCAACCTATTGTAACGTAATCTGCTAGACATGGTCTAACACCAAAGGAATGAAGAAAAACTACAGCATTTCAAGAGGAACAAATAAAAAGGAAATATATATAGACCAGTGTAAAATAAGAACTTGGAAAGTTATAAAAGAACCAATAAAAATCTGTCAAAGCTGTAAAATAAACAGATTCTACATCAGTTCTGAATCAGAAGAATATTTGAATGGAGAAGACATGACTGTAAAGCCGATGGTGGCACACCATTAAGTCATGGAAAACAGTCAGAGAAAAGACCAAGCATCAGCAGTTATGGTACAATACAATGGAAATATACTTAAAATAGAGCAAATACATTGCTGGACATGGAAGTAGCATTGAATAGAGAAGTTAAAAGGCTTATAAGAAGAGGTGATGGTCCCAAATAAACCGTTATAAAGCCTATGAAAAAGAATTATTGTTACTTAAAATATACAAACAATTTTAAAGTTAATATATATCAGGTAAAAATATTAATATATTACTAGTTATAGAAGGAATATAAATATTTTGATGTTGAGAGTATGGTCTTTCAGAAATAAACTATTATTACTCATTCATACTACCAACACAGATACAATTAATGTTTAAATTTTAACAATTTTATTTTTTTATAAGTTGGTAACTTAAAATGTAATATTGAACAAATGTATTACCTGGTTTAGATTCTTCTTCTACCACTTTTTTAGGGTGATTACTCTGATGATTTTCTTCTAAAATATTAGATACCTCAATATTTTGTATTGGTTCATCAAGGGCTGGGGTAGAACTTGGTATGGAATTTGCTAAAATTTCCTTATCGCTATCATTAACTTCCAAAACTTCTTCAGATTTAATAGTTAAGCTAACAGTTGGAACTAAATCAATATTTGTAATTGGAACTTCAATATTTGAATTAATGACATTTATTTCTTCAACTGAAGTAATTAATGGTTCGGGTTCATGTATTTGAGCTCCATCCACTTCTATGGCTTTAGAGGGTATTGAAATTGTTTCATCTACCAATTTTTTTACTCGTGATTGAAATTCGTTTTTAACTTTTTCTCCTCCTTCATTGTTCTGTAAAATATTTAATGCTTTATTTAAGGTTTACATACAATTAACGATTATAAATAATATTTATAAAAAATAATATAACATTTTATTTAAAGTATTAAATATTATAAGCTTAGGGTGACTAAATTATATTTAAATATTACTTATTCAAACAATAAAGGTTTTAAAATAAAAAATCATAAAAAAAAATTATAAAATAATACATTTTATTGAATGGATTATACTTCAACAGTAACATAAGCTATTTACCTCATTACTATCAGATGGTTTAATTTCTTCTTTTTTTACAGCACTTTGTACTTGACTTTGAAATTGGCTTTGAACTTTCATTTTTTCCAATTCATCAGCACTCTAATAAAAAAGAAATAAAACTTAATATATGCTGTCGTCTAGCAACCTTATAGTATAGTAATAAACTTCATTATTTATTGAATTCAGTTGAAATGTATGTAATAATTTAATTGACTGATTGAATTATACAATAAACAATAATTTTGACTGAACTAGTAAACCCAAAGTTTGTTTTACAAGTAAATATTATTCCTACTTTAAATAAGAGTTTTTGGAGTTTTAAATACAATCTATGCAATCTTTTAAAATTGTGATGTTTTATGAGTTAAGTATTAAATACAAAATGGATGGTTTATTTCATAACATTTTTTTGTAATTATTATGTTCAAAAATAAAAAAATATGGCTTAATATATGATTATATATCCAATAAAGGTGCGCTTTCTAAACTGTGATTAGTTCATCAATATATTTTAAACTTTTTTGAATATTATTTGAGTTACAAAATAAAATTTATTTTATTTTTGGAATTATGGTTATTTGTATTTTTCATAAATACAACACTGCTCAGTTATATTTGTTTCAATAAGTAGAAATATACTGAAACCAAAACTCACCTCATTATATTATTATTATTAGAATCTATTTTCCTTAACATTTTCATTAATGCATGCTGTAGTTCTACTCTATTGTTGAACTAACTATTATTCTACTATAACAAAGAAAAATTGGCCTAATGGCTAGTAAAAGTATATTATATACTTTAAGAGTAACACATTTTTCTTATAAAAAAATTGAGTTAATTAATGTAAATAAGATGTAACTCATATATTTCATAGAAAGAAAGCAATTTGCTCACTCTTACTGTACCATTCTGTTTTTAGTATTAGTACAGGGTGCGGCAGAGCCGACTGACGAGTTTAAGGAGCTCATTAACCGGAGATAAGATAAGAGCAGGCCTTAATTAGTGGTATATTTTGAATTGTACGATAATGCCATTTTTAGTCGTAATCATGGTCTGGACAGGTGTATATCGTGGTTTCGTCGTGCGTGCGTATTACGAAAATAATCATTCTGTGATCGCTACACAGAGGGCTTTTCGTATACACTTCGGCATTCCACGTACCGAATATATTCCTTCTGCTAACACTATTAAATTTTGGATACGGCAATTGGAAGAAACTGGAAGTACCCTAAGTGGACTTGGACACGGAGCACCCAGAACGGTAAGAACCCCCGAAAATGTGCAGTTGGTTAGAGAATCAATTGAGCAGTCACCAAGACGCTCTGCCCGGAAACACGCGGTAGCTTTGGGAATCTCAGACCGTTCTTTGAGAATTCTTCACGAAGATTTATCATTCCATCCCTATAAATTAATGCTTGTCCAAGAGTTACATGCTACTGACTACGACAATCGCAAAAATCTCTGTCAGCAAATTCTTTTGCGAATCCCTCCGACATCAACTTTTTTCTGTAGCGATGAGGCCCATTTTCATCTTTCTGGAACTGTAAATAAACAAAATTTTCGATACTGGGCTGCAAATAACCCACGACAGCTCCACGAAAGACCACTACACTCTCCTAAAGTGACAGTGTGGTGTGGTGTGTCCCAATTTGGGGTGATCGGCCCGTACTTTTTTGAAGACGAGAACAGAACCGTCACTGTCACTTCCGCTCGTTATGTTGTGATGTTGGAAACTTATCTGCAGCATAGGTTGGAGGAAATGGCTGAAGACCATGATTTAGAGAATGTATGGTTTCAACAAGACGGGGCTACAGCACACACAGCTCGAATTTCACTTGGTGTCTTGCAACAAATGTTCCCTGGGCGGTTAGTCTCTCTAAGAGGAGACATAGGCTGGCCACCACGGTCTCCAGATTTAAGCATGTGTGATTTTTTCCTCTGGGGCTACCTTAAGGATAAGGTTTTCAGACATCGCCCACATACCATAGAAGACCTTAAACAGAAAATCACCGAGGAAATCGAAGCCATACCAGTCGAAACGTGCCGAAAATCATATGAGAGCTTCAGAGATCGTCTACAACAGTGTATTGATGCTGACGGCCGCCATCTTCGAGATATAATTTTCAAACAATAATTTTTAAAAATGGGATTCAGTACTTATTTTAATAAAAAAAAGTTTTTTTCTCTCAGTTTTACTGTTCGTTTTTTATAACCCTTCAAAACTCGTCAGTCGGCTCTGCCGCACCCTGTATATAGTTAAATACATATTCAAGTTATTTCATGAGAAAACCCTTTAATATTCCCTTAAAAAAAAAGAAAACCAAATGATAGTTAGATTTCTAAAGATTTTATATGTATAATGAATATATTATATGAATATTACTTCAATAAATATATATATATATTAAAAAACTTACTGGTGCTTGTGATGGATTATTTACGACAACTTCATGACCTGTATTAGGATCAATTATTTTAATGGCAGCAGTTTTTCTTCGTGGCTGTCTAGGTTCTGATATTTGCATAGGTGTAGTTGATGGTTGTTGCGTTACTTGTAAAGGTTGTGAATTGGTAGACATTTCCATTGGTTGAGACTGTACAATGAGAGATGGTCCATGAGAACTTTGAGCATTACTCATATTTGCTACAGTGGTATTCTGTGGTCCCCCTTGAGATAGATTAGCAGTCATCTGTGGAAAAGGTCTTTGGGGTGTCGTAGGATAATATATACCTGAAAAAAAAACCATTCACAATATAGAACAGAAGACAATAAAATAATACTTTACTACTAAAATAAAAAATAACAATTTAATAATTTTCAAAAATATTCAAACTTTAATGTAATTCAATATCTTTCAAACTATAAGTGTATTATTTACTATCATACTACAATACTTTAAATATTATTATAATAGAACAAAAAATTGTATAAGAATTATAAATTTAGTTTTATTTTTTGAATTTACAAATTATTTTATAATATATAACATAATTTATATTATAAAACATGAATTAATTGTTGTAATATAATTAATAGAACCCGGATTTATATGCATTAAAAAAGTGTCAAATATGCAAAGAAAGTGACTAAATATGCAATTATATGCTATAAGTATATTATGTTTTTTTTTTTTTTTTAGAAAACCACACTATTATACCAAATAAAATTTTAAATATTTTATCAAAAAAAAAAAAATAAATAAATAAATAAATAAATAAAAAAAAATGATGATATCCACTACATTGTATTTCAAGTCATTTTAATCAATCTAAGACTTTTAGGAAACTTAAAAACGAGAATACAAATAAAAAAAAAAAAAACTAAAAATAAATATTTAAGATAATTTGAGGTTACATACGCTCAAAAAACTAATAGAAAACTCAAAAAAAAAAATCCAATTTATTAAATTAACATTTTTAAATCTTAATACATATCATTCTTGCTCTATTCGAGGCGATTACAAAATGTACTGTAAATTAAAATAGTTCATTTAATAAGAACCCATTAAATATGCATGTTATATGCATTTATGAACAAATATGCAATAACCTTCGAAATATGTAAAATATACATTATAAAATTTGATGTTTAAATTCGGTGTGATATGAATCGTGGACATTTCAAACCTCCATAGACGTGCATATACTTAGTACAAACATGCAAATGCATATAAATCCGGGCTCTAATAATTAATATAATGTTAATATTTTATAATGTTAATATTTTATAATGTTAAAATTAAATAAAAATTTTACCTTGATTCGCAGAGTAATTTGGTATAAATGGCAAGAGTAGAGTTTGTGAAGCCTAAAATAAAAAGTACATGTTATAATAAGTTTAATATTGCTTAAAATTTTATATATATATACAGTTGAAAAATAATAATTTAATAAAAATAAATAAATTTTAATAATAATTATATAATGTAAATAAATACCTGGGGAGCAAATGTAGAAGCATGTTGATAATATGTATGGTTACTACTTCCTTGGTATGCCATATTACTCGGCAAGCATAACTATAACAATATATAATCCACGATAGTATCTACAGATGCATTAATTAAAAAATTTTAAGTTGTTCTAATAATATTAATACAAATGTATGTGATATTTTTTATAACATACATGTACTATGCAATTAAAGTATAGTTTCTTTTACAATATATATATATAAATGGGTAAATGGGTCAGTAATTTAACATAAATTTAAGTTCACCCAACACCAAAATAGATAATAATACTTTTTATAATAGGTCACTTAAGATGAAACCATTTTCAACTAATGTTAATATTATTTAACTAGTCTATCACTAAATATTAAGATTAATGAAGCGCGCACAATATAAATAAAATTATTTTTAAATTGATTAGTTCTGAAAATAAATGTTAAGAAATTCAAAATAAAAATATAAACTAATAATTATTTGTCATAAGTTGCTGATAATAAGTTTTTAAATAACACAAGCTGTATACATAATATATATATATATATATATATATATATATATATATATTCACACATAAAATGATAAATTTACCTGTAGACATGGATTAATACTTAGGTTTAAAAATATTTTATTATAATTAGTGAAGGGAATAATCGAATAATTCGATTACTACTTTTCGATTATCAAAATAATCGCATGATTTTAATAATAGAAAGAATGGTACCAAATATATTTATTAAAAGCAAATTAATTGAATTATTCGAAAAAATTACTCATTGCCCATTGTGTACTAAATTAAGAAGTCGATAATACAATAGTATTGTATTATTATTTATTTTATTTTTAATCATTAGTATAAATCCCGGTATTGGTAATCCCACATTAATTGGTTTAATAGGTATAAATATTTGGATTGAAAAGGCTTTTAACTTTCATGCTTATTGATAATTATTTGATTATTTATACGATCAGTTAAAGCAGTTAAATCATTCGATTATTTTTTTTATCGATTATTAATCATTCGATTATTCCCATCACTAATTATAATAAAATGATAACAATGGAATTAAGGAGTACTTCAGGTTTAAAACATATTTTATATATTAATTAGTATTTACTTTATTTTAAAACTCAGTAAATCAACTAAAATAAACTATACATACTATTAGTATTATTCGAAGATTTCTAGCATATTTTGTACCTATGTTATTTTTATAATACAGTTAAAAAGATCAAGTTATAATTGATTTTATAAAATAACCCAATTCTGAAAATATAGCCAAATCCTAATTTAATAATCATAATTTAAAACTAAATTACAGCCAAAGATATTTAACATTGTATTAAAATTTACAATTCTTAGTTAATGAGATTGAAGATATCATTCATGACTTGACACTATGAAAATTATTTAATGTAGGTAAATTTATCGGTATTCTTTAGATCTCAAATTATACTATAAGTTATTCAAGCTTCAAACTAAAAAAAAAATTATTTTATAACAACATGGCATAAAAAGAACCAAATGTATCCAAATGACTTAAGAAGAATTAATTTTTTGTGGAATTTTTCATTCATCAAATCTAAGTTTACTTAATTTACTTTAAGGTCCAAGTGTTCTTGAAACTTAATAAATTAAAAAGTTCAATGAATTGTCTCAAGTGCTAATAGTTCTAATATTAATTTATAAACAAGAGAAAACCAATATAAAAATACTTGCAACATTACATAAACTCTAAAATTAAGGTTATAATTAAAACTCTTAAAATAAAAAATAAATATTTTTAAAGTTATAATATTTAACAAAATTAGTCCATTATAGACACTGATAAATTCATTTAATTCGAATTATCATAATTGATAACTCAAAACCCAATGAGGCAAAAAATGTATACCTCATAATTTTTAAAATCAAAAACATAAAAAAAATTTACAAAAATAGGCAGAATGTGTTCCGAAATTTTTAGTAAAAAATTTTTTAAAAAAAAATTATAATTGTTTTTCTATCAAATCAGTAATTTGTCTCGAAAATTACCTGATACTGGAAGGGTCCTCTTGGTAAATTACGTGGTGCATTTGGTCTTATATGGTGGGGGAGCTGAGCACAAAAAGCAAGCATTAATACATAACAAAAATTAGTTAGAAAAAGTTAGAACATTAATACAAATTAACAAACATTATTTATATAAAACTTTTACATTCAATAAATGCAAGAGCTTTTAATTTATTAGTTGTACCTAGTATTGAGATTATTTCAATAATTTAAAGGAAAATAAGGAATTTATATATCAAATATATTATAATTTGTTTTTATTATTTTCAACTGCTTGTTAACATTTTTTTTTTTTCAAATAATTATGTTAAATAAATACTTACATAATCTCATTACTACTTATTACTTAATCAAGACAATTACTAGCCCAAAAAATCCAATTTTTAATGCACTAAGATAGAAAATGTTAACACAATATAATATCTTGATGAATTTAATTTATAAAATATTTATTGGTTAATTCATAATAAATATAAATTATTCTGAAAAGTTATCAATTAAGTAAAATTTGTCTTAGCTATCAATAAATAATGGTGCAATGGGCTGGTTATTGTTTGAATAATAAATCACAATAAAAAGGTAATAGATTATAGATATAAATTAATTTATAACTTATTACTAAGACTAACACCACAAATAAACCACAAAAAGCTTTTTTGCAAAACACCAATGTTAAACTGAGACACCCCACATTCAATCATTCTGAAGTTCCTAGATAGGTTAATGAACAACCAAAATAATAATGTCCTTCAATTACTTACTTTAATCATTTAATCAAATAAAAATTAAATATGAAAATAATATTTTACAACTTCACCATGCATTTATTTTTAAATATCCAATGAGTATTATAAATTAAATTGAAATTATACTTTATTTTGAAAATGTAATAATACACGTTGTAAATTTAATCTTTTGACAACATATGTACTATCCATAATATAATTTATGAAAAATTAATATGAAATCCCATATTCACGTAAAATAAGTATAATTAAATAAAATTAGCCTTTAGAAACTTATTTTAATAATACAATTATTATTAACAAGTTTATAGTAAAATATTATCACTATACTTACAGCAGCTTGCTGCCTTTGAGGAATATGTGTGGATACCATTTGGATTTGACCTAAAATAATTATTAAAATACAATCATATTTAAATTTCCCTTTTTTTTTCTTACCATGGGTTAAATTGGGCATATGATTATTTTTCATATCACTACTGTTATGTGAACCTTGATTCACATAATGCCGTGGAGCACGTTGTAAAAACCCAGGATTTGAGACCGTTTGATAACTATTATGATCTGAAAAATTAAGAAGAATAAATTTACTTCCGATTTTTTTATTTTTATTTTTTTTATCTTCTATAATATAAATTCTGGAAGTCAAGTTACTTGATATACATCTATGAATACATTTTTTTTGGACTTAAAAATTCGTAATATTTAAACACTAAATAAACTTTGATCGAAAAAAATTATTATTAATCAATTTTATTTTTATATAAATGTATCAAAAATAAAATTAATAAATAAGTTACTGTTTGATCAAATAATATTCTTACCATTCATAGTATGTATAAAAACATAAAAAAATCTAAAGGAAACATTTACGAAAAAATGAAATAATATGAATATAAATCTTACAATTTAATTAATAATTTATTTATTATAATAATTAATTAAATTAAAACTATTTTAAAATTTGAGATTAATAAATAACTGAACAAACGTGGCTGCCAGGCTGGCATAACCACTACTACTTCGCGTAATTATACACATGAAGCAACAGCTGTCCCCCCCTACCCATTCATGATGAACAGGGCTTCTTAAACCACGATGTATACCTTAAAATGCATAATACGTATTAAATTATTTTAACAATTAAAACAATATAAATTATTAACAATACTGAAATAAATATTGTCAGTCCATATTTATAGTTTTATTATAGGTTATCCAAAAACATTATTAAATTATGTTTTAAAATACACATTTATTTATTTATTTACGGATTACTTTTATTTTTTCTTTCAATTATATGTATATAATACAAGTGTTGAATAATTTATAATTTAAATTTTTTTTATGTGCAACCAACATTTGTACGCATATGAGTGAGAAATTAAAATTACACTGTTTTTAAGTATGACGTTTTTGTTATTTTCTATGATACAAAATTACAATATTATATTTATCACTTATTAAAGCATTTCTTACATTTTAAATAGATCATACTTTATACATGAGAATAATGAAAACAAAATTAAATAAAATATTCAATACTTTTATTAACTGTAATTTTAACTAAAACTTCATAAACTAACCTAAATGAGATTGAATGAACCTAAAATGTATGCTATGTTGATGAACAAGGTTCAATTAAAATAATGATAGAGAACGTGCATAGAATGTAACATAATTCGTGCTTAGGGTAAAAGCCACTAAGAAATATAATAAAACAGAACAATTTTATACATTTAATTTAGATTTATTAATAATTATCTATTTCTAAAAACTAGTACTAAATTGATCATTATTTAAAAAAATTAATATTATTATAGATTTAATACTTTTAAATTGAAAATAATAATAAATTATTTCATCGAAAATGTAGGATGTAAAATATAATGGTGTAGGAACTGAGTAGTAACTATTATTTTAACGATTTTTTTTTTATTGAATCTTATCACATTTAATTTTTAAATTAGAAATATAAGAACATTTCTCGTGGTAAAATCGCTCACTTTCACGTAATCATGTATTATTAAAATTTTATTGTACAATGAATTTATTAAAATAGTATTTTTAGATTTTATCTTCGTATACATTATACATTAATATTCTATATATATATATATTAAAAATGAAAATACCACAAATTGTTGATGGGGAGAATATTAAGAAATATAATATTAAGTATTGATTCAAAATTGAATTAATAAGTATTACATAAATTAATTAATAAGATATACATAACACTTACTGTCACTGTTGTAAAACATTCACGCGTAATTTTATAACCGAGTTTTATAATAACATGTACTATTTATAATACTTATACAATATCAATATAAAACATTATAGGCTATAGATAATGAAACAATATATGGCGTGATTAATATATCAACATATTTATTTCACTTTTAGTAGCCTTTTAGGTTATAATTCTAATCGTCAAAATGAATTATCCGAAAATATTTAAATGTAATTTATTTAACATATTAAAATATATAAATCTAAAATGAATTACTTTAATGGCCCGGTTATTTTATTATATTTTCACTATAATTTGTTTAATAGTTAAATTATAATTCGACTATAAGAATTAACAGTAAGAATTGAACCCATAAAGTATGATAGTGTCAAGTTACGATTTGTTTAGAATTGTTTTATAATTAGTAAAATATTAGGTAAAAGTTACAATTTACTATATGATTGGGTTACAATTTAAGAATTTTAAAAATACTTTATTTCAATGCTTTAACAAATTATAGCTTTGAGTTCGAACTTGGCAACAACATTTCATTTTCAGACTAAAATGACAACCCCGAAAGAAGTGACCTCTACCATTTCCTCAAAATTGTATATACACCCTAGAAACCAACCTTCTTATTACCATGACAAAAATAAACCAATGGGAGATGGCTCACTATCATAAAAATAAATAAAATTCATGCTAAAAAAAAATATTGTTATTAAAATTATTGCTTACTGATGTACATGAGTTTTTAATAAGACATCAGATTATGGACAAAAGTTTATGGAAGTTTTATAGCTATTACAAATTTTTAGAGAATAATAATAAATAAAATCAGTAAGACACAGAAAGACAACCGAATAATATTACATATATATTATATAAAATGTAATAATATACATATACATATATAAAAACAAATAGTTTTTTTTTTTATATAATAATATTAAATAATAATAAATATAAATTTGTAATAAACCCAATTGCACTACATAAGCACCAACAAAATCTTATTTTATAACTCAATTATTTCAGAGAATTAGCAATAAATTAATAGTTTTCAATAGTTGAATAAAAGAAAGGCTTTGAAAGTCAAAAATTATTAATTTTATATAGTATATAATATCAAGAAACAGTTATAACCATGACTTACAGCTTTTAAAAAGTAGTAAAAGCGCTATAATATGTTCATATAAATATATATGTGCTAAAATATGCAAAAAAAAATATATCATTTGAAAAAAAACAATTTTCATTTATTATTAAAATTTTGATCACATCACTATATGATACAAATAAAAATATAATTTAAAACAAAAGAAGAATTAATTAACATGACTTAATTACAAACATAAAAATTAATACTACTATAATTACTTGTTATTATTAAGAAAAAAATGATTTAAATGGTACGGAATTGAAAAATAATTAAAAATGCAAAATAGCACTTTGAAATATGCAATATATAGGTGATAATACTAAGAAGGTTACATTTACTTTATTACAAAAAAGTTTACTGTGAGTTTGGAAGGAGCAATGTTCGTTCTTAGTTTACTGTATAACATAAGAAATAACTTTTTTCTATTTCCAAATCACCAATTGTATTTATGTTATAAGAACATTGAAAACTAATTTGAATTTTTCAAAGTCTAAAAAAAAAATTACTTAAATATTTGAATTTCAAAATTTGAATGGTTAATTACTATTTTTTAAGAACTTTTGTTAAAAACATTAAATAAGTAAATTGTTCTCAAGTAGGCTATTTAAAATCAGTTTTGAAAATCCTAATTGCATCAATAAATCAATCGATACATGGGAAATAGAAAACTTTCAAATCCTCATATTATGCATGTAATAGGCAAACATAAAATTATTATTTTCAACCCTTTAAGTTGTAGAATATTATAAAAAATAAATAACAAGAAATTCAAAATACAGGAATATTTAAATTTATATAAATAAACATATTTATTAATTACATATATATAAATTAACTAGATAGCCATCTCTCGTAAGTAACGAACAAAATATATGAAGCCTCAACATCATATTCCAAGAGTGTAAACAAACACTCAAGTACTGTGATAAGAAGTATGATAAATTGAATAAATTATTGTTAGCCACATTTATAGTATATTTAATATTGGACAATAGTATCATAGATGTGCACAGGGGATATGCAGTTACGTACCCTGAACAGTCTTTTCTTAAAAATACAAAAAAAAAAACATGATATACCTTTTCAGACTTTGAGTTTGAATTATACAAAATTTTGTATTACTCTATAATTATTATATAATATATATTATTATTATATATTTTTATATTTAATTCCACAAATTCTTATTATTGAAACACAGATCATAAAGTAATGTAATTACGATTTAATGTATTAATGAAGTTATAAAGTATTATACTTCAATAAATATTAAATAACCTACTGCTGTAATTATTTATGTGTCTGGCATTAATTCTATAAACTAAAAATCAACATCAAAATGTACTATTAGATATAAATCACATATAATTATAGCAGCACATCAAATATATAGAGATTTTTAACAGTTTTTATACATGTTACAATTTTACTAATTTTTTTTTTTCTGAGTTAACTATTTTATGACTTCAGCTGTAGTAACTGCAATTGCACAGTGAATATTCAACGCTACTAATCCATTTAATCTACACACTAATATAAAGTATTTGATTTACGTTTTTAGTATTTTTAAAGTTTTATAAAAAAAATGGCGGTTATACTTTTATTAACCTGTTTACTCATTTTATTTGTTTGACGGCGACAATAGCATTCGAACAACTGAATTGATATAATAACTCCTAGGCATAAACAGTCATTCAAATATTATAATATTCAGCTTTAGACAACAATAAATCGAAAATATAAGAAAATGTATATATATATATATTTATATTAGGTAGCCACTTGTACAACATTTCCAGGTAGCGGGTGTATTGCCGTTTTATTAGAAAAATAAAATAAGATATACACTTGTAATTATCATTATCATCTAAACAATATAATAATTTACATGGTTGTAATAATTTTTATTTGCAAGATAACTGATGTACAATTCAAAATTTGTTCTGTATACTATATTAATAAAAGTAATTACATACATTTACAAGTTATACCACATAATAATTTTCATTCAACTGCCATGATAATATTACAATATGTTCTAATAAACCTTAAAAATAAAATATGACATAAATTTAACATTATACATTTAAAAGTTAACAGTTCAATAGACATCAAATAAAATTTCTATTAATTCAGGGGTGTCCAAATACCCAAAACACCCCCTTGTTTACGCTACTGCCTACTGCTAAAGAAAGTATTTTTGTATTTGTTTATATAATAAACATATTCTAAATTTGTTACACTTATTTTGTCTAATAAAATAAATTGAGTATAGAAGTTCATTTTTATTTTTTGTAATACCATTATTTTATCACATCTACCAGGAATCTCACAAATTATTGATAACATTGTTTGCACTCTTAGCAAATGGCAAACTTCATTGATAAAACACAGTGGGCTATCTAATTAAATTATGTATTAGTGAATAATTATAACCAAACATTTCTAAAAACATATTCTTTGCTTCAGTCATAATTGAGGAGTATTTTTTCTTATTTACTTATAATAATAATTCATGATAATTTTAAAAAAATTACTGTGTAACATTTTCTTATAAATCTTTATAAAGTTAAGTTTATTTTTGTTTAACCTAGAAGGTAAAGTTAATAACAATGATATTTATCAATCTCTTAAAAATTAGTTGAAATTTAATCAATTTTAATAATAATTTTAACAATAAAAATATAATACCTAAAAATTCTTATTATAAAAATTCTTTGTCAAAAAAAAAAAAAAGTTACTGAATAACTTAGGAACCTTGAAGGAAATAAATAGAAAAATAATTCAGGCTAATGCTAATCATAATTTATTCCAATGATTATGACTCATGATTTGATTATTACATTGCACATTGCTTTGTAATTTTCAACATTAACAATGTTAACATTGAGTTTATATGATTCATAAATTGAACTAAATAAAAAATAAATTAGTTAAATATGAGTAAACAGATGACATCACAGGGGAGATGAGAAGAAGAAAAAACAGACCTACAAGAAAATAACATTGTAGAGACTACCAAAAAAGATAATTGTGTTGAACAGAACATGCAATAAGAATAAGAACTCTCAATTAAGAGCAATATTGAAATACAATCGAGTAGAAAAAATACTCTTGGGAAGGTCAAAATTAAGAGGAGGGATGTAGAATTAGGAGGTGGAGTAAATTGCAAGAATTAGATAATTAATAGAGATGAGTGGAAAATTGGTTGTGAGATGGGATAATCTTAGAGAATAACCCATATTATAATAAAAATAAAAATAAGTAAACATTTACAATTGGGAACATACTTTTTGGTTAAGTCACCTTTGATCCCGCCTTTAATATTATGGTTTATGCCCCAATGAAACATAAAAGAATTACACTTCTACCATCATAAAACAAACAAATTTCAAACAAGTTACTATTTCTAATATTGACCTATTGTTTGTGTATTCAAAAAATATATATTTTATTTAAGAAAAAATCTACCAATCCATAATTTGAAGTAAAGTTATGGTAGTTGAATGAGAGAATATTTCCTCATCCATCAATTTGGCTAATAAACAAAATAACTAAATATCATAAAATACCAATTATCATAGTTGACATAAAATATGTAACTGAAAAGTATCCAAAATAGAGATGTTGTAATTTACGAACTTATTTCTAATCCAATGTACTCATTATTATAAGCACAACTGGAGTTTAGACTTGGGAGATGGATAGGTAAAAGGTATTAAGAGGGAACAGACATGTAGTTTTGCCTCTACATAACTTAAAATCAATAATTACACAGAAAAACAGAAATTTTCTAACTAAATAATTGTTTCATGTATTGAGTAATATTATCTCAAATATAAAAATATACCAATGCTAATTATTTTTCATTTCCAAGAGCTAGGGAAATATTTTAAGGGCTATAGCTATGAGGAAAGTGGAAGGTACCCATTGTACTTGGATGTGTTACTTTAAAATAATACTTTCAACATTATCTGAATATTTTTTATAGTGTATTCAATAAAATTCCTAAGTTCCTTGATAGCTTTTAATTAATTTGTTGAATATGATGAATACTTTTGAATATTTATAGATAGGAGATACCACATATATGCTATATATCTTCTTCAATGGTAGGAATATCATTTTTAGAGTTAACTCAATACCATTTAACAAATACTTCTCTTTTAACCGAGTCATAAGCTAAAAATCTTTGTCTAGTCTAAAATCAACAAATAGTTAATGCAATTTCTTATTAAATTCATAGTATTTCTATATCAGTTGCTTGAACGTGAATATCAACTGTCAACCTTCCCACTAAGAAGCCACTTGGGTATTCTCTAACAATATCTACTGTATATGGTCATAGGCAGTTAAGGATAATATTAGAGAGAACTGTTTAAGTCGTGCATAGCAAGGATATATCTCCCTGTAATTACCACAGTTCATTGCATTCCCTTTTCTATAAATCAGGCACAAAATTGATGTATTCCAATCCTCTAGCGTCTTTTCTATTATTCATACTTCATTTATCACATTCCTTATTCACAATTCATTAATTATGTATTAAAAATAAATCTTTTGATTTGCAGGCAAAACCAAATTATTGAGATAGTCTCTAAACTATGTCTCTCTGACTGCTATCACAAGCTAATAGACATTGATTTTGGTATGTAATGTTGATAAACCAATAGCACACATTCAAAATTCAAATTAAAAAAAAATGTTGTATTCTGTCATATAACTCTGCTCGAAAACAACTATATCCTTACATCCTATAAATTATTCTTAATTTTCACATATATAAAGATACAAATTTTGGTACTTGTCTGTTATCCCTACTACCGCAACTACTCAATTCTGTTATCTCAACTACAACGCCGAACATGTTTGGGGCTCCGCTAAATGGAGAAATAAAAAGCATAAGGGAAACAGACGCCATCATTTGGAGTATTATCTGGAGACATAACATTGAAGGAGAACCATTCGATAACATATTGAAAAATATTTTCAAAAATTGGTCACCAAAAATAGAATTTTAAACTTATGTAACTGTAACTGTGATAATTTTGATGATTTTTTTGTTTTATATTATAATAACTTTCCACTACTGTGATAATTTTAGAATTTGTAATTTGACGTTTTGTGATAATTTTAATGATTTTATGTTTTATACACGATTTAAGGTACCCAATATTATCTTAAATTGTGGTTTTATACTATAACTCTCCACTACTGTGATAATTTATGGGATTACTGATAATAAACTTTATACTAATATACATTATAATATAAATGGCAATTCATGACGTGTATTATGTATTAAAATACAGAACTACCTGGATAGTACTATCGTAGTCGAGATAACAGAATTGAGAGTTGCGGTAGTCGCGGCATTGAATGGTAGTAGGGATAACAGACAATTACCCAAATTTCCTACTAACAGCTGTAACTGTTTCATGTAAAATAGTTTCATGGTAGGCATACAAACAAACCGCACATATATTCAATTACAACTATAATAACAATACATATGTCAATAGAGACTGTTATGATAATGTCATATTTAATTATAAATTTAGCTGATAGTTTATAAAATGAAATAATAGTTGGCTATAATATAGATCAAAGAATTATTTCCATTATTATTGTTAGGTATATTTTAGTACCTTATAATAAATACACTTTTATAGTAATTTTGATAAATAGAGTAGTATAGTAATTCATTAAAAAATAAAATGATGAACTAGTTAACTGTACTATATTAATAAATTCTGGGGAATATGCCAATTATAACATTATTATTTTGATATAAAAAGTAGGCATAAGATTATGTTAATTTATTTTAACTTAAAAGCATTTTTATTTGTAAATGAGCTTTATTTTACACCATATAAATTAATAGTAGATATTAAACAATCAATTTATGGTTTTCAAGTTAATGGTAATAATAATTCTGATTTTATTTTGGTTTTCTATTAATTATTTAAATAAATTAAATAAATTGATTTATATACATGACCAACATGCAGGGATTTTTGTAATATTTATTGCTAAAAATTACTATTGAAGATAATTTGTGTGTACATAATCAAAAATACTTTCAGAAATTTAAAATTTTGATTACACGGTGAACTTAATCAAATTCACAATGATATTGATTCTGTTGCTTAGACTTTAAATAAACAATGTATTATTATTTTTATTAAAATTTACACAAATCAGTTATTAGGTGCACTTTCACATTTAGAATTACAGAAATTGGTATCTATTTTTACTAATTTAAAATATAAATTTTAAGTTTTTAGAAGGTAAAACTATTGCCGAGACTATTGCTTAGGCTAATAGAAATATTAATATTATGTTATTATATAATACAATATGTACTTAATTTATTTCATGTTTTGTTTTGCCTAAATTACTATTTTAATATGTGAAATAAGATACTGTTCATATTAGTTATAAAAAATAGTGGCCAAAATAAAAATATATATATTAAAATATTTACTTATCAAGTTCAATTAATAAATTTGGAATTTTTTGTATAACAATAATATTAATAATAATTAGAAAAAAAGTTATCATATGAATTGATGAATATTTTTAAAATATGAAAAGTAAATGTATATTTATTTTATACAAGTAAACTAAAAAACATTGATTTAAATTGTAATCAAAATGATGGTTGAAACAAATAGGTAAAATGATATTCTTGGTATTTACTATCACTGTTTAAGTCTCTAAAGTTTGAGATAACCTTTGACATCTACATAACAACAAATAAAAATTTCAACTTGAACAGGCATTCTACCGTTGCAAAACATTCAGATTTCAAATAAATTACTAATAAATATTTAACTGAAATGGTTTAAAATTAAATTTATTTAACACTAAAAAATTTTCACTGGAGAAATTATAAAGAATTTAGAGTCAGATTCATAACAGTTCTATTAAGTTCATTAAAAAATTTTATTTAATTCGATTAAAGTAAACCAATAATATTCAACACCTACCAATAAACATTTTAGGTAATTATGTAATAATAATACTATTTACATATTATAAGCATAAATAAAATTCGGTCAATAATTAAAAGTTCAAATTAAAATGTAACTAACTTGGATACATCGCTCGGCCTCGATTGTTGTTCATGCTCGTAGTGATCGTTTGTGCGATGCTACGTTAACGCCGTACCTCGGTATTTCGGTAGTTGACGATGTTAACCAAGCGGACATGTCGTATCAGTCAAGATTCGTCAATGGACGAACCGATCGGAAAATAGTCATCACAGTAGTATACGAAGCGCACGGGACGCGATTAGGATGGATGAAAAATTAAAAAAGAATACAATATACGGTTGGCAACCAGTGCCAAATTGGGTTGGGCACAAATTATGTATATAAAATATACAAAATTGTGTTAGAAAAAATACTTCTTTAAAAATAAGACAACTAACACTAACACTATACAAACAACAACACAAAACGGTGGTGAAATAAAAAAGAAACAAATTGTATTTTAATAAAAAATGTATACCTATAAAATGAGTTATAATATTTGACGTTTTATACAGCCATATTGCTTCCGAAATTTTTAACAATACGCACGATGCAGTCACTGCAAGCTTGTTAGTCATGTGAACGGGGGAAAATCGGTGCCATCAGAACGGCCAACCTCGATGTGGAAACTATGGACAAACCCAATTAATTTTGATAAATTTTAAAAATTGTAAAAATCATCATATTTTTCACAGCTATTATATTCAAAATAAATCTAATAATTTTTAATTAAGATTTATTCGTGAAATTCATCAAAAAAAAATGAGAAAATATTCTTACTGATGATCAAATACACATATTATTGTGTAAAGCTGACTGTGCTAAGAACCACTGTATCCACCATGTTTGAGATACTTGGAAAATACTTGATAAAGATTAACGTGACTCGTTTTAGTCATTAGTGATTAGATAATAACTTATTACTCATAACTTAATAACCATTAGTTACTATTCGTAATTATTTAATAATATTTAAGTAGCGGGTATGAAAGTCTGGGTGAAAGTTTTAATTTTGAGTTTCATATTAATTATTATGAGTATCTCATAGAACACAAAATATATTTTATTAATTATAATTTTTTTCTTTTTGTAAAGTGTATTTATTTTTTATATAAGTGCTATATAATATTAATATTTATATAAATTACAAGTGTATATAATATATTTTATATACCTTGGTATTACAGATAAATAGTAATCAGAAATTTTCAATTTTAGTTGAATGTGTTACAGTTTGTTATTTAGTAAGTCGATTTTTGGTAATATGCCACCCAAAACAAAGCTTATTTTGATAAAACTATAGACATTTATAACCAATTAAAATTCTAATAATAAATGAATAAATAATTTAATGTTTTATAAACAATGTGGTATTATTACCACAAACTATATGAAAAAATATTTCATATAGTTTGTGCTAATATTAATATTTAAATAAAATAATAAATTACATTTTAATATAGAATAATTATAAGAATTTAAATTTAAGTAATTCTTTATGAAAATATTTTATAAATTACATTTAATTATTACATGTATAAATATATTAAATAATATTTTCAGATCCAAAATACTAGTTGTTCTCAAATAGTTATTTTTATTTCATTGGGCTCTATATACTTTTCAATTGTCAATACATAGGCGTAAACTGGGGAGGTAAGAGGGGCAATTGCCCCCTAGAATAAATAAGGAGGGGCAATGCCCCCTCTGATATTTAACATACCTTGTTTTAAAATAAGTACAAAACAGCTGATTATAGCTATTACAATATAATTTTTTTTTTAAATCTTAATTTTCAATTTTTGTTTATTTAACATAATGTTAAAAATGAATAATTTTGTATAATAATATGTAGGTAGTAAAGCGGCATTTAGCCGCGGACAAGGTTGGACTAGGGCACCGGAGCATGCCCCGGTGGGTTGCTTTAATTTTGGTTAAATCAAATTACTTAGATTCTTTGTTTTTAATTTAATGCTTCTATTCTTAAAATTAAATAAAAAAATATCGCCTTGTAACATGACATTACCTAATGGATGCAGTGACACAGGATTAGATATTCGGAGTTTGAAAATTAAACATATTTAATGTCTCGATAGGCTGATTGATAACAATGATTTCATCACAATATTTATAAATAGAAAAATAGTAGGGAATTTGAATACAAAAGATGTGTACAATATGTTAATCATACGAAGTACCGTTCGTGTTTGTTCAAACAACATTTAACTAAAAGAAAATGTTGGTATGGGTAGACACGGTCGTGCCAGACAAGGTCGGCGTAAGACTAAATGACGCTCGAATCCAAAACGCCAATTGGCGCCTTTTAATACAACAACCTGTAATATCATTATATTTAGAAAAAAAAAATGTTGTTCATGAACAGCAATACGGAAAAATTATATATTATGCTCGACTTGTATATCTTTTGTTATCGTCTAATTTTTTAGTGACGAGTCACGACGACTCGACGCGATCCCAATTGAACAACAACATATATTTGGGAATTATAGCAACATATACGATAAGACATTCTACGCTAAATCATAGTAAATATACTTAACACGTTGGATGCCACATGGCCACCGGCGACCCAAGTCATTTCAGAGCATGGTGGGTCATAATATTTTTACATAATTTGTCGTAAATGTTTACGTTTATAATAATATATAATAATCTAACTGTCCGATTTTGATAACATTTATACAGTTTTAATCAGTAAAACTTGTAAAATAATATAAAGATAAGAAATGTCTTGGGTCGCCGGCTGACACGTGGCCTACAAATATATAACTTTATATATGGGCCACTATTGGTCACCGACGGTCATGTTCTAAATCTAAATTTAGCTGGTATTTTCTTTTTGCTTATCATAATTTTCATTGTTATTGTTTCTGTGACAATAAAATTTATTGTTTATATATAATATATGATATTATCATTTATTCAATGTCAGTCGTCTTTAGCTTTCGTTTTCGTTGTGACCGTTTTTAATAGAAATGTGAATTTCATTACTTTTATGTTTTATTTTTCAAATAAAATACAATTTTTTACAAAATGGATGAACATATGATACTAGATTCATTAAATGAATCATATGACTCTTTAAGTGAAATTATTGACGATAGTGATACTGTTCTATTATTTCGAATTGAAAGTGAAAGTGATTTTCAAGATTCTACTGAAGACGAGAGCGAGGACGAGGACCATTCAATTTCTGAATATAATGTTCAACCACTTCAACCCACCTGGAATACAATTTCAGGTAATTATCAAAAACATTTCAACTTTATTGGAAACTCTGGACCCTTAGTTATATTAGACGAAAGTAGTGGGCCTATAGATTTTTTCAAATTATTTCTTACCGACGAAATAATTCAACTTATGGTTATTGAAACAAATAGAAATGCTCAACAAATATTAAGTTTTCAAAGAATATCAAGAGGTAGTAGATTTTCGTCTTGAAAGTCAATAACTAAAATTGACATCGAACATGTTTTGAGTCTTTTATTCTGGATGGGAATTGTAAAAATGCCATCATTATCCAACTATTGGAATAAAGCACAACGTTACCAAAACAAAGTTGCATCAAAAATTATGAGTAGAAATAAATTTGAGCTTATTCTTTGATTTTAGAATTTTAAAAATAATGATTCTGCAGATAAAACAGACAGATTGTATAAAATTAGAAAATTATTAAATATAGCAAATGATATATTTAAAAATGTGCACCAATCTGGGGAAATAATAGCCGTTGACAAATCAATGATACCTTATCGTGGTAGACTCAATTTTCGACAATTAATCCGAACAAAACTCATAAATATGGCGTTAAATTTTTTAAAGTGTATGGAAGTAATGGGTATACAAACAAAATTATAATATACGAAGGGAAACAATCAATAAAAGGAGAATCACTATCTGAAACAATAGTATCTGATTTCTGTGAAAATTATTTAAATGAAGGACGAACCACTGTCACGGATAATTTTTACACGTCTGTGCCCATAGCAGAAAAAATGTTGTTAAAAAAAATAGCACTTAGTCGGAATTAAGAAAAAATAGGCGATTTTTACCCAAGACTGTTATCGAAAAAAAAATTAAGAAAGGAGAAACATTTGGTCTTGAAAATAATTCGGGTGTAGTAGTATCAAAATTCTAAGACAAACATGATATTTATTTGCTTTCAACTAAATATTTACTAAGCATGTCAAACACCGAGAAAAAACCAGAAATCACGAAGATATAATCAAACCGGGTGTTATACTATTCTATAACGCCGGTAAAGCCGGAATATATTTATCTGACCAGTTAGCGTCATATTGTACTTCAATGAGAAAAAGTATACGTTAGTATCATTAGGTAGCAACAAAAATCTTTTTGAACACATTTGTTGTAAACGCACAAATAATGTATAATGAACATAATTTTCAAAAAAAACTCAGCATCCGTCAATTTCGAGAAGTTATAGTCGATAAACTTCTTACATTAGAACCTTCATATAGAACTGGTGTTTCACTTATATCTGCCACACCAAAATTAGTTGAAAATAGATTCCTTAGAAGACTAGCGACAAAACATCAACTGGAAGAGACTGAAGACAAATGCTAGAAAAATAGAAAAATAAGAAGAAAATGCACTAAATGCTACAAGAAATATTCCGCTGAATTAGATTATAAGTAAGCTAAAATTATTTAAAACTTAACTTGTTTTAATCTATACTGTATAAATTATATTATTATTTTTTAGAGAAGCGGTAAACAAGGCAAAAAAAGTGACAACATTTTGTAGCATTTGCCCATCAAAACCATTTGTGTGCTTCCAATGTTTCTAACATCATCAACAAGGATAAATTACATAAATAATACTCAGTAACAATAAATTTTAATGTATAATATTAATATAAAAATAACTTCTTTTCACATATTTTAAAGTAATAATAAATCTTTCATTAGTTTGAATGTTTTAATCGTTTTTTTTTCAAAACTATCTACTTTTTGTTGTTTACGCCACAGTAAAATCTATATTTTTTTCTAACTCCAAACCGTATTTAATTAAAGTCCATTTAAGATAATGTCGCATTTGGGTATTTCATCAGTGAATTTTGTCTTTTTAACTTTTTGAAAAACTGAAGACAGCACATTTTCTGCATTTTACGCCAAATCTTTAACAGAACCTTGAGAAGTATTTGTTAAATGAATATTTTTTACAACTTGGTCTAGTTTTTTTATTGTATCAGTTTTTAACCATTGATCCATATTTATCAAAATGTATTTAAAGTAAGTTACAGAATAATAAGCAATTACCGACGAATAATTTTAAAACAATGAAAATAGCGAGTTTTATAATATAAATAAAAATCGTTCACATACAATTATCATAAATTTAAAGGAATTGATAAATACACGAAATTGAAAAATACCAGACTTGGCCACAATGTAGATTTCACTACTTTGATAGGCCGACTTTTTTGGGAGGGAGTTTGGAACTTGACTTTTTTTCACCGTTAGGTTTTTTTCGGAGATAATCCATTACAAAAATCTATCGAGTATACAATCATACAATATAATTAACGAAAAATTAACCATTATGATAAGTTTTTATTTTTTTTAATAATTTAAATAATTAAATTTTTTTAAACTTATATTACAAATACTTTTGTTTCAACAATTAAAAATATAAAGATAGAGAAAAATAAACATATATGTATACATATGTACACATATATATATGATACAAATTTAATTATAATAAAAGCCCTCTGAGAGCACAAAGTTGATGATAGCTTTAATCAAGGATGGATTGGAAGATTGGAAGACGTTTGGTAGAGTAAAATGAACGTTGTTGGTAAGACATATAGTAGAATGAAGATGCCGACTATGAAGAAGATCAGGACAATTAAATAAAATATGAGAAACGTTACATATAAAAGGTCCTCATGATGTGTGCAATAAGGGGAATCATTCTGGGATAAATAAAAAGAGTGAACAGAGAGGTCGTTGTGGCCAGAATAGAAAATAGGATTTTGCGTGAAGTAGGAATATAGTGAATACAGGGAAAGACCAAATCAAACAAAAATAAGCTGCAAATGTTGGAGTTGGTTAACCCATTTCCGATTCCAAGCCTTTGATGCATAATTGAAAATCCAGAAATTACCCATTCTAAGTTGATAGAAGAAAACTGTTGCGAAGCATTTATTTGTAATGCATAATTTAAAAAGGAACCGTTAGGCGATGAATAAGAATTTGAAATATTTAAGTGGGCTGAACGAGGAAAAGAAGAATTATAATTAACACAATATTCATGTTGGGATAGAAAAAGACTTTGGAACTTGGTGTGGAATTAGATGTATTAATAGAATGTTTAGGAGTGTTTAAAATAGGACGAGAAGTTATGTCAGAAAAAAAGAAATCCGACTTACAAATGTTCTTATCCTTAATTTTAAAAGCTTCCATAAAAGTAATTTTATTATTTGTAATAACCATTAATTTCTTGAGGTCCTTCGGACAGATCCATTCAGGATACGACAGATCAGATGGTACACGAAAACCTTGGAATTTGACGCTAGAGACGATCGCATTGGGTGATGAGCGGGTGTGACAATTTGACAATAAATGATTCACAGAGGCGCAACAATTAAATTGATGTTTGCCACGACAAAAAATTTGAGTATGATCAAAACGCCTACATTTCTTGCATAAAGTGGGGGAGCGTACACTGGTTTAATTTTGAATTTTTCGTTAAAAATAGAAATATAATCGGGAAAATACGTCGATTTTAACTTAAATTCAACTAATTCGGACGGTGACTGTGAATTGCAGTCCCTAAAATTGTGTGCAGTACAACACACTTTGTGTAGTACGAAAAGTGCAGTGTGCAGTACGAAATTTAACAGTGTGTTATTCAAATCAAACCTTTATGATAATATTATGTACAATTTTATAGCAACATAGCTTCACCAATTTTTTTTTTGTACCTAAATGGTTTTTTGACAAACCATATTTTAATTATTATCTACATTTTACACGGACACGCAGTGAACAATATTTGTTGTTACTTCTCATACTCATAGTTGTTACTATTCATTGTTATTGAGAGTTGCTATTTTTAATTTTATCAGCTTAGTATTGTTTATCGAGAAATAATCCGCGTGCAACACTGCTATTGCCGTCGCTGATAGTATTATTATTTAAACTCAATATTTTACCAATATAACCAATAACTAGACACACTGCAGACTAACGTCTATCGATAGTACTGCAGTCTACAGTAGGCATGTTTTAGTAATAGGGTTTTTATACTTCTTCATAGTTTTTTATGTCTATATGGTCATGTCATGTCTCTAACACTCTTCCTCACAGCATTTAGTTGTTAGTAATAGTTTTATTTCTACATATTTCCACTAATACATACATTTTTAATAAAAGGAAATGGTAAGTACTACCTTATTGTAAGCTCAAATATAGTGGTATCACTTTTTAACAAAATAAATTGAAATTTAACGAAACTCTATATAATAAAATGTTTTATGGAATCATACATTTATCTTTCAAAATCGTTTCCATTTAACGAATTAATTTTGAGTTATTTTTCTGCAACATATATTGTATATGTAGTATACAATTATCAATCAGCATTATAGGTCAATCAATTTTTTTTTTTTTTTATTAACTTCAAATAATTCTGCTGAAAATGTAGATATTAATGCTTCAAAAAAAAAAAAAAAAAACTGATTTATTTGGTAACTCTGATGTTAATATTGCAAGTTGTAGTAGTGAAGCTATTAAAAGAAAATAAAGTTTAATCCTTGATTACGTTTTTGAAAAACTAGAATGTGTTAAAGGTAGAAAAAATGGTAAGATGTAGTATATGCTATCTCCATTAACAGACATTATTAATGCATATCAAGCAAAAGAATAAAATTCCAGCTATATGTAGTGAACTGGTACTGCTCCACGTAAAGAGGTTTTAAAAAACCATCTCCAGTTAGTTGAGCATGTCGAATGTGTTAAAGTATTTCAACAATCAAAATTAACCACAAATAAAATTTAAAAAATCGTTCCAATAGACAAATGCATGTTCAACAAAATCAAAAATTAGCAAATAAAATAAGTTCGTTTATGTAGAGAAAGGTTAATTTCCTGTTACAACATTATGAGAACCTCAAGAAGAATTTCTTTAACATCAGAAACCATTAAAGATTCTCTTTATATTCGAATTAATATGGTAACTGTCAATAATTTCAATTCAGAACCAGCTGTATTATTATGGTTGAATAAAATGATAGACAGCAAAAAACACACTAAGGATACACAACAAGAATACTTTGAAAGTGTTTTTCCCGAAGCTAAACGTCAAAGAAACCAAAATTTATGAGAAGTTAATCGTATAATATTCTAATAGAGTTAATATTTAAAAAAATTTGTTTTTGAAATTCCTTTATATTGGTAAAATATTACAGAGCTATTTTAAAACCATAGCTTTATAACTAAAATGTTAGAATTTATTGTATAATAATATGTTGATGGTATATTAGAGTAAATTTATGTATAAATTAATTAATAATAATTCAATTTCGTTTACAGTAATGAATTCATATATTAATTATACATGCTTTTATTTAATTTGTATTATGCGTTATTGGTTTAAGAAGACCATAAGTATCCGGTAATAGTTTATAGAGAATTCATTTTTAATTTAGATTTTACTGATTTGAAACTGTGTGTAGTACGAAAATTTTAATATTTTAGAGACTGGTGAACCGTCTCTGGATGTTAAAATTATTTTAAAACCAATGAGACAAATCGGTGATTAACACCGTCCCAAATATACTCTTCCGTGAATAACGGCTCGAACCGTATCACACCGAAAGAATACATCAACGAAGACGAAATAGAAGCAGGCAAATTAAATTAAATTAGAATTAAAGATTTAAGAAAGTGGTTTGCTGTGGTTAGGTTAGCCAATGAAAATGCGATTTTAATCTGGACAGAGCCAGCCGATTAGATAGAGACGATACTATCGACACGCTTGAACACTAATTTGCCGGGCTATAAGGGGTGAAGATTGCCGATATTAAGCGACTTGGATTATGCAAATGAATAGGTTATTATGATTTTTATCGTAATAATAATAAAATACGACACAGCATGATTATTGATATTAGAATTTACCATATTATCAACGCACACGCTGGTGGACTGTGACACTTCATTAATGACGTTTCGGTAAAAATAGATGGCATAAATATGTCGACGGGCGGAAACGAGGACGTAGAATTGTTGACGATAAGAGAAGCATGATTATCATAAATAGCTTTTAAAGTCGGCGACATCGAGCTGGTAACAGTATTATTAGTATTTGCATTATTTTTTTGTTCTAGATAACCAAAGTGAAATCAATCTAAAGTACTTGTTGCCGTAGAACCTTTCATTTTCGTATTAGGGGCCTTTGCCAACAGAGGCAGAAGACAATGAAATTATTTTAAATAATTAACCGAGATGTTAATAAATTCACAAGCGAACGAAACAGACCCTAATAAATGAAAATCAATTATAGCGATAATCGCGATTTTTGCATACCATAATTTTCTATCTTTATCACATGTACAATAACAACTTAAATATGAAATATTTCTGTTTTAGAATGCATGATGAAATGGTTATTGAAAATAATGGTTTTATTACTATCCCAATTAAAAAAAAGCTAGTAAGATAATAATTCTGAATGAAAATTGTTATTGTATTATTATTTAGGAAACTACAATAAATTATAATATTCACGAAAAGGTATTTTGATTGATGATCAATGTTACACTTAAATAATTCACATAATGATTTACTAATTTTACTAAATTATAACTCGAATATTCAAGTGTATAAATAATAAAATAATTTTAAACTTTATTCATGAAAGTGATTTATTTAATTTATCTAGATGAATCTTTATTCTATTGTGGTTATATGTATACATTCTTTACTCTATGAGATGAGTTTAAGAAAGATAGTTTTTGACCTACACAGTTTTTGCCTCATTGATTGTGGTGCTATAATTATATATTATAGATTTCAATTTACTAAGTAGTCAATATTAAATTATTTTCGTATCGATCACTTGACCTAAATTAGTAAATTTAAAATTTATAAACATTTTAAAAATCTAACATATTTTCATTATATTATTCAAAATTAAGCATAATGTTACTTTTGATAATAATATGTAGGAGTATCAAAATTATTCATTACAAACATACATTTTCAGATAAACAATGTTATCTTTAATCTTAATAAATGATAAATATATTTAATGATTATAAAACAATTTTTATAATTATTTCTATATATAAAATATATAATACAAAAACTATTTTTATACATAATAATTAAAATGTTATAATTTATAATAGTTTTATAAATTATAAATATTTTAAATTGTCCGTATTTTGAAAGGAGAGGTTAACCGAGTCTTATCAAATTCCTGTAATTAAAAATGTGACAATTAATAATATTATTAAAATTACACATATTTATTTCTAAGTTGAAAAATTTGTATGAAAGAATTAGCTTAATATTTAAAATATACAATTTAGGTATAATAAATTTCAATAATAGCTCAACATGATTTCTATTAATTATTTTTTTAGTCCTACAAGTTAAGTGCTTAAAATGTATAAGTATTAATAAACTATTAGTATTTATATGTGATAAAAATTTATTTTACTATGTTTCTTTTTAATTTTTAACAATTTAAATTTTATAAGTAGAGGTCAGATTTTTATGATTTTACATATTTGTTTCTAATCTATAGATTTGAATGAGAGTGAGATATCTCATTTATATTAACTATTATTTATCTGTACATCCATGCATATATTATGTACATCGGCATTTTGATAATATTGATCCATAAATACAATATTTACAGTATGAGTTATTTTTATATCCTTCTAGGTTGTTATAAAAAATGAATCACTAGATAATAGGGGTAATCTACTATGGTTAAAATTTGCATTTAGTAATTGATAAATTAAAACTAAGTTATACATTTTTTTTTACAGACATTTTAAAGACATAAGGCATCATAAATTTGGTATTTTTAAAGAATAATTAGAGAATATATTGCCTTTTTCAAAAGACATAAAAACATCATATTTTAAAGATTTTAAGAGAATATAAATCCGACCTCTAGTTATAAGCTTTATCTACAGAATATAACCAAGCCTTGGAAGTTATAACACTAAAAAACTTCACTTTCAGATTTATATTATATAAAAACATTAGAATATGGTAAGCACTAAAAATTTAAAAATATGAAAAAATCAAATGAAAACTTTCCTAAACTATATTTATTATTTTTTAAATGTATTAATAAATATAAATATAATCCTAAGAATCTATGATAATAAATTATAGCGATCCATCCTAAACATAACCATTAATTAAAATTGTTGTTTTAAATATGTTGAGCTAATCAAAATTGAAAAAAGAAATTAAATGACATTTGAGAGGAATGTTATGAAACAAACTTGTATTTTAAAATCTTAAAACATCTTATATATGTATATATTTATTTGTACAATAATTAAATTATTATATATCTATAACTAATGAATCATTAGTAATGACAATATTACAATAAATACAAATTAAACATAAATTATCCTTGAACATAAAATAAAAAAATTAATTTATATAAGCAATATATTGTTAAAATAACAATTATAATTATATAAATTAAGAAGTAAAGTATATTATACTTACGATGGTTAATTGACGATTCATATCATATTGTTTAACTTTATTATATATTACAACTCCTGCAATAACTATGATAGTCCCAAGCCCACTTAAGAGAGTAATAGAGTTTCCAAATAATATAACTGACATCCATATAAGGAACGCACGTTTAACAGTATTGGCCACACTAAATTATAATACAAATGATTTTAATCTAGCATATAAATATAAAATCTGAATAAAATATTACCTATAAGTAACTGGACTTATATAATCCATAAGAACATAAGCCGTTATACTTTGAAAATGGAAAAATATTCCATTTAGAATAAATAAAAATAAAATGTATAGACTAGTATTATTAATTGCAAATTTGATGTCCACTAATACTAATGATGCAGGGATTTGAATAATAATTGAAGCTAAACTAGTATAATATTGAAGTTCAGCAGGCCTTAAAAAAAATAATATTTTAATTAAATGTATATTTAGTATTTAAACAATAAGTTTTTATGGTAAATTATGTTATACTAACGTATATTTGAATTTATCACCACTAATCAGCATTTTGGAATAGACATTCTGTAAACTAAAAAAATTAACCAAATAAAAATTATCACCTTCAAACAAAACATTAACATTAACAAAATATTATTACCATTCAGTAAAATTGGTTGCAAGAGCAGCTATAAATCCAAGTATATTAAATGATATCTCATTTGAAGAACATAATGTTAGGCCAACCATTATAGGAACTAAAGATAAGCTTACCAATAAACCTGTTTGTTCTCCTAAAAAATTAATTAATTAAGATATAAGTCTTAAAAATTAAAAAATAACATACTATAAAATATTTCATTAAATTGCCTATATATAAATTTTGATTGGGGTCGCGATATATTTAATTAAAGTATATATAATATGTCTAATATTAATTACTATTTTTAAAGTAAAACTAACCTTACCTAACAACAATTTTGAAATAAATACTGTGAATATAGGAGCTGAACTTTTTATTGTTTCAGTAAAACTAACTGCTACATAATTTAACGATATAAGTCCTAAAAGTACGGTAATAAACCTATAAAAAAAAAAAAAAAGAAATATTATTCTTTTTGTTTAATTTATATGAAATTTGAATTATTGATAAGAACTTACCGAGTACAACCCACTAAACTCATGTGGATGTAGAAGTTTGGTGGCCGTTTAGATCGATGTATAGGTTGTTGATACATTCCACATGGTATATACAATTGAATAAAACCACATATAGTTGTCATGATCATTTGAGAAGTGCCTTAATATACATTTAAAATCAAATGAATAATATTATATTTTTACATGCAGTACCAAAAATATTTTATTACCTAGCACCGTGGGATCTACTTTCAGATAAGACAGGATATATTTGTTTAAAAACAATGTACATCCGCTAAAAAAATACCATAAGACCAAAAACGCAATAGCCCTGAAAGAATATAAACCATCTTCCATCCGTTTCTCAGCGATGGTCACAGTATTAAGCAGTTGAGTCATAAATTCTAGATTTATTTTACATTAATAGTGAAACAAAACAAATTAATAAAAGGAAAGAAATAATCCTACATGATTGGTTATAAAAATATTAATTTTCAAATGGTAAGTAACCAGTAAAATACAGAATATCATTAATAATAATCAATTATCGGTGCTATATTGTGTGTTAAATAGTAGACACGTCACGAATAGAAAAACGATATTTTAAATAATATTTTCTGCTTATCGTTATCATTTTAAGTTTTATCAATTTAACCTAACCAACTGATAAGTGATTTGTAAACAAACTAGAATGTAGAAACGTGAAAACTAAACTGAAGCGTGATTCGAATCAAATAATCAGATGTTAAATACGAAAACGTTTAAATGTAATAATAATAAGTTTTTTAGGTTAATACGGACTTGAAATAAGTAAACCTACGTTCTACTAGTGGTGAAGTGTATTGGTTAACTGTAATTATTACCAATACCAGTCTTCATAGAAAAAAGTCAATTGTGATTCCTTTAGTAATAAATTGCAATACAAAATTTTCGTTTCATTCAGTTTTCCTTTGTCGGATTAAATCGTATTAAAACGTAAGTATACAATTGTTTTTTTTTATACTAGTTAAAGTTACGTATGTTACGTACGTAGTGAGATTGTCGAAATATTTAATTAATAATTTACAACAATGTGTGTGACCAGTATTAATTATGTTAAAATGAATTGACTTTCTGCGATTACTTTAATGTTTGATTTAATTTTGTCTTAAGTAAATTGCATTGTTATAAATATGCAAAAGTATATTTAAAGTATTTATAAGTATGTGTAGAATATTCTAGTTATTCTATAATTTATATAATATTTTTATTTTTAATTCAATTTAACTTAACATAGATACCTAATTCTTAGATATAATGTAATAGTTGTTATTAAAATGTATTAAATTGGTCAATTTTATAGAGTACTATATAAAACATATTGATTATAATTTGTATTTTTCAAAACAGTAGTTATATTAGAAATATTAATTTTATATATTAAGCTTTTAATATAGGTACAGGGTATTTGGTTAATTATTTATAATATGTATGTATTCTATGTTGATTGAAATAATGTAAACATGGAAGTGTAATTATTATTAGCTATACTCTGTTGTTGTATTATATTATTGAATGAAGTTATTAATTGTTTGAGGCTAATAGTTATTTTATTTAAGTATTAATTGTAACCAATGCTTGAATTGAAAAAAAATTGAGGATGGATGCTGGTTTTAGTTAAAAAAACACCATTCCATAGTTGATAAATTGTTAAGTAACCCGTTGTGGACTTCGTCCCCGCGCCCCCTGTACATATAATATGGCACTATAAAGGTAGTATTATTATATAATATTTATTTGTTTATTACTATAACATTATTTTATAATGAAACAATAATATTAATTACAGAAATAAATATTTTTTCTTTAATTTAATTCCACAATGACTTGTATGCATTTTCTTTAGTAATTTTTATCCTTTTAGAACAATTTTCTTCCTCTCCAATTCATTTGCCTTTTTTAACCCACAATTCAATCCATTTCGTTATGTTAATCTTATCAATTGTTGGAAAATTAAACAACAATTTCTCAAAAGGTTGTCAAAAGTAGAACGTAAAAACACCTATACGATTATACAACCTAAACAACCAAAATCACTTCAAAATTATTTAATTATTTAGCCATGATTATTATCTTAGCCCATGATTCTCATTAAAGATAATCGTTTTCTGGGAAAAAATAACCATTACTTTGCAGTTTGCTATAGAAAATAGAAACAAACGAAAACAAAATCCAAATATACTGTTCAAAAGTAAACATCCCCAGAGGGGACTTGTTTTTAGCGTTCCTCGCTTAATTAAATGAAGGGGGACACTGAAATCTATGGAAAAATGAAAGCTGACTCCATTCATCTGCATCCCCCCAATTTGAGCACTGATTGTAACTGTTTTATTATCAGTAGTCAAAAAACAATGTTTATAAATTTTAAAATAATTTAATAATTTAAGTTTCAGTTTGAACATAGCTTTAAGTACATGATTAAATATTTTATATTTTAAAATTTTATAATATTTATTATTTTTCTTGTTTGTGATACATACCAATTTTTGTATGCAGGATTGGTTGGGAATATTTTATAATACAATAATGGCAGTCCGAGCGCAGTTTGAAAACAACAATGAAATTGGAGTGTTCAGTAAGCTGACAAACTCTTATTGTTTGGTTGGAATTGGTGCTTCAGAAACATTTTATAGTGTATTTGAATCAGAACTGTCTGATATTATACCTGTTATCCATGCTTCTGTAGCTGGATGTCGTATTGTTGGTCGTATGACCGTTGGGAACAAAAATGGATTATTGTTACCCAATTCTACTACAGACACTGAATTACAACATATACGGAATTCTTTACCTGATAATGTTAAAGTACAGCGAGTAGAAGAACGTTTATCAGCCCTTGGCAATGTTATGGTATGTAATGACTATGTAGCTTTAGTTCATCCTGATTTGGATAAGGATACCGAAGAAATACTCTCAGACACTCTAAATGTTGAAGTTTATAGACAAACTGTCGCATCCAACTGCCTTGTAGGTTCATACTGTGCTATCTCTAATCAAGGCGGACTAGTACATCCTAAAACTACAGTAGAAGATCTAGATGAACTTTCTGGTCTCATTCAAGTTCCTCTCGTTGCTGGTACTGTGAACCGTGGTTCAGATGTTGTTGGTGCTGGAATGGTTGTTAATGATTGGTGTGCTGTTTGTGGTACAGATACAACTTCTACAGAAATTTCTGTCATTGACAGTATATTCAAGTTAGATCCAGATGGTGTACACAAAATGAAAAAACTCAAGGGTCCACTTATAGATAGTATAAAAACATCTTAAACACTAATTATAAATATTAATGATTCATTATGTTACGATATATGTTGTAATTTATATTTAGATATGAAATATTATTTAAGGTTAAAATTGTTTGTCACTTCATGTAACAATTTGGTAACTCTTATTGTTTATACACAACATATTTTATATACTTATATAATTTACTTCAATAAATAAATATACTAAATATTGAATACTTGATGACTGATTTTTTTCATTCATGTATTATTTTATATTTTATGTATTTTTCATCCAGTGATCTTATTGCATTTTTATTTTAGAATTAATATGGACATTGATATCCTCGATTTGATAGACGATGAGGAAGATGACAATCAAGAAGAAATGACTGCACAAAAAGTATTACAAACGGTAGAACAAGCATGGTTAAATGAAAAATTTAGTCCTGAAATTCTTCCCCATCAAACAGATTACATTGATTGCTTGTTGGAACAAATCAAAGGAATGGAAGGGAACTTGGCTAAGTTATCGAAAACTGATCCAAAAGTAGACTTGCACAAACTTGAACTAGAACGTATTAAATTTGTAATAACTAGCTACTTGCGAACTAGGCTGAAAAAGATTGAATGCTTTTGTGTTAGTGTGCTTGAAGAAGAAGCTAATCGACCTGAAGGGGGTGCCTATCTATCACCTGCAGAGTTGCGGTTTGCAAAACAATTCGCTCAGAATGCTGACAATCATTTTGACACTATACTCCGGCATATGCCACAGTTATTTAACAAATTGGAAAAAAATAAAAAAATTATTGAGCCAAATTTAAATAGTTTTGTTTTTTTAAAATGTAATAAACATATAGACAGTGTTATCATAAAAAACACGTTAGAAGGCCAAGAAGAAGAAATTGTATTAGAAGATGGATCACAGCATTTAATGCCGTACAGCTCAATTGCAGAATTTGTAAAAAAAGGTGCTGTTCAATTAATTTAATTAATATAGTGAAAATATTACTTACATTTTTCATTTTGTCAAATTAATTATGGATTCAACGTTCTTGTTTACCTATTATTTATCTAATTTATTGTATTATAATACACAATAAACATTAATTAATTAATTTGAACTGAACTCTGTTTTTATGTCATTCAATTTAATGTTGACAATTGTGTACTATGAATACAGAGTAAATATAAATGTTGATCTATTCTATGAATAACTTTAATGTGTTTCAAAATTTGATACTTTCAGTCAAATGAGATTAAAACAGTAATAGTAATTAGACAAGAATAGAATAATGGTTGCTACAGAATATATAGAAGAATAAATCTCTACGATTCAAAAATTATATTGCAAAAGTATTCAAACTGAACAATTATTCTCCTTTGCTTTCTCCCAACTATTTGGGGTCACTCTCAACCACCACTCATCTCGATTTACTATGTCCCCTAAGCACACATCAACAGCCTTCATATCATTTTCAATCATATCCAACCTTTTCTTTTTTGGTCTTCCTCATTTCCCTTCAACGTTCATTTTCATAACAACTCTTACTGCATTTGTTTCCTCTTGTCTCATTACATGCCCTATTCATCTTCAACTATTTTCTCTCATTATGTCTCTCCACTATAGACACTACATCATACTACCTCTCACATATTCATTCCTTATTCTATCTTCTCTTTTCACAATATTTCATGAACTTTGCCCCTCCCAAGATAATTGTCTGGAAGTATTTCTGTTTAATATTATCATTGCTTTTGTTCAATACAAGAAATTTCACAAAAAATCCTTGATATAAGTTATAATAAATAAATATAAATGGATTAACAAGCGCTTATTTTCTCTATCAAAATATTTCGATACCCACTAGCCGATATTGTAGTCACAAATCGCTCAACTGCTTGAGCAAGAATTTTATATTTTTTTAACAATATTACTTTTTATTGTATGACTTTAAGTCAGTAAAACTTTTTCTTTGACGATTTTCAAGTAATGATTGAAAAACATTTGTCATTCCATTCCTTGCAATATATGCCTATTCTAATCTATGTTATATGTAAGGTTTGACAGCCTTTTAAACACCATCTTATTTTTGGAGGTCAATCTAACAAAGGTTCATTTAATATATAATATTATATACTATGAATAATTTTCCTCGTGATATAACAAGAGTATCAGCCAATTCAATGATAGATGATCTATATGAAAATAAAATACTGACCACATAAATAATTGTGATTAACAGTGTCTTTATATCAATTACTGATTCTGTCTATATTTTCGACATAATTACTAGCATGATTTAGGATTTAAAATATAACTATCACCAATAATCAATAATTGGGAATTAAAAATGTTAATTATTCAAAAATTACAATTTGTTATTAACTAATAACTAAATAACTATAGTAGTGACACAAAAAAAATGACACTTTATTAACTTCTTACAGTAATTAATAATTGTTTATTATATATTAATTAATTTATTATGGTACATAATGTCCACGAGTTTTATGATAGTTTTTAATTTTTTCAATATTTACAGAAGGATATTGTTGCTGGACAGCACTTATGTCCATATTTGGAAAACGTTTCATTAGATGCATCACATGGTTTGTGTCACGACTAAAAAAAAAAAAAAATTATTAAAGTTAAATATAAAATTACTTTAAAGTGATTTACTAATGGTCCTATTGTTTATTTTTTCAATTAATGACAAAAGACAAACAAATCTACAAACATTTGATAAATGTCTCTCCATTCTTTAAGTAATTTTCTTTTATTCAAATTAATCTAATTTTTCCATAGGAAAATATATTATTATTGGACTTTTTAATAAATATAAAAATGTAACTAAACAAATAATTAAATAATTTTAATAAATATTTTGTTTCATTAAAGACATACTTTTTACTTTTTCTGTTTGCATTATGTAATTTTTCTCTGTAATATTTTTGGAATTTTTCAATATTTCCATTAACAACATTAAATGTATGTTTCTTTCTCCATTTTTTGTTCAAAAATTTTGGTATTAAATGTTCAAATTTACGATAGAAAAAATTTAATCCTGAAATAATAACAAAATAATTATTCATGTTCAATATAAAAATAAATGACTAATAATACTTATTATGGTTTAATGCAGTATGGCCTACAGTTACTTAAATTTTTGCCCTTGTAAATTTGAAAGTTAATAAATAAATTGTAAATACTAAATACAATTTAGTAATCATAATATAATAATTAATAATATGTATTTTGTAGTATTTCTAGTAAATGTATTATATATATTCACTTTTTAATTATTTTATACTAATTTAATTTTTAATGGTTCATAAATTACTGTATTAAATGAACCACAAATTAAAAAAAAATTATACCATATAGATAATATAGAGATTAATGGAATATACCCAACATATTGGTAACTAATTCTCCTGGTCTTTCTGCAGATTCCCCAACTTCTAAGTCATAATAAGCTTTATTGCGTTCACGTACAACAGCTTCTAAATTGTTCATACTTTCCTCAACCTTTAAATGAATAATATATAATAAATTACAACAATAATACAAGTTATACCAATAAAATCAAAGTTATACAACCTTATCAATACGTTCTGGATTTGGAAATAATTCAAACTGAGCTAAGCATTCATGTTCCATTGTTAATAACATATTGCGTTCTTTTAGTAACACAAACCTGAAATTTAGCAAAAATATACATTAAACAATTTAATATGACAAAAAGTATAAAATATAGGCAGGACCAGCGAGAGGGTAGGACAAGGAAAGCAAGAGTGCATACGTTCGAAAAGGCCCATAGTCTTATAGATTTTTTTACATTTTTTCTATATTCTTATTCGACATAGTATTAGACGTGAGTTTGAATATTTTTATTATACTTAAGTGTGTATACCTTGGCCAAACAAGTAAAAGTTTAGGGGGTCAGGAACTAATGAGCCCAAGGCCCTCAATAGTTCTTACCGTCCCTGAATACAGGCTTAGCGCTTGCTTTAAGTTTGTATAAAGTATAAAAATAATAAATGATGATAAAATTAAAAAGGTTTTAGATGATAACAACTAAAAGTAAAAGTATTTATCATTATTATAGAAAATTATTACTTCAAATGTATTTAAAAAAATAAAATGTTTCAATACCAAAGTTTGTGTAAATCTTCATTGCTTTTTATGCGTAATTCATCTTTATTCCATGATCTTCCTACTTTTATTGATTCAGCAGCCCAATTTTTTTTATCGTCGAAAAATTCCATTAGATCACGATGAACAGTTGAAATATGAATTCCATCAGATCTAAAACATTTATGAATGCAGTAACTATTTCTTATCCAATCATAATAATACAACTTGTAGTCAAAGTGAATTATACAAATACTATTACTAAAAAACAAGTAAAATACCTTAAATTTTTAGGGATTTTGGTATTAATTATATTTTGAAACATCCGACATTTTGATAAAATTCGAAAAGCCATTGTTCAACGATTGACAAATATTTTCAACGTGAGAATTGGGTTATTGAATATTGATCGCAGCCAATGAAAATCAGTAAATTTCACTATTCTTTCAATCCTTTTCAGGATTCATTACATACCAGAAAAATGTAAAAAAAAAAAAAGCCATTAAGATAACATGGAAGAATGATAACCACGAGCACGGTCTTAACACGTTCAATGCCATTGTCGACGGGTAGTCGGCATCGGTAAAATTGCCCGGGTCGCCTTAGTCGATTACCTGTCGACAAATATAGTGTTCACTTTGATGGTTTATAATTTTTACTGGCTACGAGATAACGGTCTGAAATGTATTGTTGGCGATCAGGTTCCTTCTTACGAATCTAACGATACCATTGGTTTTTAATTTTGTTTATTTTTAGTTTGGATATTTATTTTTTCCCGAAAGTGATTTCGGTAAGTGATTACAACGTTTATCGCTGATAATAATTGTATATCGTATTATTATAACTCTGTCGCAATTTGACATAAGAAAATGGTATATATAACATTCCCTGCACTAACATAATATTCATACAAATTATTTTATGCTGTATACACCGTGTTCCTCAGAATACAGAGTGATTCGAAAAATATAAAACTATTTTTATTACGCAATGAAAATTATTTTTAATTATGAAATATTTAACATTATTTTAACCGTTACTCTATAATTATTTAAATAATAATATATGAAATAAATTATTATTTTCAATTAGTTACACACTAGGATAAGTACGTATTTCAGCATCGCGCCGTCGCGTATCGCCGGTGTCGACGCATAGTCGACCGTACGTAGTTTCGGCGCGGCGACCAGGGCACTGCGCCGTAAACACTAGTGGAGCTCAACGTGTTAAAAGATTAAAAAAAATTATCTGACCATGAACATAACAAGTTGAGAGCGGGCCTCAGGCAGTGTTCCCCTTTGATAACAACTCGTGATAATAACACGAGGTAACAAAAAAATCAAAAAATCATAAGTACCCAATATCAAAATGTAAAAATCCCACCAATCTTGCCGCCGTAATGACACCAACCTAAAATATTTATTTATTTTCCAATTCAAATATTATTGTATAAAATGTATTCAAGATTAGTGGAATGACCAAAAGTATCAGTTGGGACGATTTAGCGGGGATTTTAGGCCCCGCTATTGCAGGGCTGATTACAAAAATTTGATGTGACTAATAAATATTTAAATAAAGACTTACCAGGTGTGGGATAGTGGCAAAGGTTCATTGTTATTTCGACTTTATATCTTAAATTTACTTATGTTGAAATTAGCAGATCCAAAAAGAAATTTCCATTGATAAACGTATTTATTTGAATAATAATAATATTAATATTATAATTATAATGTGAAATTATATTAACTCTATAAAGATCCACGTTACTTATATATCCAGTGAAATAAAAGATGTATGAAATATTTTGAGTTTTTAACTGATGGGTACTCAACAGTACTTTTTACCGATTAAATAAACATTACCTATTTTAAAATCTGTTGTGGTATTTTTTATACATTTTATTGATGTAACTTCGGGGACTGCAGTATTCAACACATAAACATGACGATGTTTTTTCTTTTTGTTTATAAGCACAGTGGCGTACATATGGAAGAGTTTCGGGATAAATCTTCCTCAGGAACACAAAAAAAGTATTATGATTTATGATAAAAATAACTGTTTAAGTGAAATCTTTTGATAAACATATACAATAATATGTCATTTAAATTCCCCGTTCATAAGAAAATTTAATTAACATCACTGAATTGATTACTTTAAACCTTATTGCATTTGCAATAACCGAAATTACATTAGACACATGCCAAATATCAACATACAGATTAATATTGTCAAATATGGTTTAGAGATTATATTAAGAAGACACTCGCATCACGAAGCCAACCAATGAAAGTATGGGTTTGGCACTGCAAATGTAGATACTTTCGAAGGGGATCTTAAATGTTAATGTCATTAGAAATTATGTCCGGATCAACTATTCCATAGGAACAGGGTATAAAAGGTAGTCCCGTACAGACCAATATTCAGATGTGTTTTAGTCCAATCTTAACAAACATCTTCACGCTAGTATAATTGTCAATTTGATTAAATTAAAATAAATTAAATTAAATTATAATTAGAATATTTCAATAAAAACAGTTTAACTTAGTTTGAATATTTTTATTATGAACTGTTGAATTGACTGCACACAACACCAGTGGCGCACACTCAAAAATGAATAGAGGTAGCATATTGAATGGAAAAATAACACCCACCCACTAAATCACTTTCAAAAATAGACCCGCGGGGGCTTCGCCCCCACACCCCCTAACTAGAATTCTCTAAACTTGTTCAACTTGCCTATTTTAATGTCTCTGAATAATTATTATTATAGTTTATGTAAGTATAGGTACAATTGAATTGATATCCTCATATAAGTCATGAGACTTCGGCTACCCAAACCACCCACCTCTAAAAATGCAGAGGCCATGGCCTCTCAAAAACCTCTTCAACACGCCACTGTACGTAGTAGATTTATTATGATGTAGTCATGTAGATGTAGATATTTTGGGGCCAGGAGGACCACCCACCCACCCAATTTTTCAGGGGTAGCAGCTACTACCCTTGAACCTTCCAGTGTGCGCCATTGCGCAACACTATGTATCATTGAATTAAAATTAACCAAATCTATTCAAATTTAATGACTTACTAAATGACTAGAGAAACTAACCACACACAGTAAAGCAAGTTAGGTTTCATTTTACAATACTTATACGGTAATGCTATTAACGAGAAAAACATTTTTAGCTGAAGAAAGACGTTAAGATTTTAAGGACTAGTAAATATTATGAAATTTAATATAGGAATTGCAGTAGAAATTTAAGTTAAATTAGGCCTACCTTGTAATACTTACTTAAACAACTTATGAAATACTAAAGAAATATAACTTAAAAGTAAAAAAACCATGTGTTTAATAGTCAAATTGATTTAACAATAACTATTTGTACATATTACAAAGTATAAAAAACAATAATAAAATTAGTTTACAATAAATGAAAACAATAAGGTTGTAGTATATTATTATATATAAGGATATGGCCCGATTTTTCGTTTACCATAAGTTATTAATAATATTTCAAAATTTTTTAATTTCTGAATTGATAAAAGTTCTAACCATTTTTCATAAACAGTTAAATTATTTTTGAAGCTAACTGTTGGTATAGCAGGCTTGATAATTGTAAATTCTTCAAATATTTCATCTAAAGAAATTACATCAACTAGTCCAAATACTTCAATTATTTTTGCAATATCTTGATAAAGTAACAAATTTGATTTTAAGCAAAGTGGTTCCAAAAATTTTAGTGGCGAATATTCATAATCAAAATGATTAGATAAATAAGTTAATGCAGTGTTGTAGAACATATCAAAGTCTTTTTTTATAGTATTTATGTTAGATACTGATAATTTATTCTTACATGTGATGAAATTTGAGCCATAAAACTTTTCATTTATGCGAGTTGAAATATTAGTTTTTAACTCATTCATAATATAAAATATCTCGGGGGAACTCGTCTCAGACTTTTGAAGTAATTTACTTGCTTTTTCAAACATAATAGTAACATTGGCACATTATAATAAAACGCTATTACTGATTACTATACAGATAAAATAAACATATCTACGTATATCTTGGTAATTGGTTAGATATTATTTATAAATAAGTAATAACTGTAATGTTCAAATGCCATAGTATCTATAAATATAATAATAGATTATTGCTTTTTACTCGATAACGAATGAAACATTTTATCGTTGATTATAAATGGTTTAGTTTCTTAGTAATTTCCTTATGTCCCGGAAAAAATATGTCCCGCATAAATTTTGATCGGGACGCGGGAAAAAAATCTCAAAATCGTGAATGTCCCGCAAAAATCGGGACGGTTGGCAACCCTGACCATAACCATCATTACGGTGACCAGTTCTCAAAAATAAGTCACCGTCTTGATTCAGCTGTTGTACACATCCTCTTTGCCCTGGGGGTGGGGATTATAATTCACCCTCGGCAGTCCATGCCCGTCGTAAGAGGCGACCAAAATGGACCTAGAAGAAGGCAGCAGCTCTTCTAGTATCAAGAATAAATTAATTTATGCTTGAATAGCATCCTTTAGTAATAATGGATGCTACTGCGATGTGGAAAGCAAGGGGAAACTACCACATTAACATCTCTAGTTAGGCAACTACTATTTTGTCTTCTAAAATGAATTTTCGCAGTGTAAAAAATTTGTCCGGACGTAAAATAGCTCCCCATTCGGATGTCCGGGTGGGAGCTACCCAGCAGGATGCATGTGAGAAGAACAAAACGCAAAGAATAGGAACGTGGAATGTACGAACAATGTTGAAAACAGGAAAGCTGGATAATATAAAAATAGAAATGAAAAGACTAGATATAGACATATTAGGATTATGCGAAATACGTTGGCCAGATAATGGTGACTTCTGGTCTGACAACATCAGAGTTATTCATACAAATAGTACAAAAGGACAAGCCGGTGTTGGAATTGCTCTCAATAAGAAGTGGAGTAAAAGAGTTACGAACGTTGTGACCTATAGTAGCAAACTATGTTTGGTCAAAGTAGAGTCAACACCAAACAACCTTGCAATTATACAAGTTTATATGCCAACATCAAAAGCAAATGATAAAGAAGTGGAAGAAGTGTATGCAGGCATTGAAGAGCTAATGAAACATACTAAACCACACGATAACGTAATCATCATGGGAGACTTTAATGCTATAGTTGGAGAAGGCAGGGAAGGTAGAGAAGTCGGAGACTTCGGTTTAGGTAAAAGAAATGCAAGAGGAGAAAGAGTAGTGGAGTTTTGCAGAGAAAATGGGATGATTATAACAAACACCAGATTTCAAAACCCTAAGAGAAGAATATATACATGGAAAATGCCAGGTGATATTGCCCGCTACCAAATAGATTACATACTGATAAAAAATCGATTTAAGAATCAAGTTAAATTCTGTAAAACATATCCGAGTGCTGATTGTGACACTGATCACAATATAGTAATGGCGAAATATGAACTCAGATATAAAAAACACGCAAAGAACAAAAGTACAGCAAGACAGTTATAATGTTAGATTACTAAAGAGAGCGGAGATTGTGGAAGAATATAGACGCTATATGGATATCGAATACCAAAAACAAAATGTAGATGATCCACTGAATAAAATGTGGGAGAACATAAAATCAGCTATTAAAAAAGCAGCAAACTCTGTGCTAACAAAAAAAGAAAATAAAGAACCCAGAAGAGTATGGATTGACAAGGAAATAGTAAAACTTATAGATGAAAGACGAAAATATAAAAACAATAACACGAGAGAAGGACAACAGAAGTATCGTCAACTAAGGAACCAAGTTAATCGAGAAGCCAGGAAAGCAAAAGAAGAATGGCTGGAACAGCAGTGTAGTGAAATTGACGAAATGTTCAGAGCTAACAAAATAGATTATGCATATCACAAGATCCAACAATTTGTAGGAGAGAGAAAACGAAATGTCACTAATATAAGAGACAAAATGGGCCAATTATTAGTTGATAATGAGGACATAATAAAACGACGGAAAGAGTATATTGAGGAGCTTTATGAGGGAGAAAAATTGGAGGAAATTACAATAAATGAGGAAAAAACAAAACTATCCATCTTAAGATCAGAATTTGAGCTAGCGCTCTATGACTTGAAACAAAATAAAGCTCCCGGGATTGATAACATAACAGCAGAACTGTTGCAATGTGCTAGTATGAAGATAAAGGATGCTTTATACCAACTAACTCAGGATATATATGAGAAAGGAGATGTGCCAGACGATTACTGTAAAAGCATAATTATAACTATACCAAAGAAAAGTGGAGCAAATTCCTGTGAGCAGTTTAGAACACTGAGCTTACTGACACATGTCTCAAAAATCCTAACAAAAATAATAAATCGAAGAATAGAAGGAAAAGTGGAACAATACTTAAAAAATGATCAATATGGATTCAGTAGATAAAAAGGTACACGAGAAGCAATTCTAGGATTGCGAGTGCTAATTGAAAAACAGATCGATAGAAATAAAATCACATATCTGGCCTTCATAGACCTGGAAAAGGCCTTCGATAAAGTAAATTGGAACAAGATGCTGCATATATTACGAGAAATAGGTATTGAACAACAAGACCTACGAATCATTCACAGTCTGTACAAGAACCAGACAGCCTGCATTAAAAAAGGAGAAATTATAACTAACGCTCAAATAAAAAAAGGAGTCCGACAAGGATGTACGCTACCACCAACACTCTTTAACTGCTACATCGAAAAAGCTATAAATATAGTGAAAGCAAAGCTAACAAGATTAAATATTGGGATCAAAATTGGTGGAGAAATCGTTTCAATGATACGATTTGCTGACGACATTGTGGTAATTGCTGAGAGTGAAGGTGACATACAGCGTGCAGTTGAAGAAATGGATGAAATGCTCAGAACATCAGAAATGAAAATAAATAGTACAAAAACGAAGATCTTAGTCTGTGCCAGAGACCCAAAAGTAAAAGCTGATGTATATATTGGTAATCAAAAACTGGAACAGGTAGAAGAAATGGTATACCTAGGGAGTAAAATCACATCTGATGGCAAGAGTGTCCACGAGATTAAACAACGCATAGCATTAGCAAAAATTGCCTTTAGTAAAAAACATAAGTTGCTCACTTCAAAAAAGATACATCTTAATATCAAGAAGAGCCTTATAAAAACATATGTATGGAGTGATGCAACATATGGATGTGAAACTTGGGTAATAAATGATACCGAAAAGAAAAAATTAGAAGCGTTCGAAATGTGGTGCTGGAGGCGTATGGAAAGGATAAGTTGGATAGAGTGGAAAACGAATGAAGAAGTACTTAGAACAGTGGGAGAAAAACGTACACTCATAGATGCGATTAGAGGAAGACGCTGGAAAATGGTTGGACATGCCCTGAGACACCAGGAAGAATTGCATAATATTATATTGGAGGGTATGATAGAAGGAAAGAAAACTGCAGGACGCCCGCGGAACTCGTATATAGGACAAATTAAAATCGATGCAAAAGTCAAAACCTTCAAGGAACTCAAAGAAAAGGCGAGGAATCGGTTAGAATGGAGAATTGGAGTTGTAAACCAACATTCGGGTTGAAAAAAAAAAAAAAAACACATCCTCTAATCATTATACGAGTAGGTGTATTTTCCCTCTCTTTTCTGGACATTTCATTTCTAATCTAGTAAAGTACATACAATTTACAGAAATGAACCACGGTTGAAACACAAAAAACTAATTATATATATAAAAAGAAAAAATCAAACAATATGCTGAAAATGATTCACAAGTATTTAAGCAAGTAAATACCTATATTATATATATATATATAAATGAAACTAAATAAATAATCTACTATTTTATATCGACATTCGGTCGATATCCAGCGGGTTATACGTTCGATATAGGTTTATAGTATTATTTATACTTACACAAAAATTATAACCAGATATGAGAGGTAATTTGCAGATTACTTAAAAAAATTCAAAAATTCAAAAAAAATATTTTTATGCATTTAAGAATTTTCAATTTTTTAGATAGTCATTTTCTTGAGCATATTTTTTAAAACCGTCCAAAAAAAAAAAAAAATATTAAAATTGAATAAAAATTGACCAAGTTAGAGCAAGTTGTTTTTGAATAATTATAACAAAAACATTAATTGTTTCACATTTCAATAATTAAACATCTATTTCAGCATCAGTGGCAGGCATGTAGTCAGAAAATATTCACTAGGTAGGCCCCCTCCTCCCAGGACTTTTTTATATTATAAAAAGGTAGTTATCAGTGTATCATTACTACAAATATATATGTATATAACCTAATAATAACATATTTTATCATTTTGCTCTTCTCTTTGTAATTTTAGTTTTCTTTTGGCACATCGACTGAGGGATGCCATTATAAAATTAATTTAAATATATAAGATAAAATGTATAAATACTATAAATTGTACAAATATTAACCAGAGGCGTGTCCAGTGGGTAGGCTTGGTAGGCCCGGGCCTACCCTGATTTTTAACCTTTAATTATACCCAAAATATGCATTTTAAAATTATATTTATATAAGCACACTGAATACTGAATGTAAAATGAAAGTTATTCAACATACTGCGTAGGCAATTGTGTGACCATATTTTTTATCGATCATATTTTTTGATGCAAACAATATAAATATTTGTCTTTAAATAAAATTAATAATCGTAAAATTTATCAGCAATTCTCAAGCGTTTCTTGGAAATACCCCATATTTCTATATGGATATAACACGACCCGACGACTCGTCGTTTGGTCGGCGATCATCGCCGTAGTGTTGAGCGTCAAAATTTTTTTATAACGAGGCCTGTCTTGAATTTTGGTCTTAGACACGCATCTGATATTAACGCAGGTAATGTTAGCATAAGTGCGGCGTGCGCAGAATGTGAATGTAAGTGCCCAATCGGAGACCATAATATAATTCTATATTTCTATATGAATCAATATAATGACAATACCCTCGCTTAAAGTATTTTAAAAATAAACATACAAGTATACAGTAGTCACTGTCTAGATATGATAAGAACAACTTGACATTGTAGTATAGTACCGGTATTTAGCTATAAATAGCAATTATTTCCTAATCGATCGTTTAAATTTAGTTACAAGTTACATTAGATTATAATTAAAACCCGATGTATTTGGTTTTATTTGCGTCATATTTAGGCAATAATAAAAATTTGGTAAAATTAAAAGCAATCATATAATAATGAGTCCCTCTCAATACTTTAGGTGAGCCGGCCTAACACATATTTATTTTATTATTTTATTTAGGCCGGACACATATTAGGGTGGGCCAGGCACACCCTGGCCCTCCTTTAGCTACGTGCCTGATCAGTGGCGTACTCACGGGAGAGGTTTATGGGGTTTGAACCCCCCACCCTCCATTGGCCGTATTTGTTTACAATTATTCCAATAGTTAATTATTGATTTTATTGATTATGTGATAACGTGGTTTTTTAAAACAGTATAAAATTTGTAATAATTATGACTATGGGGGATGTGGGGGCAGAGCCCCCCACTTTTGTATTCTAGTAAATTTTCAGAGCCCCCCCCCCATTGAAAATTCCTGAGAACGTCACTGTTCAGCATGACAATAGTTTTACATACCTAATTAAAGTTTTGATTTCAATAGAAATAAAAATAGCCATGTCTTATCATTTCCTGAACAGCGAAACTAGTTACCTGTTTTTAAGTTTTTTAATTATCATGAAGTGAACCTAAAGTTACAAAATTGGACATAATCTTACAGTTATTAATAATGCAATTTATAATAATAATACCTTTTCGTATTGCAATTTCCTATTAAAATTATTATCTTTTGTTTTTTTTTTATAGCTATCACTATTATTAGTGTCATACGTACAGACGTACAGTACGTACTGTGTATTTCACTTCTTTTTCTTCTTCTTGGGTTTTCCCCTATTTTTTTTGCCATTTCCTCCAAACGAATGAATAGAGATCTTAAATAATTTTGTGATTTGCTCATTAGTACCAAATCATCTGCATATGTCAAAATTGCTATAGTCGATTCTCGTAACTTAACACCTTATTGTGGTTGAGTTTACATTTATCTTACTACATTTTCTAAAATTAAGTTAGATAGTATCGGTGATATTGAATCTCCTTGTCTAACTCAGATTTTATTAGTATTGGCTCCGTTTCTGCACTTCCTACCTTAATTTTTACAAATGTTTCTGTGATGCTTACCCCAATAAGTCTTTTTAATTTTTGTGGTAGCTTAAATTCTTTCAGGCAATTAATTAGGCTTGTTCTATATACGCTATCGTATTTATTTTTGAAGTCGATAAAAAGAACATTTATCTCTTTGTCAAACTACCAAGTTTTTTGGAACAGTTGTCTGAGGATAAGTATCTGATCTACTGTCGACCTTCCTGGTCTGAATCCTCCCTTATAGTCACTTATAAATTCTTCTGCTTTACTATTTAACCTTGATAGTATGCAGTTCGAAAAGACTTTGTATGTTACATTAAGGAAAGCTATTTCCCTACAATTATTGCAGTCCTGTTTATTCCCTTTCTTGTGAATTGGACATAGCACTGATGTCTTACATTCTATTGGTAATTCCTCATTTGACCATATTCGGCAAATCAGTTTCCACACTCTAAATGAGACTTCTTCTCTTCCTTTTTTTAAGAGCTCTGCTTGGATCTCATTCTCCCCTGGTGACTTGTGATTCTTCAAATTATTTATTTGACTTTTTACCTCATCTAGCGTGGGTTATGTGTCTTTAACTATAATTTCTTATTTCTTACTTATTTTGTTCAATATTTAAAATGACTCACACAGATTCAGTACATGAGTACATCGACATGGTCAAATGTTACTTCCGAAATAACGAAAGTCATAGACAAACTGCTTATAGTTATGAAATTAAATATCCTGATCGTAAAAAATCATTGTACAATGTTGATAATACCATCAACATTCTTGGAAATGTAGAAATAGCTCCAGAATTATCCGTACGTCATAGATGTGGGAGGCTGGAGTAAGCAAATTATCCGTTCATAGAATGCTCAAAAAAAAATAAAATATAGGCATATAAAATAAAATTTGTTCAAAAATTCATGCGGGTGATGAAGAAAGGCGTTTATAATTTTGAGAATGGGTGTTATAGATAATTAGTCAGGACCCACTATTAATAGATAAATTAATCTTTACCGATGAATCTACTTTTATCAGACATGGACAAACAAGTAGACACTGGACGTATCACTGGTTTGACAAAAACCCATATGAACCCATAGAATTTCATGCCCAAAATGTAGAAAAATGAAATGTTTGGAGTGGAATTTGGAATAGGTAGATTATCGGGCCCTTTTTTATTGAAGGAAATTTAAACGGAGAAAATTATAGAGATTCATTAGAAGAACGTTTGTGGTCAATAATTTCTCAATTAGTTAATACAAATATAATAGAGCCAATTTTTATCCAAGAAGGTGCACCAGCACATAATTCAAATACTCTAAGAGACGAGCATTTCCCAGGAAAATAGATAGGAACAACCCTTTGTTACTCCTTGTTGGACCCCTCCAGTGCTTTGGCCACTTAGGTCGCCCGACTTAACAGCAATGGATTTTTTTTATGGGGTTATTTGAAAAATCTTGTGTATCCATCGTGTTCATTGCCTGATCTCCGTGACAAAATTGAACAAAATATTCAAAATATTTTACCTGAGACATTAGAAATTGTTAAAAACGCTTGAGTCCAAAAACTTCAGCTCTGTGTTACAAATAATGAAGGTCACTTCGAACATTTATAAAAAAAAATGTGATGCATTATTTTCGTTTCTATGTATTAAATTTTTTTTTTCTATTAATAATCAAGTTTAAAAATATCTTATGAATTTTAATTTTAATCTTTCCTAAATGCTCCACTAATAATAAGATATTTACAGATTTAATTTTATGTCATTCAATCAGAATTTCCATACTAAGTATTGTAAAAAAAACCGCGTTTAAATATATTGATTTCCCGTGGAGATATTAAGGGTGATACGGGACTTATGGGACATACAGTATAGCACTTATTGACCGTAGATGAATTGTAATCGTACTAAATTATTATCAAAATTAAAATTAAGTGCAATTTCCTCACCGTTTCCAGCGTTTTGCAGTCATAGTTGTAAAAATTAAGTATGAAGTATTACAGTTGTATATTTCAATCATTATATTCGATCGCCAAACCTATATCTTAAAAGTTATTAATGGATTATTTTATTTTAAATAGGTACCAATAGCCACTGGCACAAATAGAGTTCAAATCTTAGGAGTGCTACAAGAGTTAAACCATAAAAGAGCAGTGAGGGATCTACCCCCAGTCCTTCCGACATTACACATTTAAAATTTTTTATTTATACTATAATTATATTCAAAATATTAAAAGATATGTACATATTTTATTTTAAATTATTTTATTTATTATATTTAATTATTAAAGTATTAAACATAATATTTTATCGATAGTAGAAAATGTTTTTAGTATTTCTTCCGCAACAATTTTGTTTGCAAGATCATCCTCAATGTTAATTATACTCAAGTTAGTAAAACTTACATAATAGTTCTCATTCAATTTTTAATCATCTTATGGAATAAAAACTAAACTCACTTGTCTTGTCGCCTTGAATCCGTATTTAAGGAATTGATTTTATGTGAGATACATATTTCAAATTTTTTTAATATGGATCATTTCATAACAAAATCAAATTATGCGTGACTGTAAATACTGTATCGGGCTCTTTGTCGGGTTCATACTTAGTGAAAAATCAAATAAAATACAAGCATAACTTTCAAAACACAGAAAGGTGTTAAAAAAGAACTACACAAAAGTCGATTCTGCATTAGATTAAAAAAAAATAAATAAATAAAAATATTAAGGATTCACCTGGTTTAAATATTACCAACAATTTTACTTGTAAATTTTGAGCTTGAATTAAAGAAAAAAATTGAGCCCCCCCCCCTAGAAGTAAGTCTAAATACGCCACTGATACCTATTGTATGAGATCCATAAGCGTGCGCAGACATTAAGTACTGACAAGGTAGTCATACATTACACATTTATATTTAATATTAACAACAGATTTGGATGGGAACTTAATAATTATATTTTTCCAATATTCTTATGCATGTATTTACCGTTTACGAATGTTTCGAAATGGTTAAACATAATATGGTTATTTATAATTGTAATAATATTGAATATTTTGTTGAGGGAGGGAAGGTTCACAGAGTAGTCAAGTGCCTATCCTGACTACTCCGTGCGCACGCTTATGATGAGATTTTTAAAAGAACGGATATCGATATTTTTTATTGTTTTGATTATTTTTTTGATCTACTATCTACAACCATATCTATGACTTATAATCAATATTTTTTTATCTACATTCGTTATCAAACATTGATCTAAACATTTATATATTTATTATTATACATATCATAATTTTTATTTCTTTAACTGCTACCTACTACGATTGATTGTTTCCAATCTTTACAGCTATTGTAACTCGATTCGGTTGGCCTTGGCTATCAATTTTTGCCGTCTGTTCGTCTAATACATGAAAATAAAAGTTGGAGTCATAGGTACTAATTGTGATATTTAGCCATAATTATGTATTATATTTTTTAAATAGTTTTATTCCTTTGCATTCAAGAAGTGTCCAACAACATTTAAAACAATGTTGTACAAAACTATTCATTGGAGTTTGTTGTTTGTTTGTGTTACCATTTCTTCTGTGTTTTCCCATGAAGGTAATTATCTTTTACTTTGCATATTAATATGTACAATTGTTATTTTATTTATGCACTAGGTACACTTTGATTAGGTAATCAAAAGCTATAATTCATACTTGTTGATTAACAATTTTTGATGTGCAATATTTAGTTGATATGAGATTTATTAGTATTAAAACAATTTATTTTTTTTGATTTTTTTTGTTATATGATCTACCTAAAATTTATATTCAATGGATATTAATTATAATTGTTAAATATTTAAATTGCAATATTTCTTTAAATTATATTTATTACAAATATGAAGTAAAAGTTTGAAGATTTTTAATTTTTAAAATTATATTTAAAAAATGATTTATTTTTATAGGTATTTAAAGTTCATAATTTTGATTCTGTATTTAATAATTGACACTAACCTTTTTTAATAATATAATGTTTGTAATATTTTTAAATATTTTGATTAACATTAGTGTTTTCTTTATAAATTGAAAATATTAGTAGAAATTGTTTTTTATTGATGAAAAAATTAGTACCTATAGTAAAAATACTTGTATCGAAGTTATTATAATGAATTTAACTATGAAGATAATTGTATAAGTATCTGTATATACTATTTTACCACTTTGATTTACGTACAATGTAATGAAAATAGTCTTGAATATATATATATTTTAAAGCTAAAGTATCATTGTTCCATTTCATATATTTGTTTATATACCTTACCTAATCTAACTTATTATTTAATTAAATTTGTATTAATTTTGATGCAAAGAATAGAACAGAGTACGAGTGATGCAGAAATGAGAATGTTTAGATGGAAGAGGAGAGTGACAAAAGAAAAGATAGAATAAAGAACAATTATGTGAGAGGTAGTATTGGGGTAGCGTCGATAGTGGACAAGATGAGACCAAATTGAATGAGATGGTTTGGACATGTGATGAGGCATGAGGAACAAAAGTAACAAGAGTGGGTATGATAGTAAACATTGAAGGGAAAAGATTACTGAAAGACCAAAAATCGTTAGATATTACAAGAATATAATTTTTTAATTCAATTTTAAATTATAATAATGATATTTGATAGTTTTTCTTAATAGATACATTATACAATAAATTATTACTTTTCTTAAATGTTATTATAATTTTTAATGATTTTTTTTCATTATTATATTTCAGAATATTTTTATAAAATCATTACACCTGGCAACAGAGTTTTAGATGTTGACATTATTACACTTCCAAATATGCGTACAAAAAGATTTGCGGAACCACTACAGCAAAAAAATACATCTATCCAAGCACCTACAGACAACGTAAATGGATTAAAACCAAGTAAATTTTATAAATACCCAATCCATAGAATTCAAACAAATATTTTTTAAATAACAAAATAATAAAAAAAAAACTTAAAAATTAGTAAATAGTTAATACTTGTAAATTAATATAAATAAACAAATATTTTATATATAGATATAAATAAATGCTTAGTCTGGAATATTATTATGTTTGTAAAGTAGTCTTAAAGTTTCAAAATAAAAATTCATTAACAGGTATAAAAACATCAATACTGAGTTGCGATTTTATTCATTTGAAAATTCATTTTAATTTGAAACCGGTTGTACTATAAAAATTAATAATATTCTAGACTAACCATTAAAAGCATTCATTCATTTATTTCTATTTGTTTATTTATTTTTTTATACATTAAATATTTTTTATTGATTTATAAAATAAAACATTTATAGTTGATACGGATTATAGATTTATTATAATGAAGTATATTCCAAGATTTAATATGTTTGTGAAACTGAAAATAGTAAGACATTAATTTTAGAGGCATACTATATTAATTTATCATTTAATATCATATTTTTCAAAACTTCTTCATTTCCCTTACCTGGAGAAAGGGAAAACAACTATTTGGGGTCGGTCTAAACCTCCACTCATTTCGATTTTCTACATACCCTATGCAGACACCAACAGCTCTCATATCATTCTCAATTGTATCCAACAATCTCATTTTTGATCTTCTTCCATTTTTCTCTTCAATGTTTATTATTATAACCACTCTTATTGCTTTTGTTTCCTCTTGCCTCATCACATGCCCAAATCATTTCGGTTTATTTTCTCTCATCTGGTCCACTATCAATGATACACTAATATATGTTCCTTATTCTATCTTCTCTTGTCGTATCATATTATTCAAAACTAAAATGCTAAAAATATATCATGAATATTTATGAAATCCAAGTTGAAATTCAGCTTTTTTTAGCTTTAATGTTAATTTAAAGGAAATTTTAGATTAAACTAAAACTAGTTAAAGAATACTAAATAAAATACCTAATATCAACAGATAAATATGTTTATACTAAACATTAAGCATTTGTTTTACAAATTATAGTTAATGTAAAAAATATAAAATTAGATTTTATTTATACTGCAAAGATGAGTTAATTTTATGTGTAGGTACATTTAATGCAAAAATGTCATATTGATTGGTGTCAAATAATATGAAAATATAAATCTACTACAAAAACATCCTTATATTAACCATTAAAAAACTTCCTTATAAACTCTTCAATTGTTTTTATATTAAGAAAACATGTAGATACTGTCAATGATTGAAAAATTTGTTAAAAAATAATTATTTATTTAAATTGCCTGTTCAAATATTTTATATGTATTTATTTTTATTTTTATTAAAATCACCAACGATAGATGATTTAAATGTATATTTATAATTTGTTTTAGGTACACCTGAACCAATGGATTTAGATTTTCCTTCAATTACTAATAAAACACTTTTAGAACACAATATAACAATTTCAAAAAATGTAAGTTTTATTTTAGTGCTATAATAGTTTTCAAAATAATTCTTGATGTTTTTTAATTTATTTATTAATTATTAAGTCAATATTATAGTTAATAACATTTTAAGATTTCAGAGATTCAATCAAAAAAAATACTTATGTTTATGATATCCTTTTTATGAAATAAATGCTTATAATAGTAATATTTTTTAGGATTCTCATGTCTACTACAACAGCACTACAATAAATAATAAAAGTGTATTTGATAAATATTGGGTAGAATTGACAAACCATCCCAATGCTAATATACATAAATCATTATCAGATTCTCATCGTGCAGCTGCAGTAAGTTTTTCATATCTATTTGAATTTTATTATATATATTATATAATTATTATAAGTTAAACAAATTTAAAATATTTTCAGACTCTGAGTTTGAAGTTTCAATTTCCATTCTATGGTCACATATTGAATTCAACAACCATTGCAACTGGAGGTTTTTTATATTTAGGAGATTACATTTATTCTTGGTTAGCAACCTCTCAATATGTAGCACCATTGATGGCCAATTTTGATTTAAGTACAACAAATGAAACAAATATTTATTACATGGATAATGGAACTGCCTTCACAGTTACTTGGCATAATGTGGTATTACAAGATAAACCTGATGTTGGAGGATTTACTTTTCAAACAACCTTATATTCAAATGGAAATATTGTATTTGTTTATAAACATTTACCAATCAAAATTCAAGACATTATTCCTTTTAATCATCCTGTGAAAATAGGATTATCTGATGCTTATACAATAGAAAATACAGAATATTGTTAGTATTATCATTTATAAAAGTAAAATTTGTTTTTAACTAGAGAATTTTAATCATTTATCATTAATTATTATAGAATTGTAAAATTGTTTGTTATTGTTATCATATGAAATTCTGGTGGCCATATTTAATATATTTATGATAATAATAGGAAAATACTTAAAATCAAATTATTTTTCTACACATTTATATTATTTAAATATTTTTTTTAAAAATATTAATTTTTAATCTTCTTTACAAAACTTTAAATAAGTTTTTTCTTAAAAAATTGATTTTAATTGGTTTAATTTGCTTATCTAAATTTTAAATATAAATCCAATAGCAATTCTATCAATATTTGAAAAAATAAAAATTTGTGCAATTTATCCTACTGAGACTTAAAATGTTTATTCAAAAATTATTTCAAATTGAACTTGAACAGTTTTAGGATGCTTATGTTCAAATTGCTTTAATACAAACCGGTTTTATCATTTATATTTAATTTAAGAATTAAACAATTATTTATCATTTTACTTATAATATTTGTTTACAATTGTTCACTTCTATTTTTTATGTTGTAGTTATGAGAAGAAAAACCATTTATGAATATCATAGAATAGCTTTTCCCATGAATGAAATAACAAATGGAACTGTTATTCTTTTGACTCCATTACCAACATGCTTGGAGAAAAAAAATTGTACCAGTTGTATGAAAAAGGATATTGATTTTGAAGTATATATAATATAATTTGAAAATTTGAAAATTAAATTAAATTATTTTTGTATATTATAGTGTTATTGGTGTGATAATCGATGTTCTTCAGGAGTTGATCGACATTATCAAGAATGGCACAAGAAAGGTTGTAGAAAATTGAAACTTAATGATAAAGATATATGTTCTACTGAAGTTACACCTTATACTATTGGTAACACTTATGAAATATTTTTAAGGTCCAAGATCTGTAATATGCTACAATTGTTGTATTATTATCCATCTATTTTTATATATAATTATTTATATTATTTAAACCACATTTTACACATTGTGTTGATTTTGTGTTTTATTGTTTAATTTTATAGATTTTTTCTTTGCTATTACTATTCTTACCATTTTCTATCTTAATATTAATAAAAATAAATAGGTTAATTTTCTATTAAAACTTATACATATTTATAATTTGTTTTAGGAACACCTGAACCACTGGATTTAGATTTTCCTTCAACAATTACTAATCAAACACTTTTAGACCATAATATAACAAATTCAAAAAATGTGAGTTATATTATGCACATATATTATTATAATTATTTTTAAAATACATTTATTGATTTAAATCCTAGTAAGATTCTGATTTAATAATGTATTAAAATATTAATAAGAATTTTAAATACTTAAAACTAAGTTAAGTGTTTTCCCATTGATCTAGAAATAATATTTTTGAGGCTTATCGACTTACTTCACTGTATTGTTGCTTTAAAATACATTCAGCTATGCATTGAATAACAATAGTAATATAGTACATTTTAGTTTAAAAAATATCAATTAAAAATTATAAATATTCTTATAATTTAAATATTTAAAATCCAAATACCACTGACTCACTGATCACTGTATATAAAAAAATACTCAACGTACACACTAGAAATTTGGAGTGGTGATTCCTTTAATACTTTCATCGTGCAATAGAAAGGATTTTTTGAAAATCACATTTTTAAGAGTCAAAACAGTTTCGAACTGGATGTACGTTTATACGTATAGACTTTTTAATTTTTTGGTTACCTAAGAAATATTTAATCTGTTCAATATGTTTATTTTAATAATCACTGATTAAAATTTATGTAAATTATTTAACAATATGAATCAATAAACTTTTATAACATTAAAATATACAAATATTCTATAATTTTTTCAACCTAAAATTTTTAAATTATGGATTTTTGTCAGTTTTCTAATCTAAAATAAAATATCTCAGAGAGACTGGGTAATTTAGCTAGTTCTACCATATTTTTATCAACGATTTATAAAGGCAAGATTACATTACCATCCAAAGGTTAACCTTTCTATAAACTAATTATGTTTTTATGCATAATTAGAGATAAAAATGTCAACTACATTGCTTAGAAATTTAAGTAAAGACATTCTTTTCAATAATTCAATGAAATTAATGAATATTGCCTATCCCTTAGATATTCTATTATTTATATAGATATATAAATACTAATATTAATGATTTCTAGGATTCTCATATATATTACAACAGTACAATAATAAATAATAAAAGTATATTTGATAAATATTGGGTGGATTTGATAAACCATCCTAAAGCTAATATACATGAAATGTTATCAGATTCTCATCGCAGAGCTGCAGTAAGTTACTACAAAAAAAAAAAAAAATTTCATATAATTTATTTTTATTTTTTTGTATATAATTAAATAATATGTAACGAATGTTTTCAGACTATCAGCTTAAAGTTTCAATTTCCATTCTATGGTCTTCTAATAAATTCGACTACTATTACTACTGGAGGTTTTTTGTACTTAGGAGATTATATTCATTCTTGGTTAGCAGCAACTCAATATGTCGCACCATTAATGGCCAATTTTGATTTAAGTACATCTAATGTTTCAAATATTTATTATATGGAGAATGATACAGCCTTAACAGTCACTTGGCAGGATGTCATACTACAAGATAAACCTGATGTTGGAAAATTTACTTTCCAAACTACTATACATTCAAATGGAAATATTATATTTGCTTATAAAAATTTACCAATAAACCTCAAAGAAATAAATGCTACTAATCACCCTGTGAAAATTGGATTATCTGATGCATATGTTATAGACAAAGTATTATTTTGTGAGTATAGTATTAAATCATTTTTAATACTTGTATATGTCGTAGGCCATATGGAAAATTAGTTTTTTTGCAAAAAGACTAGGCTCTTTGCAATGAGGTAGCCCGTTTGCGAACTACTTATTATTTTTCCAAACAGCCTGCTGTTTTTCAGGCTCATTGCATACAGACTAACAGTTGTTAGGCCTTTTAAGAATTACTTACTATTTTTTCAAACAGCCTGCTGTTTTTTAGGGTCATTGCATACATACTAATTTCAGTTAGGCCTTTTAAGAACTACAATCATTTTATGGTAAAAACCATTTTAATTATTTTATTTTAAGGGTTGTTGATAATAACACAGTACAAATATGTAACATAAATGTATAACATGTAACATTATTATTTATTAATAATATAAATGTATTTATTTATTGTTACATGTGGTTTTTTTCGTGGCATTTTGAGCTACACAGTACATTGTTTTTCCGACAAGCGCATCTATTTGTTTTGCAAAAACGTTTTTGATAACCCTGCCCGTTAGCGTTTACACGTAGCATACTATAAGTAGTACGTTGATATATTAGTGTAAATCTCGTCGTACGTATACTGATATCACAGTATTGTGAATCATACAGTTTATGTATTACGTTTATAATCTTTGTATAACCTCCTCAGGAGAAGGGAATATTTATTATATCCATATTGTATTGTAGTTTGAATATTTTATATAATTGTAAAATAATTAATATATTTGGAAATAAAGTTAACAAAATTAATAATGCATTAAGACTTCAAGTTTTGTTACAAGAATAATAATATATATGACTGTAAAAAGTGCATTTCTAAAGTGTCTATCATAAACAAAGAATCTTTGTGCGACTCATGTGTAAAAGAAAAAACAAATTCAGAAAGAAAGAGTAGAAGCTGTTGAAGGACAAAAAAAAGCTGCAGAAAAAACGATACAATTTAGTGATAAGAAATTAGTTATAATTAAAGTTGGGAGTAATGTTTTAGTTAATATTCCAAAGGTAGATCATGGACCAGACACACAAAATATAATTGGCAAAGTTGTCGACAAAAAAAAATAACGTTTATCAAATTGGTACACGATTTGGAATTATAAATACGTGGCTAAGCCGAAATGTATTACAGACAACCGATGCAGAATTTCTTGACGAAGTACCAAATACAATGATGACATTAAGAAAAATAGCGAAGAAACATTTTCAATTTGAAGGGCAGGGTAATCAAAAATGTTTTTGCAAGACATCGTACAAAACAAATAGATGCGCTTGTCGGAAAAACAATGTACTGTGTAGCTCAAAATGCCATGAAAAAACCACATGTAACAATAAATAAATACATTTATATTATTAATAAATAATAATGTTACATGTTATACATTTATGTTACATATTTGTACTGTGTTATTATCAACAACCCTTAAAATAAAATAATTAAAATGGTTTTTACCATAAAATGATTGTAGTTCTTAAAAGGCCTAACTGAAATTAGTATGTATGCAATAAGCCTAAAAAATAGCAGGCTGTTTGAAAAAATAGTGAGTAATTCTTAAAAGGCCTAACAGCTGTTAGTCTGTATGCAATGAGCCTGAAAAACAACAGGCTGTTTGGAAAAATAATGAGTAGTTCGCAAACGGGCTACCCCATTGCAAAGAGCCTAGTCTTTTTGCAAAAAAACTAATTTTCCATATGGCCTACGACATATACAAATAGAAATAAAATTTAAGTTACACTAAAACAATCAACGGGTCTTTAATAAAATGTTCATACAAATTTAAAAATATTGTATGTAGTAACACGTAACTTACTGCAAAACTATGAACAAAATATATAATTATAGCCTTATTATTAATTTATTATTTTATTTATTTTTGTTATTTTTAAAACAAGGTTCTGTGTTAAGAGTATGCAGCTACATATCCTGCATACGCCTCTTATGGTAATCAGTTCATACCACTTTTTAAAAAAAATAATTCTATTATTTCATTGTCATATGAATTTATTACCCCCAGTTAGACATATTTGGATTTTAATTGAAAGTAGTTAGACAATTTCTTGTCATCTAATTTATATTTTTGTTTAATTCTTTGTTTCTCATTTATAGTTGTGAGACGAAAAACCATTTATGAATATCATAGAATATCATTTCATGAGGATGAAGTTACAAATGGAACTGTTATTATCTTAATTGCGTTGCCAACATGTATGGAGAGAAAAAATTGTACTAGCTGTATGAAAAAGGATATTAATTATGATGTAATATATAAAAATATTTAGTCTATCATAAACTAATACATAATAATTTTTTTTATTTAACGTTTTTACTTAAATTGTATAAGATTATATGTATATTTTAGATTTAAATAGTTCGAATTTAATTAAATAATAATAATAAATATTTGTTTGTGTTATAGTGTTACTGGTGTGATAATAGATGTTCTTCAGGAGTGGATCGAAATCGTCAGGAATGGCTCAAGAAAGACTGTGAGAAATTGAAGCTTTATAATAATAAAGATATATGTATAGCAGATAAACCAATACCTACTTTTAATAATTCTAGTGGAACAGAATCTGTTAAATCTGAATCACGTAATATATTTACATTACATTTCATACATTTCATTATTAATACTGAATAATCATCACCATTTATTTTTTATATTTTAGACACTGATTCTTCACACTCAAATACAAGTCTATTTTTCATCACATTATGCTTTTCATTAATTATTATGTCAACAGTTTGGGTATTATATGCGTATTTGAATCCACATACACAATCTGGACAAATTTTAATAAGAGTATGTATTTTATATTGAAAATATATAATAATCCTATAGGTACTTGTTATATATTTATATATGAGTATGTACTTGTTTATAATTTATTTTGTGACAAATCATACAGTATTCATTCTTGGCTTTTTGTTTTAAGTTACTGTAGAATGGCATGGGTCATTCTTGTTTTTCTTACTAATATATATATAGCCAGAGTCTAGTAGACACTTTATGTTAACTAAACCTGTGTGATATTTAGATTCTAAAGTTAATCTCTTTAAAATCAATAGATAAACTAGTCCCTTTTAGAATTTTTGATTTCTTCTGGAACGTTATTTTAGTATTAAATGTATTGTCAGTCATGAGTACTTTTAGATTCTAAGTGAAGTGAGGATTGTTTTGGTTTTACCATGATGTGTGTGATGTTTTTTTTTCATGTTTGTGTAATATACAATTTCAACTGGGTAGGATTGCTCCAATCATCCCAAATAAAAAATAAAAGTTAAGAATTAAGTTTCAGATGGTATTTTGGAGGGAGGGGAGTAATTTTTTTAATTCTTGAGCTTTAATAATTGAAAAAAAGAAAGAAAATATTTTAAAGAGAAATTTAGCTGTTTCCAAATTAATCTTACTTGCATTTGAATATTAAATTATGACAAAACTCTAACAATCAAAAATGTATAAACTTCCTAACTTTTATGATTTATATTTGAAATTGGATTCAATATTTTTTATAAGATTTTTATTTATAATAAAAAGAAAAAAAAATATTAGATAAATGTAAGTGTTATGAGTGTTACAAAATGAAATATTGACCACCAAGTCATATATTTCAACAAATTTCCATTTAATGATATTAGATTTTTTTGTTGTTGTTCTATAATTATTAATCGCAGTGACTCTAAAAATTTACTGAGTACTCATATTGGCATTTTAAAGACATTTTATAGTTTCAAAATATTTTAATAAAATCTATGTTGTTTATAGGTTCGTAACATTTTTCATTTTTCTCAAAATTCATTTGGTTGAAGTTTGATTTTATAAAAGCACCACAATTTAATGTAATTTACTTAATTATCTAGATGCTTTTTTTTTTTCGAAAGTTAGAACATTAAAAATTCAAATTATTTTAATATAAACTTGGTTTTACTACTATATTAACCATTTTTTAAAATATAAACTGTTCCATCCAATTTCATTAAAATATTCAAAAATATGCAAAAAATGTGCAAAAAAAATTCTTTTTTATGTATTAAAAATATAATACATCATATCCACTGTTGAAATTAACTATTATTTATAAATTATGGAACAAGTAAATATTAACCAATTATATAAATTTAGAATTAAAAAAAAAATTTAATATTGGAACCAATAATTAACACAAAATTACATAATATGATTAGTTATGTTACCATAAGTTTTTATGGTTATCAGGCAGCATAGATTTATACTTCGAAAAACTTCTTTCTTTGTTTTAAGACACTATTAGTGAATATTTATAACCAGATAGATGACAACTCTACAATATATCTTCATTTTTGTCACTTATTTCTCTGCTTTATATTCCACAATTTTTTTTAATTCGAGAATACCTTGGATTTTTGAACAATACTTACAACAGTTTAAACTTAGTGAACTCAGTCTATTCCTCCTTTTTTTAAATAGACACAGTTAAAATATTTATTTTTTTTTTTATTATTTATATAAAATGCACTTTTTATGTAATTATATAGAAGTATACAAATCTTTGTAATTTTTACTCAAGTATGCAAAATATGTAAAAACAAAAATTATCCATAGGATTCTATTCAGTGTGAGATGTAAACACTTATAATAAAAATTATTTTAGGTGAATTGGAGAAGAATAAGCATTTGCATAAAAATCCGAACCCTAATTAATATTATTACCATCATTATATTATCATGCTTAATATTTTATTTTTATTATTTTTATTATAAAATGTTTATGGTATTTTTCCAGCCCTGATGGCTGTTGATTTCTCTTTTGAGAATATCTTAAATTCCTATTTAAACAATAGAATATTAACATACTAATAATAATGTTAAATTTTTTTTAGTATCGACCAACTCAATGGGGTTGGAATAAAGGAGAAGCTCGTTATACAGCAGCTACCATTCATATGTAAAGTAAATTAATAAAAAATATAAAACAATCAATTTAATGGTATGTATATAAATGAACAAAATGATAGTAAAATAAATATTTTTATCACATATTTGCAGCACTTAAGTTTTCTGGTTGGAGTGATTTGAAATAAAAATTTACATTTAGTTTATTAATTAAATATATTGTTTAAAATAATAATTTTTTTTTATATCTATAATATTATAATTGCTTCATAAATTATCAATAGAGTGTCAACTTAAATTAAATTAAAGGTTTAATATTTGAACTTAAAATAAAAGAATCAAAACCAATTACAAAAGAAATCAACAATAAATTTATATTTATAATATTTTGAATAAATATTAACTCTTTAATTGTGGATTTAGAAATTTAGTGTTTTATTGTATTATTTATTATAAGGGTATCATTTAAAATGTAGTAAAAGAAAAAAATTAAGTTGAAACTTGAAATTTAATAAAATATTTAATATTATGATTTATTTTGGGTCCAAATAAATAATCATGTTTGGTTTAGATTTGTAAAATAATTAATGTTGATTTAAATTTAGTATGTCTTTAAATAATGAATTAACCAATATTATGGTTTATAAATTGTTGTTATACATCACATCATTACATACTCATCACTAATTGCACTGGGTTATTAAGCTAAAATCTTATTTATAATTAATTATTATATTAGTTTTAAAATAAAGTTTTCACTTAAATCTATTATAACATTTAAAAATCATATAAAAGGGTTAATATCTTATATAAGTATATGGTAATTTTGTGCTATCTAGTTCATTATCTAGTTAGTATCTACTTTTAAATTTTTCAATTCGAAATTATTCAAATTAAATTTTAATAAATAAAAAAAAACCAAATTTATGTTTAATCTATGTAATAATCTAACAATTTTACTGATGAGAAATGATTTAAAAATTTTCTGTATAATATTTACAAATTTATAATAAAAACATTTTTCAATAATATTAAATTTAAATTAAATTGTGTTAGCTTGCACAAAATATTAAATTCTATATCATTGATTATATCATATTAATTAAATTAAACCAAGTCTTATATGGACTTAAAAAATTATAATTGTTAGTTAAATACAGTTATTATTATATTATTCACTTAAAATCAGCAAAAAGTTCACAAATTTGTTATATATAACATAAATATGTTATATATATATATATGGATGTTAAAATGTCCATAATAATAGTTGCATACAAATATATACATACCATATCACTTAAGTAAGAACATGTAATATTATAAAAAAAATTTGCAAATAATGTCTAGACCAGTGTTTCCCAAATAGTGTACTGCGAAAAATTAATTTTTTTATTTTAAAAGTGCTAAAGTTCTTATTTTTGAAAAATAGACAATGGTTATCTACAATGTGTCCAATAACTTAAAATAATAAATATAAATACACTGTTTAAAAATTTTGGAACTGCTGGTCTAAATGCACTGTTGATCAACTGAACCAATATTTCACAATTTTACAAATATACACTATAATTAGCGACGAACCATAGAGTAATACTACTCTAATGCCTTGTTTACACGTGAAGAGTATTTGGCCGAGAGAGTCAACTCAACCGAGCATTGTCCCTTGTGAACTCAAGGAACCAGTACTCGGCCTAGTAAAATTATCGAGCGAGTGAATAGAAACCGTTTTTATTCACTCGGCCGAGCGACTACCGCCATTACCAAAATTAACTGTACTCGGCGTGTATAAGCCGCCAACCGTGTAGATCGTGTAGTGAACTTATGTGTCACTCGACCAGGTAAATAAAATACGTGTAAATGCTGACTCGGACAATTTCGGTATTAAACCGAGCAACATAACGAGTGACACGGCCGAGTACTCGTCACGTGTATACAAGGCATAAGAGGCGAACGCAGGAAAAAATTTCCGGGGGTAACTAAAATGTAATTGAAACAATTTATAATGTTCATAAATATCATATAATTGTATTGTATACCTACATCAATTTACAAACCACAGAAAACTTTTAAACAACTAATATTTCTTTAAATTTATTTATTAGTAATACATTTGTAGGTCAGATAATTTATTTGTTGTTCCTGATATTTGGGAGGTTAACCCCCCTGCGTTCGTTCCTGAAATTATAGTCTATAATTTAGTATTTATAGTAGTAATCTGATCACATGTTTTTATATTTTTACTTTAATGGTCCAAAAAGTTTTTATATTAAAGTTTTAATTAAAATAGTATTTTATTATATTCATTGCTTTTTGTCTTTAAACTAAGTTTGTTGTTTTTACTGTTGATCTTTTAAAATTACATAATTTGTGATGTTTTTCTTCTATTTTTATATTTTGTGTATTATTTTTGAACTTAATAGTAAAGGAATTTATGTACAAGATTTAATTGGGTACCAAATTTCATATAACTTCTTGGAACCTATACTAAATGATTTTTGTTAAAATTAATGTGATTATACCTTGTTAAATATTAGTTTAGTTACTATAATACCTACTTAAATAAATATTCAATTTATTATAAATATTTTTTCATGTTTATCATTATTTTTATTGGTTTTAAGAGCTTATATAAATAAATGTTTACTTGTATAGTTGTATATTTTTAACCTAATTTTATGAAGTTAAAAACTATAATTTTTCTTATAATATTCTGAAATAATTGTCTATGAATCGTCTTCAAAAATATTCAAATGATGTCTATTGAATCGTTTAATTTACATTTTTAAAAAATAGTAATTGTTAAATTTATTCTTTGTTGATATTTCTAAATATTATATAAATGTAAATATAGGTATTAAAAAATCACTGTATACTTCCATTAACCTTCATTCTTAACTAAAAATAATACTGCATTAAATAAAACCCGTGGTGAATTTGTATCACAAATATTATTAGTAAATCTTAATTTTACACCTAACTTCATCTATATAATATTTCATATGTAATATTGTAATTTTAAATCCAACACGTAACATATGTAACATCTAGTAGCTAACCTAATAACATTTGCTGTTGAAGCCTTCATTTTTAAATAGAAAAAAAGAGAATGAACAATCAAATGAAGTAATCGTATAGCGATAGTCCGACTTAATCTATATAAACATGGGCGTCCCCAGACATTTTTCAAGGGGGGGGGGAGGCAAAATTAATTTAAAAAATAAATGAATATTTTTTTTATACATTTTATTTATAGTAAATTATTATATTTCGTCATTATTAAAATTATGAATCAAAACATTACAATTAGGTAGGTATTATTATTACAATTAAAACATAAAAAATATTTCTGTAGAAATAACATTCCAGGGGGGCAAGTGCCCCGTCTTGCCCCCCCCTGGGGACGCCCATGTATATAACCAGTGCCATAACTACAATTTTGAGGCCCAGGTGCAAAAATATTTTAGGAACCAACATCATCACTTAATCATCTGAAATACACCTTAGGAATATAGAAAATTATATAAAAAATTAATTCAATTATCTCACAGTTCCGGTTCTAAAGATCGTAAAACGCTGCATTTGAAATCGTGCGGAATCGTGTACATATATATGCATATATGTGTACAATGAAATTGTATATATATATTACGGGTAATGTTAACATTTGGATAATGTCGACATTATCCATCTAAGTCGACATCAGCCAACTGTTATCATTACCCGCCATGAATATTATTAAATATTGGCTAATGTTAACATTAACCGGAAGATACGATATTAGTCAAGAACTTTTGGATAATGTCTTAATAACCATAAAAATTGAATTGTTTAATTGAGATCAAACTGACAACGACTATTCATTTCTGAATGAATAATTGGTTTAACTACAAGGCCTTTCAGTTTAGTTTGACAAGGTCCGCAAAATTTTAAGAATATAAGTACAACTTCTTGAGTCAAATTTTTGTATTTTTTTTTTTCATTTCTGCCATCATTCAATGTTTACCAATATTAAGATGTATGTATCTCATTTAGTATGTCATATAATTCATCATTTTTTACGTAATATAGTAAATTAGTACTACTTTTTTCAACAGGTTCTATAAATGTCTCTTCTCCTCCGATATTAATAATTTCAAATTTATTCAAACCACGAAATTTATTGCCGCCTTTCAATTCATTAATTAAATTCAAATATTTTTCATTTGACAAATAAGACGAATTATCTTCTCGTTTTTCAGACAACAATTTCTCAAATAAATTATAAAACTCCAGTTTTGTTTCCATTTTATTAAAATTCAATCTAAAAAATTTAACAGTTTAACACTAATAACACTGTACTTGCAATTAACATGTGTGAAAACTGAAAGCAGACTAACAACAGATAAATAAGAGACATTGTATTTTGTATAATGCATATAAAATTATAACAAAAAATGTCCTACGATTAAGATAAATATTAAGCCCATATATCAGAGGTTCCCAATCTTTTTCCTTTGACGGGCCACTTTGGTAAACAATTATCTTCAAGCGGGGCACAAAGTCTAAAAGTACAAAAATAATCTTATATATTGGACTTTTTTTCCTAACTTTTTTGTATATTGAAAAGATTATGAATTTAGGTATTCATAATTGTATTTTTGGAATAATTTAAATAAAAATAATATATGAAAATAAGTAATTTAAAAATGTTTTCATACATTTTTAAAATTTTTTTTCATTTAAAAAAATTCGTAATGGGCCACATGTGACCCACGGGCCGTGGGTTGGGCACCTCTGCTATAGCCTATGCCCTATACTCTATATTTTATACTGGATACACAATACCAGAGCCGTAACTAGGGTGAAGCGAGCGAGGCACTTGCCTTGGGTGCCTGAAGCTGGGGGGCACAAAAATATAGAATAGTTAATTTATTTTAAGAAATTTTATTACTTGTTTTGCTAGAAACCTAATTACAATTTATCAGATTTTTTCCGAATCCGTATTATACATATTAAAATCTGTGAATGTGATAACCCTATAACCGAGGGGGCGCATTGCTTCAGTTCTGCCTCAGGATAAAAAATGGCTCGGTACGGCTCTGCGCAATACTAATATATCGTTTTTTTAAATTTATATTTTGTAACTTCGGTTTTATTTAGCATTAATAAACAATTAAGATAAGATAAAGTCACAAGTATTTCACCGTAAATAACTTTAAAACAGTTCACATCAA